CTGGCTGCCTGGCGTTCTGTTCTGTAACATTTTTTCCATCCTTCCTGTGATTTCATTGGTTTTGTAAGATAGAGTGACATTTTGCTTGCTCTTCACAATAGCCACCACTGGCCATGTTGCCCGAGGCTGCAGCCCCCCAGTAAGCTCCGATTCCCATCCTGAGCCCCCAGTTTGGAGACTCTCTCCACTAGCCCCTTCTGGCACAAACCAGCAGGGCTGCGGGAGGTTGCTGCCAGGCGGTTTTGTCCTTCCAACAACTTTGAAACGGCGACCCCTGCTGGCCGATGGAGAGCACGGCGTGCCCAACAGTCACCCTAGGCCAGGGCTCCCGAGGCCTGCGGGGTCCCGCCGCCCGGCCCCAGCAACCCAAACCAGGTGCCCCGTCCCACTGCAGGGGAGGGACCCTTGGAGCTGCCCTGGGGTTACCGCCATGTAATTGGGATGTAGCAAAATTAAAAGCCACCCTTTCCATTTGCTCATCCGTTCTGAAAATTATTTTAAATCCCGTGCTCTCCTATTTTTAAAATGTCATAATCGCACACAAATGTTACAAGAGAAAAACAATGCGAGGGGCCTATTAAAAGTCAGTCTTCCATAGAAGCCTCACATTTTCCAGAGGGAGGATCCCAAAAAAGCAGGATGGCGACGAGGCCGAGAAGGGCGTCCGGATCCCAGCAGCACCGCTCTCCGCAGTCGGGGAGGCGAGCGTGGATTTCCCCAGGGAGGTTGAGATCACTGGATTGCCGGCTAGGAGGCCTAGCCGGGCATCGGCTCCAACATCCACCCTCATTTTGGGGGAGAGAGCGGGTTTGGAGGTGATCTGCCCAAGGTCATACCAGTCTCTCAGAGAAGAAAGCAAATCCAGGTCTTCTGACTCCCACCAGAGCAGGGGCTCTGCACAAGGTTCCCGTCTTACTGGGTTTCATCTGTGGAATAGCAGGTTCCTAATAAAGCAATAAGGAGCATTTCTGTATGGTACTTCTAAGTCCAGCACATCACTTCACCTAGGCTATCCTGTTTAATTCTCACAACCCTGGGGAGTAGGTGCTATTGTTATTCCCACTTCACATTTGGGGAAACCGAGTCAGGAAGACGTTAAGTGTCTTACCAGGATCACAAAGCTAGTTGTGAGGCAGGATTTGAACTCGGGTCCTCCTGATTCCCAGTTCATGTAATCAAAGGTTCTATAGCTAGTCTGCAGCAGAGCTGGCACCTCCCCAGGGATGCCACCCTCAGGATTCATATTCAGATGTGGAGGCTGGAGCAGATGGTCTCTCCAGCCTTTGGTCTCCCCATTTGGACCCAAAGGCTTTGAGCTCTCATCCAGCTCTATTCAGATCTGGGGTCCTAGGAAATCCTCCTGAAGGTAGCAATGTCCAGTGGCCCATTCACCTTTCAAGGGGCACAAAATATTAAGTCATCCAGGGTATCTCTGATTAACCCGAGTACACTGCCCATCTTCACTTCAGGTACCCACAGCCCACACTGACCAGGGCCCTGGGAGTTATCGGCTCTGGCCCGGTGGAAAGGGGGTCTTCACTGAATTGTGACATCCAGCCTTATTCGACAGCATCTTTCAGACACATCACCCACAGGATGCACCCACCTCGGCCTGCACTTATTAAAAGCCTGCTCTGCGCCAGTCCTCACCCTCAAGGGGCTTGCACGCTCCTGGATGTACCGGGGGGGGAGGTGCACGTAGGCGCAGTCCAAGCATCTGGTTAATAATATCTTTCCCAACGTTCTTCCAGCTGAAGTGCGGAGGGGCCCCCCGTCCCATGTTGTGGTGCCCCAGTGATTCTCAAAGGCACAAAAGATCGCCATCTGGACTAGTGGAAGACTTACTGCCACAGAAGAAATCATAATGGATCCCTGACAATTTGAAGTTCGTGCCACACAAACCCAGCCAGGTAAAGGTGGGGCTGTAGGTGGAGGGCTGGCCTGAAGACCTGGGGTCTACACGCCTCTGACGTACACCAAGAGTCCACGCTCCCTGAGGGCAGAGCCCCTTTCTTGGTGCCTGGATCCTCACTGCCCTGCGCACAGTAGGTGCCTGATCAACGGCTGTCAGCTGACTTGGCAGATGTTCAAGGAGAAGTGCTTGTTTACTGACACCGGCTGTTCAACCACGGGTGAGCCACCACCTCTCCAGAGCCCCAAGCCACTTTCGCAGGTTCTATGTAAGCTATAGATGAGCTCATTGCGAAGTTGCATTCACGGATGGAGTTCCATATTGTGAGTCAGTCAGTCAGCACTTACTAAGCCTCTACTAAGTGCTAGGCACTATAGGTGGGGGTCAGGATACAAAGAAACGCAAAAGCTATCCTTGCCCTAGAGGAGATTACAGCCCAGTGGAGTTCCTTATGCTTTTGAGATCACAGGTCTGCAGCGCCCTCCCCCCATCATGCGCATATAATTTAAACACACACACACACACACACACAGAGCTGAAAAACACTCTGTGTGAAGAACATATAAAGGATCTCTCCCAAACAATTCACACATGCTAATAATAGTACCTAGGCAGGAAAAGTTCATGGACTTGCAGAATTTCAGGAAGGGCCACCGTGTCACAGGAGCGTCCCATGTCCGGCCAATCTCTCTCCCCTCTCATTGGGAGCCCCTGGGCAGCCTTAGAACTGGCCAGAGCCTCGAGGCCAAGAGTAAACCCAGATTTTAGACCGTAGACACCCCAGAGAGGGACAGCAATCTTCCCGGAGTCACACAACTTGCTGGAAGCAGAGCCAGGTGCCAAGGCACACAAACTTCCAAAGCCTCTCCCTGCTCTGAGCTAACTGACCACGTGACCACAGGGCTTGGGGCCCAGGGACTAGAGGGCCATTCCAAAGGGAGGGAGCTCATCAATCGTGTCTGAGTGGACAACAGGAACTTAGCAAGTCATGGATCCTGGGAGAGGATGAGCTATTTACCAATACTATTTGGCAAGAAAACGAACCTGAGGATGAGGGGGTGGGGAGGAGAGGAGGCAGCTTTCAGCACCTCCAACTTAGTTCAGCCCAGAAGAAGAATGTTCAAGTGGATGGAGGAAGACTGGGAGAATGTAGGCTGATTAACATGACAACTGGACCCAGATTATTGGCGAGCCAAACTGGTCCAGTTAAGGATGAAAGCCAAGGTAAGATCCCAAGAACTTGGACCCTTTCAAAGTGTATCTGCCACTGACCAGAAAGAACTAGGAGTAGCAGGAAAACCTTCAGGGCCGAACAGGAGCGGAGAAGCTGCCCAGGCAGACAGGTGAGGGTTAAGGCTCGGGGCCCACTGGCTCGGGGCTTTGATCTTGACAAAGCCCTCTTCGTGACCTCCAGAGCAACGCTGTCCACCATTCCACAGAAGAGGAAGCTGCAGAGGGTCGTGGGCCTGGCCAACATCGTCCCGCCGGTGCAAGTTGGAGCCCAGACACCCGTGGGTGGCAGACCCAGGATTCTCTTGACGTCCAAGCTAATGCAATTCCCACTGTAGCTGGGATTCTTAACCTGGGACCCGTGGATTTCACCTCAGGCATTTTAGAACGGGGTCCTGAGGGGGTCTGTGACACAAGACGCTAAAGCATTCCTGTGCCAACGGGGACCCTGACCATTATGCTGCCTCTCCACTTAACAAAGGAATAGACAGTAAAGATACACCCTGTGAGCTCCACACACCTCAATCAACAAACCATTTAAAATGTCTGATTGATTTGTTTTCCAACCTTGAGCCACGTGGCATACAAAAGTTTATTTAAAAAAACTTCAAGAGCAATAAATATAGGAAGAAACACAGAAATAACAAGAAACAATGTCTGCAAAGTCACAAATCTGTGCCCGGGCCTGGCTGACTGACCAGGTAACCTTCGAGGCTCCCCACTCCTGTCCAGAGTCCTGGGAAATCCATGGCTATGATAAAGCCAGGCCAAGGTTACAAGTGCTGACTTCAGCAGGTTCCAGACAGGTGAGCAGAGAACGTGACGCCTTGGAAAAGATCACTGGATGATGCAGCGGTGGGCTGCCCTCACAGGAGATGTGAGGGCGCATTTAACGGCCTGGGGTTTGAGAGGAATAGAACACAGCCCATTATAAACAACCACCCCCCAGCCCCTCTTGTCCTCAGCCAGGACATCCTTTCCACTCACCCCGGGGGCCAAGAGCTGGTATGGAGACTCCTAGGAATCACAGCTGGAAAAGAGCCCCCATCCCAACTCTTCAGCACACTGCCTGTTTGGTGACAGGTGGAGGCTTCCCAACCTCCAAAAGATTTGTGCCTCAGTCGTCAGTATGCCAACGGGAGTGAGCCGAGGACCCAGGAGTGGACTGCTGAGTTAGACTGCAAATAAATGCCTTCACCCAGAGCATTTGGTAAATGGCAACATTCTGCACCTGGTCAGCAACTCAAAGATTTCAAAGCTTAAATCATCACATACTCAGCCTCAGGACAGCAAGAGGTTAAACGGCATCATCCCTATTTAATAGGAGGCTGGGAGGCATAAGAGGACCCATCGCCTGCAAGGTCACTCACTGGGAATGGAATCCAAGATGCCTGATGCTTCTAGCTCCCAGGACCATGAGACACAACCCAGCCACTGTTTTTGGCTAGCTGGAGCATTTGTTTGGGTGTAAGCAAAGAGGTGATGATATTCAAAACTCAACTTGCACATTAAAAAAAAAAAAGATCCAGCCCACATTAGGAATTCAGGGAAAGAGCCTGACAGGCTGAAACTTGGGGCGTTGCTCACCAAGAGGAGCAGTGTAAAAGGCCAGCAGGATTCACTTAACCTCGTGGTTTGGTATGTGCTGGCTGAAGAGCCTGGGGGCCTGGGGCTAACTCGGCCCAGGGTATAGTGACTGACAACAGGGAAATGGACATGTTGTGCAGGACGCTGAGCTCCAAGCTGGGGGCAGGGGCTGGGCCAGAGACAAGAGACCACTGAGCTTTCCAGCCTTCATCCCCTGAAGCTGCCCTGTCATCCAGAAAGGGCCCCCACCCCGAAGACAAGAGGCACATCATTTCTTGGTCAATACATTTTAATTGAACAGTCAGCACAGCAAAGGCTGCTTGCTCTCTAAGGTTAGAGAGCTTTGCAAACCAACCTGACACAGTGAAAATCGGCTCCCAAAAACATCCCAAGAAAAAAGGTGTCCACGTTTTTCCTTTGCAAAACTTTCCTCTTGTTTTAAAAACCTTACAATTGTATCATGTTCCATTTGGGAAAAAGAAAGCAAATTCAGAGTCAAGAAAATGGATACTTATGCGCAGTCCATTCACCAGTAAATCACTAAGTTCAATTCACAGATTTCGGTCAAGTGCTTTTCATAAAATGAATGTTTATGTTTAATCTCGTAACTTAAGAAGTGAAATTTTCCACATTCCTGAATGTAAAGCTGGCATCTGTAAGGGGAGAAGGCTCTTTTGGACAATCATGCAAATTTAATCTCTCCCCATAAATAAAAACACAACCTGACAGATTAACAAAACGTGTCTCTCCATATTCTACTCCACCACCTCCTCCCTGCAGCCACGACTGACTGATGGCCCACTTCCTCAGACTCTCCACTTTCCGAGTGTCCGCTGCATTGTCAGGGATGCTCACAGAGAGGAATAAAGACTTTATTATCCCCTCCCCAGCCCCAAAAAAAAGTGATCAGTACAAAAAAGCCGTTTTCTGTTATTCGGCTGAGAATTTCTTTCCATGATTTCTCCCATTAAAGTATAGTTTTCAAAGCAACCACTACGACAAAGGAAGCATCTAATTAGTCCATTTTCTTCTGATCCAAGAATGCTGAGCATTCACTGTCCCATCTGCGGCAGTATCAGCAGGGTAATGAACACAGTTTCTATTACTTAACTACTCTTTGAACTCCAAGAACTGCTGAAGTCTCTTCTGATGCTCAGCAGATGCCTGCACCGCGCTGAATGAAACAAATTCAAAGCATAAGCTTATTTTACGTGAAGCACATTAAGTGAACCACAGAACATGAAGCCAGTATTGCTCAGAACAATTAAACAGGTCCGTCTGAGGCCCCGCTTTGAAATCTAGGGGCCAGTGGGGGAAGCCGGGGAGCCCTGGCCAACGGGCGTGAGGAGGGGCATTCACCATGGAACCTGCTTCGGACGCTGAGTTTGACACCGGGCAGTGAATTTTCTGGATTTTATTATTTGATTTGATCCAGAGCCCTGCACTATCTCGGGGCTGTGGGTTTTCTGGATTGCCTTTCATGTAAGATCCCTTAAACCAAACTGTTTGGTTAGAACACAAGGGCCACAGGACGTGTTCTCAAAGGTAGCGGCTCAGCGGTTCTATTTCCTTTCCCTCTGAACCCAAGGATGGGTAATTTTAGTTTTTTTCATTCTCCTCCAAATCTATCACCATACTAATACTAAGGCAAATCTACCTAGACACTCACTGTGAAGTGGCCCTTTTTTTAGCTTCTGAGGATAAAAAAGAAACAAAACTGAGCAGGTTCTGAAAGCAGAGGGAGGATGCGCAGAGGCAGAAGTGGGGAGACCTGGCTTCAGACCCAGCTCTTCAACAACTAGCCACGTGACCCTGGGCAAATCTCTTCCCCCGCACAGGGCCTCATCTTCCTCATCTGTGAAGTGGGCCAGGAAAAGGTCACTGCGTGCTGCAGTCAGCAAGCCCACACGGCACGCCATGGGGAGGCTCTTTGTACAAGGGCCACCAGCTCTGAAGGATGGGGCACTGCAGTAAGAGCCCCTCAGGGGTCCCTCCGGCTCCTCATTCTCTCTGAGACACCGCCTACGCAAACTGTCCAGATGACTGAAGCTGACCCTTCTAAGGAGTAAAACACCACTTCACTATTTTACTTGGAATTGATAAAGTTAACTAGACACTTCCCTGTCATCGTAATTACGTGAGGAAGAGAACTGAGGCTTTTCTGAATGATTCAGGGCCACAACACTGAACAAGGAAGAACAGAAGAAAGCACCCTACAGGAGGATCAGGGCCCTGGGTTCTAATCCTGGTTGTACCAAAAAAATCTGTGTGACCTCACCTAAGCCACTAACCCCCTATGAGGTTTGGGCTGCACGAAGCAAGGGATGGAGAGAGAGGTACCCAGATGACTCCCCCATCAGCGCTGGCCTGGGATGACCTGGGCCGGTCTCTCCCGCTAGGCTGACCTTTTGAGAAGCAGTGTCTGCCTGTGCTTCTTTAGGGGTCTCCCTCCCAACCTTCCTTGGACTCACAACTTTGATCTGCAGTGGGGGAGGCACACAGGGCCCCAAGTGTGTTACGACGCCTAAACTAAAAGTGACCTGGTCCTGAAGGGGTGTGCCAGCCAGCGTAAACACTCGGTGGCACCTGTGTGGGCCGTTCTGGGCCGTCCCCACTGTGTTCCAGAGAGGTTCCGCTGCCAGAAAAGTGAGGGCTCCACTCATCGACACCAAGCTGTGGATGGGGGAAGTCTTTCCTGGTCATTCTTTTATGCTTACTGGACAATCTTGTGACCGTGGCCTTGCTCCTCCTGTCTCACACTTACAGCTTCTGTCTCCTTGGAGGCAGGGGCCACACTGTGTCCGATACTTATCTGCATCCCCTTTGCTCCTGTCGTGACAGCCTCTCGAAGCGTGGGAGCCAGAAGAGGACTGAGAATGCCTCACCCAGGCCCCCCAAACCAAACTCTACCCTTCCTAGTAAGGAAGGCCTGCTATCCCCACTGGCAGGGGTAGATCCGGAGGACTCAAGGAGTGGGGACCTACAGCTGGGGGGAGGGCAGACAAAAGGAAGAAGGAAGGAGGCAGGGTGGGAAGGGGAAGAGCTTTATGATCTCGGTCACAACAAAGGACCAGCCTCACTAAGTCTAGCATAAGAATCCCAGCCACCAGGAGACAACTGTCTTTTCAGCCACATCAGCTCACAAGACTATTCAGGGATGAAGGAGCTGTGTCCTGAGGCCCCTCGAGGGGCAGGTTACTTATCCAAGATCCAACAGGATCTTTGTCAAGCATCTAGCACAGAGTATGGCACACAGCAGGCACCCAATAAATGTCTGTTCCCTTCCCCCACCCCTCTTCCAAGGTCACACGGGGAGTCAGTGGCAGATAAAAGATGAGAACCAGTCTAATCTGCACTACACCAAGCTGCCTCACTCAAAAACAAATGACATTCACTGAGAAGTGACAAGACAGCTTGCTTATCTCAGCTTCTCAAAAACCCCTTCTGGCATTTTAACTGGTATTACATCAAATCTACACAATAATTTGGGTATACTTTCTTTTTAACCAGGTTTATCTGACCTATCCATGGACAGCGAATGTCCTAATTATTTCTATCTTCTCTTCCTGTCAATAATTTGATATTTACTTTTATAAGTATCACCTATGTTTAACTTACTTCCCAAATACTTACTGGTTCTTGTTGAAAAAGTTTCTCATCATGTTTCCTTGGTATAATTGGTAGCATGAAAGTCTGAATAATGTTTATGGGTTTCTATATACTGACACCTTGATGAACTTAATGCCTCCATTTTTTTTTTGCTGAGATCATTGTATTTTCTAGACATTTGTAAATAATATCTTATCCTCTTCATTTTCTAATATCTTTCTCCTGTGTTATTAGGCTGAGTAGTGTGGCAGCGAAAGGGCAGCCTCAAAAGCACAAAACCAGTCCTACCTTTGACCCCTCCGGGCCATGAAACTGACCCTGGGCTGGTGGAGAGGAGGCGTGACCCTGCACCGGACGAGGCCTTCCCTACACAAACGAAGGCCCAGGCCCAGTTTATCCCCAGGCTATCCCCAACACCAGCACATCTAATACAATCTCCACACCGAAATGGAGAGAGTACAGAGACCCCTGTGAGTCTGAATGCCACTTCTGCCACTCACTCAAAGTGTTCAGGGGAAAGGCAGTGAATGTCACTGAGCCTCAGTCTCCTCCTATGTAAAATAGGGATGATAATACTTGCCCTAACAGTTTCTCAGGGCTATGAGGAAAGTGCTGTCAATCTGAAAAAGAGCTCTAGAAATGGGGTGGGGTGATATCCCCCAGAAAGGGTGAAAGTGACTCTTAAATCTGACTTTGGTGGGCAGGCTTGCACCTTTACACAGCACATAATGGGGACTTTTGATTTCAACTATATTATTTTTATCATGTGAAAAAAGACCCTCTATCTCTTCTGTATGACTGTCACGAGTAAATGTTCCATCCTGCCAACATCTTTCCTACTAATGATATTACATGGATTTTTTAGATGGTCCTCACAAAATGATGTCTCAGACATGCATCGCGGGCAAAGAAGCAGCCTTGACACGAACATGACCGCAGCGTCAGCCCTGCCTCTGAGACGTCCACGCCCAGGCTGGCTGGGACCCCAAGCAAGGCTCCTAACATCTCATGGACCTTCCTCTAAGAAGAGAACAAGCAGAGAAGGGCCCCAGCTGAACGGGGAGCGGGAATCGCCACAGGCCTGATCCAGAAAGGGCCTAGATGTATGGCTGATTCACGAGGAGTAAGTCATTAATGCCTGCTCTACGGGCCAGCGCCGACTCAGACACCTCACTGTCCTGGGGAGGCAAGCCTGGACCGCACACGTGTGCTTGTGTGCGCTGTATGTAGGAAGACGTGTGTGGGGTGTGTGTGTATGTGTGCTTATGTGTGTGTACGTGGTGTGTGTGTGTGCTGTGTGGGGAGTGAGAGGTGTGTGTGGTGCTTATGTGTGTGTGTGTATGTGGTGTGTGTGTGTATATGGTATGTGTGTATGTGGTATGTGTGTTGTATGTAGGAGGTATGTGTGCTTATGTGGTGTGTGTGTATGTGGTTGTGCTTGTGTATGTGGTATGTGTGTGTACGTGTGTGCGTGCTGTGTGTGGGGGTGAGGTGGGGTGTGTATGCGCTGTGTGTAGGCTTATGTGTGGTGCATGCATGATGTAGTTGTGTGTGTGTGCTTGTGTGTGTGTATGTATGTGGTGTGTGTGCATGCATGTATAATTCAAGGACAGCCCGGCAGAGGCCAGAGGGGCGAGCCTCAGCTCCACACTTCCAGGGGTGAGCAGAGGACAAGTCTACACTGAGCCAGCAGAGATCCTCCAGTGACCCTCTTCTTTTTGCTCTGATGTCTATCTTTTTATTTCTCATTTTGATGATTTGGGTTTTCTTTCTCCTTTTTCTGATTAAGCTCACTTATGTTTTGTCAATTTTATTAGTCTTAAAAACAGCTCTGGCATTTATTAATTTAGTATTCTCATATTCTTAACTCTTTGTTCTGGCTTTTAACATTATTATCTCTTCCTTGTTTTTCTTTGGAGGAAAAAGCATGAGATCACAGAAAAGCAACAGACTCGAGGCATACAGACTGGATCCAGCCCACACTCCCACTGACTGGGTGACCTTCAGCCTGTCCCCTCCTCTCTCTGCACCTAGCTGCACGTATAAAAAAAAGGGAGTGGGGCACTGGTCATTAAAGCCCCCTTCAGGGCCCTCCGGCTAGGAAAGTGAGCAGGGCCCAAGGGAGGTAGATACCCTCTGCTCCTCACCTTCAGGGCCTCCTGGGGTCCCCCTCTCACTAGCCAGGAGCGAGGAAGGGCTCACAAGGGAAGAGCAGCCCCCACGGAGGGCTGAAGCACTCTAGCTCTCTCCCTAGGGGTTTCTCCTAAGGGCCTCTCTCTAGCTGTTTCCAAGCACATCTTTCCAACAGGAGTCACCAAGGAGGGCTCAATTTAGCGCTGCAGCATCGGAACCCCTGCCCTGGTCTGCGGGCCGACATTTGGGCAAGGGTGTTAAACGCCTTTTCTCAAAGGTTGGTTGCTTCAGTGCCAAGCTTCCTGCTGTGTTTTAAAGGAGAACCTTTAGCAGTGTGGGAGGTTACAAAGCCCCTCCAGCTCCTTCCTTTGCGGCCTGACTCCCATTCCCGGGGTCCCCCAACACTTCTCTACTCTCTTCCCCTCTATCGTGGTGCTCCTCACCTCCTGTGGCCTTCCTTGAACAAGCCAACACGCCTGTGGGTCCTGGGCCTAAACGGCGAGGAGGAAGACTCCAGGCAGCGGCTGTGCTTCACACGTTTATCTGTCTGGACCATCAGACTTGACACTGATTCTTACTCTGGGCTCCAAGAAGGGCTCTCCCGGCTCGTAATCATGAGAGCCGCCCTGAGCAGCTGTGAACCCCACAACTCTCAGATGAGCACCCGACCTCGGGGAGCTGCTGAAAGGGAGCAGGGACTCCAGACAGACTTACTTGAGGTGTTCCCCAAAGGTGGTAGTTATCCTGTAGATGGCAGTTTTCAGGGACGCACGGAGCGCAAACCTCAAGGTCTTATAAGAAGTGTCCACGAGGCTTCCCGAGAGCCTGGGTGGTCGGCTGGACGCATGCGGCAGCTTGAAGTGTTTGTCGACTGCCTAACAGACAAGGGGAAGTTGGCTAGCTTAGAACTGGCTACTGAGGCCTGGTTCACAGGATCGAATCACATCTGGGCCCCTGAAAGGCTACTCAGTGGCAGGACACCTTCGGAGAGAAAAGAATCACATTCTTCTGGGACGTAAACTCTCAGTCCCGAGCCGAGCCGCAGAGGAAGCTCGAGGCCTGCACCTCCTTGTCAGGCTCCTGAACCTTCCTCCTCAGCTTGGCTCGTCATCCAAGACACACCTGGGCTGGTCACTGTCCTGTGCACCCAGGCGCCGGCACCTTGGCCTCAATCCACAAGCATCTTTTAAAGCAGTTACACGCCAGGCGCCTCTGAGAGACCGTGTGTGTGCACATGCTCGGGAGTGTACGAGGCAGGTCTGGGCCTTAGACCTGGGATCTCGCTGATGTGGAGCCCCATGCACACCTGGATGCAAAGGGGAGCCATCAGAGGGTGGGCGGGCAGGCGGCACATGGAGCTGGGCCATCACAGAACAAGGCCAAAGGCTCGTCCTGAGCACGACCAGTAAAACCACTCACGAGGTCCCTCAGCAGGGCAGATTCAGTGGCAGTAGGCTTGGGACACTACAAGAACTGGGTCCAGATCCCCCGCTGACCCTCATGAGCTGCTCAGCCTCAGTGCCCTCCTCTGGGGCTAGGCACAAGGTCCCCAGAGCCCTTCTCTCACAAAGCTGCTGTGAGGCTGAGTAGTGCCCTGTGTGGGCACGGTGGTGATCGCCAGTGCCCCTCAACCCCTTGGACAGAGCGAGCACAGGACAGAAACAGCTCACCCTCTCTGAGGGGCCGAGCCCAGGGCCGGGGCTGGGGGGCCAGCAGAGCCAGGATTTCACCCAAGGGCTCCTTCTCTCAGTCCTGGTAACCCCGCAGCGCTCCCGCCTTCTCTCAGCTTCAGGGGCCCAGCTCCATCTTCCTTTCAGAAGTCCCAAACTGGATGTCCAGCAGACATCTTAAATTCAATGTTTCCAAAATGGAACTCAAATCCCTTCCCCCAAATCCTCTCCCCCTCCTACCCTCCCTATTACTACAGAGGCAACACCCCCCCATCCCTCAGGCTCACACCCCAGGAGTCATCCTCAACTCCTCCCTCTAACACCCCCACATCCCATCTGTGGCCAAGGCCTGTCAAGTTCACCTTTGCGCCACCTCTCAAATACGCTCCCTTCTGTGCTGTGATGACACCCCCATTCTGGTGCAGACCCTCATCCCCTCACACCTGGACCACTGCAGTAGCTGCTGTGGGGGGGGGGTGTCCACTGCCTCAAGTCTCTCCCTCCTCCAGCCCACCTTCCATTCAGCCACCAAAGCCATTTTCCTAAAACACAGCTCTGCTCGTGTCACTCACTCCCACACACACTCAAACTCCAATGACCCAATCGCCTCCAGATCAAACACATCCTCTGCTCGGCAACCCCAGCCCCTCATCACCGCCCCCCCCCCACTTCCCAGTCTTCCCACACCTAACTAGTGACCCCACCCTCCAGCTGTTCCACAAACAAGGCCCTCCATCTCTGGGCTCTGCGCACTCTCCCCCATGCCTGGAAGGCGCTCCCCCTCCTCCGCCCTAACTACTGACCTCCTACCTTCCTCAGGAAGCCTTCCCCAAGCCCTTTTCATTCTAGCGCCTTCCTTCTGTTCATCATCGCCTAGTCATCCTGTATGTAACTTGTCTGTACATATCTGTTTGCATACCTTAAACTGTAAGCAGCCGCGAGGAGAGGAACTGTCTTTTGCCTCTTTTTGTACCCCCAGCACTTAGCAGTCGCCTGGCACACAGCAGGGGCTCAATAAATGTTTGCCTATGGGTAGGAATACCAACAACAACCCCCAAGAGGCAGTATGGCACAGAGGATCAGGAAGACCTCCAAGCTGAGCTGACTGTGTGACTGTGGCTAAGTCACTGACATTCCGAGTGCCCCAGGCTCCGGATGGGCATGGGGTGAGAGTTCCATGTACAGCTAAACTCTGTTTCAAAACAGAAGGCCCAACTCATTTACACAGCACTTTAGGGGTTTGCCAGCATCCCATAAGGGAGGGAGTACAAGTAGGATTTTCTCATCTGTAAAATGGGAAAACTAAGGTTTTGTGAGCTGAAAAGAAGAACCTCGAAGAGAGGTTGCCCTGATGACACTGCCCTCCCACAACCGTGGCCCCTCCCTGGTACGGGCTGTGCGTGTCCATTCCTGGCCGGGCAGAAGCCTGCTCTGGGGGCCATGGCAATCCTCAACACCTGGGAAACACAGGCCCTGTCCAGCCGCCAGAACCAGACCAGGGAGAGAGGCCCCGTGCCGTGGCGGGCAGGCAAAGGGAGAGGCACTGACTCTCGCCCGCCTTTCTCTCCTCCTTCCCCACCCACACATTTTAGGCTGGTCAGGGGTGAGCCCTGGGCCTGCATCAGGATACGAGGAGGCGGCGTTCCCTGCGCTGCCCAGGGCGACGAGGAAGCTGACCGCCAAAGTGATGGGTAACCACAGAGGAGGGGGGGAGTTAGGTAATTTTAAGCTCCTGCCCCCATCAGATGGGGACGGCCTCCATCTCCACTCCCCACCTAATGCCCCAAACAGGGGCTCAGCAAAGGTTACCAGGAGCCCATCAGCCAGTCAGAGACGCAGACAGATGGTACAAAGACAGTCTGGACAAAAGGGGCCACAGCCCCCCACTGCTGGGTGACCCCAGACAATCCTAACAGTAAACAAGTGGACGGCTCTCAAGGAGAGGAAGGCAAGAAGGCCCCTCCTCAGCCTTGGTGCTCAAAGGCCCGACGTCACACAGACCCTGTCCCTTGTTGACTGGGTGACCTGGAGGAGGTCACTGCCCTTCTCTGAGGCTCGGAATGACCCCTCCCAAGGTGACCTTCGGTGCACAGCTTCCGACAGCAGCCACCTGCGTGTCCTACCTCTTGCAGCATCAGCAGAGTGCTCAGAATGGTGGGGAGCGTGGTCTGGACAACCCCAAACCTGTCTTCAGTAAAGGATGCTGCTACCAAGTGGGACAGACCTCAAAGGAGAGACAAACAAACCGCAGGCTCTAATGCAATCGCAACAGAGATGGCATTTCCCCCCTCGGGGGCCTCCTCAGGCACCAGGCTGTGCTCTCGGAGCCCAGGGTGCCCCTGCTTCCCCACTGTCTATGGAAGGAAGCTGGGGAGGCAGCCTGGCCCCAGGCCGGACTCCCCACCCACCCACCGAGGCTGGGTTTCATGAAGTCTCATATGACGAAAGACGCTGTCCCCCACCAGAGAAAGAACTGATGGCATCTGAATGCGCATCGAGGCGTACTGGTTTATTTTCTTTATTTTTCGCCTTGTTTTCTCTCACAACATGAGTATTGTGGAAATACGTTTTGTAGGACTGAACACGTATAGCCTTTATCAAATTGCTCACCTTCTCAATGAGGGGGAGGGGGAAGGAGAGTGGAAGAAAATTTAGAACTCAAAGTCGTAAAAAAACAAAGGTTAAAAACTGGTTTTGCATGTAATTGGAAAAAAGATATTAAAACTTAAAAAAAAAGAACACCTTACCTTCTAATGCCCAGATGTGCATCTGAGCATCTGCAAAAACTGCCTGGATAGAAGCCTCTGGGTGCTAAGAACAAAGAGAAAAGAGTTCACTTTGGCGGCGGTGGCGGACAGCGTGCTCTCACCCGCCCGCACACGGCCCAGCAGCAGCAGACGGCGTGCTCTCGCCCACCCCCAGACCAGGGGTCTGAGTACAACAAGCAACAACCGGGCCTGGGGAAACCATCTGTCAAATGAAAAGTCTCAGATGGAGGCTTCCAAAGTCTCTCGGCTCCCAAACTCTTTGAGGCTTAAGAGTGAAATTCTAAGATGGATTCTTATACATTTACATTTTAAAACAGTCGCCCAGCAACGTGGTGCCCCCAGCAGGAGCAGCAGTGATACTGCCACTAGGCCTAGAGCTCAAAGAAAGAGCTAAAGGCCCACAGGTGCAAAATATTTATTTCTTAAAATTAACTTTTTTCTAATAAAAATCAATTTTCTCTCCCCTCAATCCCTCCCCAAAGACAGAAAGAGAAACAAAACCCTTTAACCACATAACACTATCTCAACCCGGTGCACAGCGTGTCTCAGCACCAGTCCTCTGGGATTGTGACTGGCACTGTACTGCTACCTTGACAATATCGTTGTTTTAATACAAATTCTCTGTTCTGCTCACTTCCCCCCCACATCAGTTCACACAAGTCTTCCCGGGTTTCTCCAAAACCACCCCCTTCATCATTCTTTATGGCACAACAGTATTCCATTACATTAATGCCCCACAAAAACTGCCATAAGTGTAAGTGTGCACGTGTGTACGTGTGCGTGTGTCCCCCCCTCTTCTTTCTTCAATGTCTCTGGGGCTGGCAGGTTTTGTTTTTGTTTTTTTGGGGGGCAGGCAGGTGGCCCACTGGACAAAGTGCCAGACCCGGAATCAGGAAGACTGGGTTCAAATCCTGCCTCAAATTACTTATTAGTTATATGACCTGGGCCAAGTCATTCAACCTGCCCACCTCAGTTTTGTCATCTGTAAAATGGGGATAATAGCAGCACCTGCTTCATAGGGTTGAGGTAAGGAACAAAGGAGAACATTTGAAAAGCATTTAGCAAACCTCACAGCATGATATAGATGCTGCATAATGAAATGAGTAGATTTACAAGAACAATTTATATGTGTCGTTCCGTTGCTTCAGTCACGTCCAACTCTTCATGACCCCTTTTTTAGGGTTTTCTTGGCAGACACTGGAGTGGTTGGCCATTTTCTTCTCCAGCTCATTTTATAGACGAGGAAACTGAGGCAAACAGGGTGCGGTGACCTGCCCAAGGTCACGCGGGTCTTCCGGACTGCAGGATGGTGCTCTGTGCACTATGGCGCCACCCAGCTGCCCAATTGATACACTACTGTACAAACAGCTCACGCTTCAGCACTATAAAGTTTGCACAATGCTTTACAAAAATGTTCTCCTTTGCTCCTCCTCATCCCCTGGGATGACCCTGCTTCTCCCTTCCTCCCCAAAGGGGGATGGACAGGGGTGGGGAGAGACAAGAGACAGCCATTTTGTGGCTGTGACTGATGGGGAAGTGATGGCTGATGGCAGAGTCAATTACGCATACTCATCAGCAGGGTTTGGCTTCTAATGGTTGGGGGAGAAGACAGGGAAGTGGGCTTTGAAGGTGAAAAAAATGGATTTCTGTTAATTAAAAAAATCACATTTCATTTTTAAATTAAAAAGAAGGTCTGGGGACTAGAGCAGCAGTCAGGCCTGTGCTGGCTCCGCCCCAGGCATCGAGAACATGCCATGTCTGGCTCCACGGGCCCTGTCAGCTGCACTCTCTGTGGCCCACATCCCTGGCCCTCGAGTCCAGAGCATCCTGGCCCACTAAACCTCTCCACCATCTTTTCCCTAAAAGCTGCCCTGCTCTTCCCAGGTCCTTCCTTCTCCCACCTGAACAGCAATCACCTCTGCACGAAGTCGCCTCCCCAAGATGCCCAGCTGGGGCTAGTCCCCTTCTGCTATCCCCAGATGTGGCCAGGTGTTTCCTACAGAAGGCACTCAATCAATGTTTGCTCTGAACCGGAAACAAATGCTAATGGTGGTGTGGGTATAAGGAAAGCAGTTCTGGTCGTCAAAGATTAATTAACGCAAAGCAGCCAGAGCCCAGGAAACAGGGATGCATCTTCAGCATCTGCAAAGGGACTGATTCTCCTTTGGTATCTGCAGTTCCTGGCGGGCGAGGCCACCCCACAGCTCGGTACACATCATGAGTAGCCCCCGACACCCATTCCAACTCCAGCACCCTGGCCTTTCCTGACTTTGGAGGTGATCAGAGTGATAGGCCGGGAAGCTAGACAGGCAGCCTCGGCTTGCTCCAGACACACAGATGGAGAGCCGGGCAGGGCGGTGCTAGGCACTCCAGACGTGCACTCTGAGCTTCACTTTGCTCATCTGTAAAGTGAGGACACTGAAAGATGTGACTCCTGAGCCTCTGACACTCAGGTTCCTGCCTGGATGTTCTCTGGGCCCTCCCAGACCTGACATTCTGGGCTCTAAGATGTCAGTCTAGATCAGAGACCTTCACAACTCTTGTGGCCTGGACACCCTGGGCAGCCAGCTTGGGAAAGGGCAAGAATCTGTTGGCAGAAGCAGGTTTTTCAATGCACAGAATACAAAGGACTGCAGCTGACAATTGAAATTGTCATCCAAACAGTAAGAAAAGCAAGCTCCCGGCCAGCCTCGCCTAGGCCAAGGCCTCCCGTGACAGACACTGGATGGACAGAACCCTGCTCTGCAGAACAAAGAGCTACCGACTCCTGCAGCAGCGGCCCAAGAGCGCCGCCTCTGTGCCCAGCCCCTCACCCCCGCCACCCCTCCCCCGCAGGCCGGGTCCTCACCTTGCTGAAAAAGTACACGATCAGCACACGCTTGGACAGGAAGCTCTTCACCTGGGCAGGGAAAGAGACAATTACGGGCCGGGCCAGAAGGTACCGCCTCCAATCGGGTGACACCAACAACCACAGCAGGGGGCAACCTGGGCCATCGGCTAGCCAGGAAGCTGCTGTGGCCACCCGGCTCCGGGGAAGATCGAGGGGGATTCCAGAGGCCACCCCCTCCCACTAAGACACTGGCCAGACACACGTGCTGGGGACAAGTCCCTGGCAGGAAGACAGCAACCTGAACAGCACCTGGCTACAAATGCCCCGGTCACCTCTGACCTCCAGGGCACCCCATCCTCCCCACATCGAGGTTTTAACTCCAGAGCCCTCGGAGAGTCCCGAGCGCTCATCCAGTCCTGCCCCACCACTTGACAGAGGAAGAAACTGAGGCCCAGAGGAGCGACATGCCTTGTCCAAGGCCATGCAGGTACTTGGTGGCAGAGCTGGGATTTGAACCCAGGATATCCGGACCCAGCGCTCTTTCCACCGTACCATACCGTGCCTTCTTCTGTAAATTTGGGAACCAAGATGGGCATCCCATGTTGACTACAAATACCCACGTGAGCTCTGACCGTCCCCCGCCTCCCGAGGGCCCAACATAGTTCCTGGCACAGACGGGGCTCAGTGAATCACCCAGCCCTCCCCTCTCCTGACCCGTCGTCCAGACATCCCTCTGAGGGTCAAAGGCTCCTTCCCACCCTTCTTAGGGGAGGCAGGCGGTGCTCCCACCCTTCCATCCCCCCAGGAAGCCACCAGACTTGCTTGGCTGTCGATGGACGGCATCTCCCGTGGCTGGCGGTACACTGAGAGGATGACAGGCCGTGGTCTTTAAGACCACACAGTCAGCCACTTCTGTCCCCAGATCACAGCCTTGCCCATGACCTGCGGCCACCAAGGAGGAGCAGCCCTCCCCAGGGAGAGAATCCTGGCGCTCCCCCGCCTACCTGCTGCTGTTTACTCTGCAGCCACGCATACAGCTTCCTGGGCGGGCCTCTGCCTTTGTGTTTGGCCTCACAACTAACAGACAGAGGGAATGAGCCAGGGCTCTGGGGCCCATTGCTTTGCAGATCTAAGGAGAGAAGCGGGGAGGGGGTGTTTGGTCTATTAAGTTCGCTTTAGAGTGACAAAAATGTCCACACAGAACACACAAATCTGCCTTGGTGCTAATCAGGGCTGACAAAGAAGGAAGCTCCCTCCAGCCCACCCTGTGGGGGCCTCTGCCGCCTCTCCTTCCCCTCCAGGCGGCACTGCAGACTCCCTCTACCACAGACCTCCCTCCGACTCCATCAGAGGTGCTGTCTTCCCCCATTAGAATGGAAGCTCTTCAAGGGCAGGGAGTGCCTGTCTTTCTGCTTGTGTACTTGTGGTCCAGGGTGCAGCACAATCCTAAAGTAAGTGCGTGGTAACTACACACTGACCTGACCGCTAATCAAACTCAGGACAGACATAGGAAAGAAAACCAGCCAGCGCTCACCTGTCAGTGAAGTCCACAGTCTGGGGCCTCTTCTCATCAGCTGGGGACTCGGGGGGCCCTCATACGCAGGACACTTGCAGTCTCCTACCCCCGCCATCCGACTCCCAACATTGTCACCAAACAGGGAGATGACCGGAGCGGGGGAGTCAGGAGAAGCAAATTTGGAAGAAAAGAGGGACGCTTTTACCAGCGATGGCATCAAAGCCTTTGACATCAGCCTGGCCTTGGGAGTCTGAAAGGTAATTTCTTCTGTAAAAAAACCAAATATATGTGTGTTAGCGAGCTTTCCTCTGCCAGTGAGAAGAGGGGGGCCAGGCCCCAGAGGCCACCTCCTGCGTGGCCCAGGTGCCCATTAACTAGCTGTCTGAACCAGTCGTGGTACATGAACGTAAGAGATGACAGGCTAGAGAAGAACCAGAAAACATCCACAGAAATCTGGGGAGACTTTTGTGAACCTGAGCAGAGGGATGCTAGTAGAACCCAGAGAATATGGACCGCAAGAGGCTTCAGAACACTCCTCCATACAGGGACCAAAAGGAACCCGCACCTGACAGCAGAACAAGCCTCCTCCCTCCAAAACCCAGAAGAGAAAAAAGGGGGCAGGGAAGGGGTGGGAGAGGCATGGGGCACAGCCCCTGGTCTCCAGGCCCCCATCCCAAAACTCTGTGGTGCCACCTCCTTAGCTCAGAGGACCAGTGTAGACCCTTCCAGCTGCCTCTTTCCAATGCAGGGCCCTGGCTCTTTGGCCAGTTCCCAGAGAGCGAGCCTGGTGTGTGCTGCCTTACCGTGGGATCGTGGCGTGCCATTCAAGCTCTCCAAACCTCAGTGTCTCCATCTATAAAATGGGGCTAATAGGGGCTAATAGGCACACTTGAGACAGTGAAGCAGCTCATGAGAGGAGGGAGGACAGCAAGGTGGCCCAGAGCAAGGGCTGGGGCGGGGGGGGGAATGGCAAGGCAGCCTGCGGGGCACCCTGACTTACCTTCCATCACCCGGGGCTTCTCTGACTCGACAGGGCTGGGCGGGGGCTTCACTCGTCCGTTGGTGGCCGCGGCTTCTTGGTAGATCACAAGTTTCTGGGTCAAGTCGTTCAGCAGAGCCAAACACTCACGAGATATGGCCACCCAGTTGTGGGGGTGCCCCCCTAGAGATCAGACAACAGTCCTAAAACTCAGCCAACACCCCCATCACAACACGACAGAGGAAAACAAGGGCAGAGCCTCAGAGCCGGGGTCAGCTCTCCCGGCCACCACCCGCCCTGGACGCCCGCGGACAAGGCCCAGACAGGGCCTCCCAGACCCCCCTGCCTCTTCCCCTTCCTTTGTCCCTGCTCTGCCCTCGGCAGCCGAGCTAAAGGAGCCCACCTGGCTTCCAAATACCCGACACAGCCACACTGAGACGTACCATCTCAGGCTCAACGTTCCCACTTCTTTCCGCGGTTCCCCAGGGGCTCTGGCTTTGAGATGCCCTCATCTTGCTGGATACCCTTCCCTGGATGCCCTCCAGTTTTTCGCTGTCTTCTCTAAAATGTGGTGCCCAGAACTGGACACAAACTGCTCCGATGACAGCAGGGAGGGGGGCCGGCGGCGTCCCCACCCTACCTGCTCGGCGGGGACGCCAGCCATGCGGCCCGGCCACATCCCACCGCTGACTCCTATGACTACGATGCTCTCTCCAGGCTTTTTCCACACACATCGATACAGGGCTAGACTTCCTCCATTTTAGACTTGGGTTAAAACACCTTTAATTAACTGTACCAGGATAGGGCTTTACATTCATCCTCATGAGGTTTCTGGCCCACCATTTCAGTCAGCTGAGAAATTGTGGAATCCTAATTCTGTCATCTCTTTTTCCAAAATCTTCCTTCCTCACCATCAACCCAGCTCCCAGGCCAAAAAGATCCCAAACAGCAAAACCCTTCCTACTTTACAGCGAAAAGCCCTAAAAAGTCATTTAAAACCAAAGCAAGCCCTATGCAGGAGGCACCAATATTTTTACATCTGAAGTCCATGAAAAAGACCCAGGATGACATCAAGAGCTGCAAAAATAGGCTAGAAACGCAGTGCACGAAGGCAGTCACATCCGACCAGGGGCAGGCCAGCACAGGAGGGCGGGACCTGGCGGGACGAGGCCGGCCCTCCCGGCAGGCTTCCCCTGCGTCCACTTGCACGTGAGGGGCTGCTGGCGGCACTGTGCAGGCCGGCCCTTGCCCCGCTCACACACACGCCTGCTCTTTCGTTATTCCCTCTCTCCTCAGGAGTCTCCCTGCTTCTCATTATCTCTGGCTGTTGGGCGGCTTTGTTTCCTTACTAAAGTCACTTAAACATCAAACAACAAGCCTTGGTGTTGGGGGGGAGTGTGGCACAGGGGTCAGCCCCCGCACGGTCTCTGCAGAAAGGCCCTCCTCAAACCAGCCCTCTCCCTGAGGAGTCAAAGGAGCGGTCGCTTCTCAAGAAATCCCCAGGGACGTCAAACAGGGCTACCCCAAGTCAGGGGATCAACCAGTGAGTTTGGAAAGGCTTCCTCAGAACCTGCCACCTCCTCCCTGGGTAACCTTGGTGGGGTTCCTCCCCTCCCCAGGCCAAGGGCCGTGGGGTCCCTCCCAACTCTACAGACTCTCAAGGGTCTCTCCAGAAGGAGGCTGCCTCCTCTCACAGCTGGTCAAGCCAAGACACCAGAGACAACACTCAACGTGCAGAGAAGGGCTCTTTCCTCAACAAACCCTGCCCCCAGACAAGTGGCTAAAAAAGGTGGGAGACGGTGCATACCATCAAAACGTCACTTTTATGAGATTTTTGTGATTACACACACACACACACGGTGCTTACATTTCAAAATGTCTCTGGTATGTGAGCTTTCACCATGTCACAAAACCAAAGGAGCCGCCCCAGCTCTGGGCCTTTCAAGCTTCCTCCACCATCCCCCCACCCCCAGTCCTCCCTTCAGCCTCCCCCATTACCCCGAGGGCAGGACCTGTCTTTGCCTCTTATTACTTGGACTGTGTGTTTAGCACTCGGCCCTGTGCCTGGCACACAGTAAGTGCTTAATAAATTCTTGCTTGCTTCCTTCCAAACCATCCCAGCTTCTCTAGGGTACCCTTGTTTCCCCCCAGTGGAGGAAGGGGGCATAGGAGCTTGGCCTGCTTGCTTTCTCCGTTGCCAGGGGGACCCCCCACCCCCTGGGGCTCAGACGCTGAGAGGGAAAGCGTTACAGCCAAGCCAGGGCTGGAAGAGTCCATGGGGTCACCCAGCTCACTCTCCTTCACCTTGCCAAGGATGGCCAGCCCACGCCCGTGCCGCCACCAGCATGGCCCTGGCTTCACAGGCAGAGGGAGGGCCCACACAGGGTTTGCCTGGGAGGCTCAAAGGCTAGCTGTCCTTCTGGACAGGAAAGAGAATGTAAAAGAAAAAAGCACTAGACGTGAAGTTCTAGTCTTCAATCTAGCCCCACATCAGGTATGGACCTTGGGCGAGTCACGTTAGTGAAACTCAGCTTTCTTACCTTTAAAATGAGATTTCTTACAGGTCCCTTTTAGTTTTAAAACTCTACTCTCTCGTCTTCTCTAAAACTGTCTAGTTAATCATTTCCTTGGGTGAAGGAAGACAAAGAACAAAGGAGAATCCCTGATGGCCTGAATGCTGCCAGACTTCTCCCAGGCCGTGCACCTGCAGCCACCAGGTTGGCGGGCTTCTCATCTAACAGACCACAACAGTTATCTTGGGAATCGCTGTCGCTGATTTTCATTTTTAGTGCTACCTTTCACGTTTACTTTGCTTTCACTTCCAAATATACCCCTCAAGAGCCTACCCTTCAGGTAATAAAGATTTAATGGAGGGAAAAATCTGTTGAGCCCAAGTAGCCGTACATGGCCGAGGCCCCAAGGCTGGCAGGAGGGAAGGGCTCGGCGGCCAAGGTGCGCGCAGCGGGCGGAGCTCTTCCCCCCACCCGCCCCAGTCAGGTGTAGGAGCCTCTGAGATACCTGGTTGGCTGAGGCTGAATACTTCTTGTCGCCTGGAAGGAGAGTACTGAGCCAGCAGCATGAGGTCCTGCAGGGCCAGATACTGCGGGGAGACAAACAGACACAGGCCAGTTAGGAGAGGAAAGCCCACGTGACACAGGGTGCCCCCAGATGCACCTGAGGACCCCCAGAGAATGGACGGCGGTGCCTGGGAAAGGGGACACCCAGAGAGTCCCTTAAACCCCAGAAGAGGCAAGGCCCTAAACACTAAGAGCCAGGACCCTTTATTCATTACAAAGACAAATGTAAATTAACTAAGCCTAGATTCGAGGGTGAGCCCTCCTGGGAGCATCCAGGGAAATGGCATACCCAACCACCAGCCTAGCCTGGCTGGCTGTGAGCCCTGTGTGCTTCCTGCACCTTGGCAGGCAGCCTGCCATGCCCAGCAGGGCGACCTCGGACAAGTCACCGGCCCATACTGGCCCCACACTTCCTTCCAACTCTCAGCCTAGAAGCCCAGGGTCCTGCGTGTGCCCACGTCACTGTACTGTTCCCTTAGACACAGATCTGTTTTTTGTTTCTTCCCAGCGTGTAACTCATAGGACAAATGCTGACATACGTAAAATCTGGGCTTAGAACCCCAGCAATTACGCCCACAAAACAGATTCTGGAATGGCGGAAGTTCCAAAGTGACTCACTCGCTGGTCCTCTGTCTCATTCACCAGAACGTGGCTTCAAAACCTCTCCCCCATGGTTTGTTCCTCACCAGCCAACATCACCCACACGTCGGGGGGCAGTCAGCAACCACGCCCATCCCATGTGTCCAAGCCCAAGCAAGGATCTGTAAACCTTCACCGGCTCTCTGGAGCTGTCAGTCATGGGGAACGCCCCCGGAAGGGGGTCTCTCAGGCCTCCAGGAGCCTCCCACGGTCACAGCAGGTGAGACGAGGTTTTGGGCAGAGCCCCCAGGACTTGCATGTGGAAACCTACTCAGAAGATTGTGCTCGGTCCCTGGACCTTCATCTGTACCAGGGAAGGCCCACCGAGAGACCTCGGGCTCCAGCCTCCTCTCCAAGGCCTCTGCCACAGATGCAACCCCCACCTTTCACTCATTGTCCAGTGACTGAGTGGGGGTTGGGATGGGGTCACCAGATGGAATCTGCTGTAAAGAAGTCCCTCTCTAAAGTGTCTCATAGTGACTCTTCTGTCTCATTCTTAGAGATCACCTTCAGTTTTAACAAGCCTGCAAAACCTTGGAAGGGCAAGCCAATGAGAAGGGCCCTAATCTTTTAATAGACCCCAAAGTTCCAGAGGGCAGAGCCGGTTTTAACTAGTCCTAAGTGAGACAAAGAGCACGGACTTTTGGACAACCAGGGATGGGGTGGGGTATGTAGAGGGGACATGGGATGGGGGGACTTGTAAGACTGTAACCTAGAAAGGAATGGACCAATCCAGGCCCGGAAGGGAAAAGTCGCGGCGTTCTAACGGTGCAAAACGTTTTCTGGCTTCTGTAATTGGCGCAATTTCTTTTGAGAGGATTTGCCTGGTTCTCCCAAGAACCATAAAACAAATGATTCTTCACTCAAAAAAAAAAAAAAGAAATCACCTTCACACTGACTCAGCTGAACAGGGCTTAGTAAGGGTCTGCTCTATGTGATAAGCCAGGTGTGGGGCACCTGGAAGATAAAGACAGCTAGAAGCCACCCAACAGCCCTGCCCTCGAGGCCCTCGCCATCCGCCAGCAAGAGAGAACAGGAGTTCAGGCAGCACAGAATGACAGCCTAGGCCGTGGGCCATGAGAAACCAAGGGTACGGGGAGGAGGAGATGAACCTGGTGCTTCTACATGGTGCTAGAATGGGAAGAGTGAGAGTCCCAGAGAGCCCAGGCATTACCCCTGCCCCAGCCTCGCACCCCCTACACAGAGCCCCTGGGCCTTGACTCCCTCCTCTGGCTGCCCTGATCCCCCCACCACTGTGAGCCAGCAGAGAGGAGGCCCAGAAGGCTTCATGGAGACAGGGCTGGGGGGGCCGGCTAGCACCTAAACAAAGACATCTCTCTACATCCACAGCAGAAAACGATCAGCTGAGGGAGGTGTCAGCCCAAGTGAGCTGTAGAGCCAACCAGTCCCTAGAAAAGCTAAGGTGCGCCAGACACAATCAGGTTCCCCGGAGGGGCTGCCTGGGTAAAGAGGAGCGGGGGGAGGGCAGCAGCACGTACCTTTATGATGAGGGGAGAGCTGCCGTTTAAGACTTTTGGTAAGCATTCCTCTGAGTCTCCTGTAAACATGGGCTGAACAGGGAAGACGTGAGCCTGAAACCAGAGAAGATGGATGAGGAAAATGAGCCACGCATTTGGGCCCACGCAGCAAGCCCAAGCCCAGTCCCGCCGTGAGGTTAAAGCCCCAGAATGGCCAGAAACTTGCAGGTGCCTGTTTTTTTACCCAAACAGGCCCAGGGCAGAGCAGCCTCCCCAGAGAACGAGGCCAGAGCAACTCCTTATGCAGCTGTCACTTTCACCCGATGCTTCCACCTTATAAAACCTCCTTTTAAAAATTCACTGCAGCGAGGATAACTGCCTCAGCATACTACCGGTAAGCTCTGCTTACAGGACCACAGGCACTGGGTTAGTGCCAAGGCACCTGACGAGTGCTCAGTCACCAAGCCTCCAGGGAAATCAAGCCCGCTTCCTTACACCTAGTCACTCTACGTCATTAATGTAAACATCATCATGGAGCCAAACTGCGGTCCTATGGGGCTGGCGCGAGGACACTGCGAGGCAACCAGCCAACACAAGAACTCGGCACGTTCCAAGTAAGTCAGTCAGTGCCATGCCTGCGACCAGCTCTGGGCAGCTAAGATTCAACCCAAAAACCCGCCCACGGGAAATCAACGGCCAGTCTGGAGCCTCCGGGAAGCCCTCGACACTGACCTCTGTGGCATAGATCTTGAAGAGCACCCAGGCGATGTACCAGGTCACCTGAAGAAAGACCCCACAGAGCCAGACGTGGTAGAGCAGGGAGAGGTCCAAGAGCCCACTCAGGCTGTCCAGGAGAGGCTGCTTCCTGTAAAAGAGAGGGAGACTCCAGTCAGCCTCTGGGGTGGGGAGAACATCTAGGCCAGCCCCCTGAGGCTCTGGCCGGCCACAGGTCAGTCAGGAAGGGAAGTTTCTCGAGCATTCCTGTAGGACATGGGCCTGCCAAGCACCCAGGGATGCCCAGGGACCACAGGTGCCTTCTGATCAGGCCCTGAGTGTCCAATATGCCTAATGTTTACTTGGGAGGCTCCCCCTAACGTCATGTCCGCTCTTCCAGATAACTCAGTGGCCCAACCCTGGCTCCCCTCCTCAAGTGAACCCATGAGCTTTCTTCCTCAAGCTCACAAGCATCTTTCTGCTTTTTAAAAAACATTCCAGCTGGTTTGAGTCACTCATACTAATGAAGAGGGAAATTACAAGCATTTAGTAACGCACCGGCACCTCTGCTCTGTCTGGAGATGCACTGGACGGCTTTTCCAAGCGGCCAAGGTAAGATGTACGGCCCAGGGCAGGGGAGGAAATCCCTTCCCAGAGGGGCTCTCATCAAACACCAGAAGCTCCCGACACCAGCGACAGAAGGACACTACCACTGAGCTCATTCTCTAACTAAATGCCTTGAAGACAGTGATTGACATCGACTGCAGAAGCCTGCTGCATAAACAGCCGTGAGGGTGTCAAGGAGACTTTTTTTTGAATAACAAAAATAAATGAGATTTTGAGCCGCAGCATCACTGGATTCCCTTCCGCTGTCCTCTGACAAAACATCTGAGCACCCACTATGTGTCAGGCACTGCGCTGGGAGACGCACGCGTCTACCAGGCTCCCCCAGGCCGCCATCTTGATTTGCCCCCCTCATCCTACCCAGGTATGAATTATTGTCAGCGGCAAGATGAAAGCAGAAAGAGTCCTGGCTTTGGAAAGGAGGAAACACATGTCTATGAAGCACCTACTATGCTAAGGGCTTCACAAATATGACCTCATTTGATCCTCATAAAAACCATGGGAGGTAGGTGCTATCATGATCCTCATCGTAAAGATGAGGAAACCGAGGCAGAGAGCAATCAAGTGACTTGCCCAGGGTCCCACAGCTTGTAAGTGTCTGAGGCCAGAAAACAAGGACACTGGACAAGATGACCTAAGGTCCTTTCCAGCCCAAGATTTGGGACCCTATTATCCAGTGATGTTCAAAACCTGCCAAGTGCTCCCTACTATCTACTAAGTAATCACACTCCTTCACTCCTTCCCCCAGGCTCCACCGTGCCCATCTCCACTCCAAACAGGCAAGGCTACAACTACCTTTCTACCCGTGGTCCTTTCTGGATACACAACCGCCAGGAGGTTTTCCTACCTCCACACCTTTGCTCTGATGTCCCCTCTTCCTGGAACACCTTTTCCTTCTACCTGCTGAACTTCTCCTCGCCCTTTAAAGCCCCAATCCAGAGCCTTCCCAGGATCTCCGAGGCTAGAAAGGCCAACAGAGCTTGCTAATTCTTTTCTCCACTTCTCTCACACTGCACTGCCATGATCTGGTTACAAGTCGTCCCCTGACCAGATGTCAAGTCCTAGAAGGCCAAGAACTCTGTGTCGTCAAATATTTCTGGCCCAGCCCTGCGCACGGCCCAGGAAAAGGGGGGGGGGCCGGGAGAAGAGGAAGAGGGGAAGGGTCACTTACTCGTCTTTCTGGAGGTCCATAGCAGTGCTGATCCACGCTTTGGGGATATAGCCTGGGGGGAAAACACACCAAACTATAAATCTGGGCAGCCCACCCAGGCAAAGCCACGAGGCCCCAGAACACAAAAGCAAGACCGCCCGCGTCAGAAGAAGGACGGCGTTCTGAAATCCCAGACCCCATTAGGGGAGCCTCCGTGGTGCCTCCAGGCTGGGGGAGGGTACAATGGGGCCCCATGAAGACAACACTCCTCTCCAAGGGCTTCTGGACTGTCAAAGAGGAAAAGTGGGTCTAACAGGAAGACGCTATTTGCTGTGACACATTCTTTGGAGAGAGGCTCTCTCTGTACCTCCGCAACATCACCAACCTACCCTGTGCTTGCAAGCACAGGCCACTAACATGCCGGGCGAGGGGAGCCAAGAGCAGAGGTGGCTCAGGGCCCAGGCAGCCCCTACCCTTCCCTGCTGCCACCAGAAGAGAGGTGGGGAGGTGCTGGTCTGCAAGAGCAACCTGGGACAATGGCAGGGGCCCCAGCACGGAAGGAGCCCGGAGGGAGAGCAGCCCTGGCTCAGGCTGGCCTCTGGCCTACAGAAGGAGTTCAATAAACGCTGTTTGGCTGATCAGCTTGTGTTCTGGTTCCCCAATTCGTGAAATGGAAATAGATAATAGCTGTCCCTACAGACCTGCCTGGTACAATACGAAAACTCATACAGCACCCACACCATACCCATGTGCCACTGTCTCCCACAATGCCCCTGGATTTAGCTGCCCAGCTCTCCCTGCTCAAGAGGCTAAAACATGGGAGACAAAGAAGAAGGCAAGGGGTGGCTCCTGCTTACAGAAGTACAGGAGAGTCACAACTGGCATCATCCAAGCCCCGCCCAGCACCACCAGGGAGAGACCCCAGGATCGGGGAGCAGTGAACCTCCAGGGGTCAGAGCCCCCACCTGGTACCACTAGGGAGAGCCCCCCCGGACCAGAGGGCAATGGGCATCCAGGGGTCAGAGCCCCCTCCCCCCCCAGGGAGAGCCCCCCAGACTGGGGAGCAGCAAGCATCCAGGGGTCAGAGCCCCCTCCCCCCAGCACCACCAGGGAGAGCCCCCAGGATCGGGGAGCAGTGAGCCTCCAGGGGTCAGAGCCCCCACCTGGTACCACTAGGGAGAGCCCCCCGGACCAGAGGGCAATGGGCATCCAGGGGTCAGAGCCCCCTCCCCCCCAGCACCACCAGGGAGAGCCCCCAGGATCAGGGAGCAGTGAGCGTCCAGGGGTCAGAGCCAATTTCGCCCTCACTTACTGGGTGACCCTGGCAAAGGCATTTGACTGGAGAAACGGGCATTACCAGCCAAGCTGCACTTGCCTCCTTCCCAAGGCTGGGCAGGCAAGTCCAGGCCCCTGTCCCTAGACACCAGCACCTGGCAGCAGGGTCATCATTTTTCCCAGCTGGGTGGCATTCTCAGGGCAGGACACACAGAGACGCTGAGCCCACACTGACTGGCAAGGTTCTCCTGGCATAGAGAGAACCTCCAGCATCACTGGGTGCTCTAAAGAAATCACTACTGCCTTCTATTCCACAGGCACCCTGCCCTCAGGGGCACGGTTTTCTCCAGATGACAGCTTTGATCAACAGCAGAGACAACAAGCGAGCAGGAGAGTCCAGGACTTGCCGAAAGGCACCCAGCCCTCAATAAGGGGTCGGGAATCCAAGCCCAAGAGCTCCAAACCCCACTACTGCTGGCTGCGTCCCTTGCTGAGCGGAGGCCCCGACTTGCTCCCTAGGATGGCCACCTTTATGAGCATTAAAGACACCGTACTAGGCCACCAGTGTGGGGCCCTGCCCCAAAGCTCTGACAGAGCCAACACCCGGCTGCTGTCAGTCCCACAAGGGGAGGGAGATGCCCTCGGTAACAGCCCTCCCTCTCTACAGTGCTCACACCCAAAGGCCCCGTAGAAGCCCCGGGGATCCTCCTGTATCTCCATCACCTGCTAGCTGCGTGAGCCTGGGCAAAGAGCCTCAACGTCTCCACCTGTAAAGGGAGAGGCAGAGCTTCCCGCTCAGATCCCCTGCTTACCCCGCCTCACAGGGGCCTAATGAGGGCCAGAAAGGAGTGGATCAAAAGCATCTGGGACCAGAAGATGGCACAGAACCATGACCGTACCACCCATCACTGGCCTAGGACCCCGAGTCAGGGTCCTAAATGGGTAGCAGTCACATGACGAGCAGAAGCCAAGGAGCCCTGGGCCACTTATCCAAGGTTCCGGGTCTCAGCCAGGCTCACCCTAGTCCATAACAGTCATCTGCCAGAGCAGGCACGGAAGAAACTTTTGCCAAACAGGTTAAATGGCATCCTGACCTCCCGGGCCACCCAGGAACAGGGACATCAGAGAGGGGAGGGGAGGCGCCATCCACGAAGGGCCAGGTCCTTACCCAGGAAATAGTAGAGGCCGCAGAAATTCCTGACCAGGTACAGGGATTCCACGGCACTGTGCCGCAGGAGCAGGGGCAGAGCTCTCCGGAACCGCAGGAACTTGTATTGCTGGAGAGAAGAAAGACAAGAGGCAGGCAATGGGGAGAGTGCACCGGCCCACCCTCGGTGCACGGGTACCCGGGGTCTCGTCTGGACAGCCAGACAGCACCCACCCCGTGGGGAGAGGAGAACGACGGCTGTCAGATGGTGACGGTCATCGGATCCTCAGCTCACACGCGTGCCCCTTGGCAAGACGAGCCGAAGCTGGACAGCCCTTTTGAGGGAACAGGTCGAGGAATCCAGCAAACCCCTGAGGCATGCCTACTGCGCACGGGGGCTGGGCCTAGAGCTGGATGAGATGAGTGGGACCTGGGCCGCCCTCCAGGAGCTCACAGCCCGGGAGGGGAGAACCACAGTAGGGTAGTAGCCCAGGGGTAGCAGGGACATCCCAGGACCAAGCCCTGGCCAGCCCACTCCCCAACATTGTGACTTTATCCCCTTCTTCTCTCCGGGCCTCCACAATGAAGTGGAGCATAGCGCCTGCCCCCCACGGGGTCTGCGGGGCTCTGCAGATTTTGAGGCCCCCTCCTACAAGTATTACTGAGAGGAGCGACACCAGGATGAGCTGCCGTCTGGGGCCCCTCAGCAAGCAGCTCGTATTCCAACAAGAAATTCTGAGAGGAGGCCAAGGGAAGGCAGGGGATCTTCAATTGGCCATTAATGGGCTTCAGCGAGCTTCTCAGGCCTTCAGAATCTGTTTCCTCCCTGGTCCCTCCCTGCCCTGACCTTCCACAGTCCACGGAAGGCATGAGGAAGACCCAGGGAACAAACACAAAAGACAGAGCTCCTTCTCCTTGAGAAGCCGGTCGGGGGCTCGCCCAGGGAAGGGGGAGGTGTCACATGCCACCACATGCCAGAAGGGGGAGGGGCAGCGGAGCAGAGAGAGCCCCACTCAGCTCAGCAGACAACTTGTGACCCGGGGAAAGATGCCTCGGGCATCAAGAACTCACTTTTCTCCCAGAAACGTTTAGTTTAGCATCAGGAAAAAAAGAGACACGCCATAGGAGCAAACGCATAGCTGGGGGAGCTGGCCAAGTGTGGCTCTGCCCTCCAAGGAAGGGAAGCATCTGGAGGGCAGGGCCTGCACCTTTCTATCCCTAGTGCCTTGCACACAGCAAGCACTTCATAAATGCTTTGCTGACTGGACAGACGACCTATGATCACAGGATCACTCGCTGCAGCAGGAAGGGTTCCTAGAGACAGCCTGTCCAGGCCCCTCACTGCAAAGATGAGGAAAGGGAGCTGTCCAAGGTCTCTGAGGCAGCACCAGAGACTGAGCTCACCCCAGGGCCTGGGGGCTCCCTGCGGAATCTGAAGAGACAGCAAGCTCTGACTCAGGGCCGGCTTTGTAGACACTTCTGAAATCCAGTCCACCGTTCAAAAATGTTTAAATGCACTTTGCGACCCTGGGCAAGGCTGCCTGTGATATCACTCCAGAGCAGTACCTTTGGTTCCAGCCCCCCACCCCCACCCTACAGCTTTGCAGAGAGCCACAGGCTCTACAAAGCAAGGTCAGGAGGCAAAGGCTCCGTGTGGCCACTGGGTGTGGCGAGTCAGGACGAGCTCCGCCCACCCGGGCCCCCTGGCTGCAGCGGCCCTCCTGGCGGCCCCTGGGCCTCCGCTCCAGACAAAAGCCCCTGGAAACAGAGGAAGCCCCCTTCCCAAGGGGAGCTCTGGCGGGAGCAGCCGGCCTAGCTCTGCCCACTGGAGCTACGCGCTGGCTGTGGGGCCAAGGCCCCCTGGGGCCACGAGGGGAGCCAAGCTCCTTCTCACCTGTATGATGGGGAAGGGCAGATAGTTCATGTTGTTCACGAAGTAGAGGAGACTGTAGCTGTAGCCCATGAAGGCTCCAGCCAATAGGAGGAAGAGGTGATGCTCATTCAAGCAGGCCCGGGCCGCCTTCCTGTCCAAGCTGAAAGGAAGCAGGCAGAGTGAGGGAGGACAGAGGGGCAGCCCCCAGCACCCAGGAGCCCTGAGGAGGCCCGTGGGAAGCACAGAAGGGGAAAGGGTGTCCCCAGGAGTACCCGCCCAGGCAAGGCTCCAGGATAGTCACTAGGGAGTGTCTCAAGTTAAGCCTGAAAACCAAGGGATGCCCGGCACAGCCTGGCTTCAAACTCTTGGAAGAAACGCCCTGGTCCTAGGAGCACACGGGGCAACAGCTGGCCATCCCCAACTGAAGCTCACCAGTACACACAAGCACCAGGTCTGTCTCATGTGACAAGCTGGAACCCTCTTCTCTGCCACACTGAATACTCTGGGCGCTCAGAGCCCAGCCATCCTCATGGTTCTGGGGGGCACAATGGATGTGGGGTTCCCTTTCCCCCTCATCCTTGGCCAAGTGCTTCAGGGCCCTGAACGTCAATTAAAACAACTGAGTAAGTGTTTTTGGAGGCCCTGAGCAGACTAAGATAGCCACGTCTTTGGGGAGCAGAATCTGTTAGTTCAGACGCCTGGAACAGGTGGCAGCTGCCACATACCCACACCCACCACTACCCTGCAGCCGAGCTCCAAGAGGGGCTGTGGCCCCCCAAGCCACTCCCCAGTTTCACCTGGGGACGAGCGCTCTCCTCGGCCAAAGACACACGATCTGCTCACAGGTCACCAAGTTTGCTGGGACCTGCCCGAGCCTGCTCCCCACTGAGACAGTAAAGCCTCCAAGAAACCAGAGACCCCTCCACGCCACAAGGAAACATCAGCAGAGGAAGGGTGGGGTGAGAGAATGGGGCCCCACGATGAGGGGCCAAGGCAGAAGGGGATCAGTAAATCACAGGCCCCAACAGTCAGCCAGGCCCACACCACCATCTGAGACAGAAAACAGGCCCAGAGATGGAAAGCATATTCCAGAGTGCTCCGTTTACGTCCTCTCAGCCTGCTATCACAGCTGTAAAATAAGAACAAACACATTTCCACTATTGTTCTCACAGGGCTAGTGTGACAATCGTGTAAGATAACTCAGGTGAGAAGCCATGAAAGCCAGAGTAGCGCCACGTCCACATAAGTTAAGAGGCCTGTTCCTAGAGCTTTTCCCACCAAAGAGCCAAGAAGGGTGTCCCCAGGGGAGGCCCTGGTCCCTCCTTCTATTTACAAAGATTAGAAAGCACAAAATCAAGCCAACCTCATCAGAGGCCCCCTCTACCTGTGCCCAATGGCCAGTACTTCAGCCCGAAAACACTTGCTAACTATAGGCATATGAAAAAATGCTCTAAATCACTACTGATTAGAGAAATGCAAATCAAAACAACTTTGAGGTACCACATCACACCTATCAGATTGGCCAACATGACAAAACAGGAAAATGATATGTTGGAGAAGATGTGGGAAAACTGGAACGCTAATGCATTGCTGGTGGAGCTGTGAACTGATCCAACCATTCTGGAGAACAATTTGGAACTATGCCCAAAGGGCTATAAAAATGTGCATACCCTTTGATCCAGCAATAGCCCTTCTAGGGCTGTATCCCAAAGAGATCATACAAATGGGAAAATGATCCACATGTACACAAATATTCACAGCAGCTCTTTCTGTGGTGGCAAAGAACTGGAAATTGAGAGGATGCCCCTCACTTGGGGAATGGCTGAGCAAGCTGTGGTATGATTGTGATGGAATATGAGCAGAACCAGGAGAACATCGTACACAGCAACAGCTACATTGTGTGATGACTAACTTTGATAGACTTAGTCCTTCTCAGCAACACAAGGATCGAACTCCAAAGGCCGCATGATGGGAAATGCTCTGCACACCCAGAGAAAGAGCTGTGGCGTCTGAACGCAGGTCGAAGCATGCTATTGGCTCTCTCTCTTTCTTTTGTTTCTTCTTCTTCACGGCTCCTCCCACGGCTTCTAATCCTTCACAGTAAGACTAATGTGAAACCATATTTAACATGAATGTACGTGTAGGGCCTACATCAGACCGCCTGCTGTCTCTGGGTGGGGAGGGGAGGCAGAGGGAGAAAATTTAGAACTCAAAAGCATATGGAAGGGGAGTGAATGTTGAAAACTAAAAACTAATTAATTAATTAATTAAAAAAAAAAAAACAGGTAAAGCTACTCAGAAGGGATCAAGAAAATTGGGAAAATTTTAAAATAAACAGAGAAGGAAAATTATAGACCAATTTCGCTAATGAATAAAGATGCAAAAATTTTAAATAAAATATTAGTAAAGAGATTACAACACCTTATCTCGAGGATAATACACTACAACCAGGTAGGAATTATAGCAGGAATGCAGGGCGGGTTCAATATTACAAAAACCATCAGCATAACTGATCATATCAACAACGAAACTAACAGAAACCACATGATCATCTCAACAGAGGCAGAAAAAACTTTTGACAAAATGCAACACCTATTCCTATTGAAAACACGACAGGGCATAGCAATAAATGGAATCTTCCTTAAAATGATAGGTAGCATCTATCTAAAACCTTTTTAGCAAGCATTATATGCAACGGGGATAAGCTAGAAACATTTCTAATAAGATCAGGGAGTGGGGGGGAGGTGTGAAACAAAGATGTCCATCAACTGTTATTCAATATTGTACTAGAAATGGTAATTATAGCAATTAGAGAAGAAAAAGAAATTGAATGAATTAGAATATGCAAAGAAGAAAGAAAGCTATCACTCTTTGCAGATGATATGATGGTATATCTAGCAAATCCTAGAGAATCAAGTAAAAATTTACCTGAAATAATAAGCAAATTTAGCAAAGTTGCAGGATATAAAATAAACCCACATAAATCACTAGCATTTCTATATATTACTAACAAAGCCCAGCAGCAACAGATAGAAAGAGAAATTCCACTGAATATTACTGCAGACATTATAAAATATTAGGGAGTCTACCTGCCAAAACAAAACCAGGAACTATATGAACACAACTACAAAACACTTTTCACACAAATAAAGTCAGATCTAAAAAACAGGAAAAACATCAGTTGCTCATGGGTAGGCAGAGCTAACATAATAAAAATGACAATTTTACCTAAATTAATTTACTTATTCAGCACTGCACCATACTACCAAAATATTATTCTATAAAGGTAGAAAAAATAACAATATTCATCTGGAAGAACAAAAGGTCCAGAATATTAACGGAATTAATGAAAAGAAATGCAAGGGAAGGTGGCCCAGCTGTAGCAGATCTTAATTGTATTATAAAGCAGCAATCATCAAAACTACTTGGTACTGGCTAAGAAATAGAGTGGTATATCAGTGGAATGGGTTTGGTGTGCAAGACACAGGAGTCAATGACTATACTAATCTTCTATTTGATAAATCCAAACACTCCAATTTCTAGGATAAAAAATCACTAACAAAAATTGCTAGGAAAACTGGAAAAATGCTTGGCAGAAACTGGGCACAGACCAACATCTTACACCCTATATCAAGATAAAGTCAAAATGGGGTACAGGATTTAGATATAAAGACTGATACTATAAGCAAACTAGAAGAGCAAAGAATAGTTTACCTTTCAGATCTAGGGAGAATGGAAGAATTTATGACCAAAGAAGAAATAGAAAACATTGTGAAATGCAAAACAGATAATTTTTTTTTTGCTTTTTTTTTTTTGGTGAGGCATCAGGGTTAAGTGACTTGCCCTGGGTCACACAGCTAGTTAAGTGTCAAGTGTCTGAGGTCACATTTGAACTCAGGTCCTCCTGACTCCAAGACTAGAGCTCTATCCACTGCATCACCTAGCTGCCCCTAAAATGGATAATTCTGATTACATTAAATTGAAAAGTTTTTGCACAAAGCCAACGCATCCAAGATTAGGAGGGAAGCAGAAAACTGGGAAAGAATTTTTACAGCCAGTGTCTCTGATAAAGGCCTCATTTCTAAAATATATAGAGAACTGAGTCAAATTTATAAGAATACAGTCATTCCCCAATTGCTAAATAGTCAAAGGATATGAACAGGCCATTCTCAGAGAAAGAAACTAAAGCTATCTACAGTCACATGAAAAAATGTTCTAAATCACTACTGATCAGATAAATGCAAATCAAAACAACTTTGAGGTACCACATCACACCTATCAGATTGGCTAACATGACAAACCAGGAAAATGATAAATGTTGGAGAAGACACGGGAAAATTGGAACACTGACGCATTGTTGGTGGAGCTGTGAACTGATCCAACCATTCTGGAGAGCAATTTGGAACTATGCCCAAAGGCTATAAAAATGTGCCTACCCTTTGATCCAGCAATAGCACTTCTAGGGCTGTGTCCCAGAGAGATCATACAGATGGGAAAAGAACCCCCATGTACAACAATGTTCGCAGCAGCTCTTTTTGTGGTGGCAAAGAATGGGAAATTGAAGGAATGCCCATCAATTAGGGAATCAAGTTGTGGTATGTGTATGTAATGGAATACTACTGTGCTATAGGAAATGATGAGCAGGGGGGCAGCTAGGTGGCACAGTAGACAGAGCACCGGCCCTGAAGTCAGGAGGACCTGAGTTCAAATGTGGCCTCAGACCAAACACTTGACACTTACTAGCTGTGTGACCCTGGGCAAGTCACTTAACCCCAACTGCCTCACCCCCCCCAAAAAAAAAAAGAAATGATGAGCAGGCAGACTTCAGAAAAACCTGGAAAGACTTGTATGGTCTGATGCTGAGTGAAGTGAGGTGAATGCTGTACACAGTAACAGCCACACTGCGTAATGACTAACTTCGTTGGACTTAGCTCTTCTCAGCAATACAAGGATCTAAGACCTCTCCGAAAGTCTCCCGATGGAAAATGCTCTCCACACCCAGAGAAAGAGCCACGGAGTCTGAATGCAGACGGAAGCCCGCCATTCGCTCTCCTTTTCCTTAGTTGTTTTGTTTTATGGCTTCATTCTCATGGTTCCTCCCATTAGCTGTAATTGTTCTTTACATCATGATTAATGGGAAAATATGCTGAATATGAATGTGTAAGTACAGCCTAGACCAGACTGCGTGCTGTCCAGGGGGGTGGGGAGAGTGGGAGGGGGAGAAAATTTAAAACTCAAAATCTCATGGAAGTGAATGTTGCAAACTAAAAATAAATAAATTATCAAGAGAAAATAAACAAATAGATAAATAAATAAATAGATGAATAAGCAAACAAATAAATAAATGAAGCAGAGCTATCCTCCCAAAAAACAAAACAAAAAAGAAAAGAAAAGAAAATTGGGAAAATTAACCATCTAGAAAGGATCCCATGAGGCCCACAACGACGATGTCACGGGTCAGAACTAAAAGTCCACCAAATCAAAGCCATTTCTGACTCCCAGGGGCCTGCTGTTCTATGGCCCCATCAAAGAGAGGCCAGTGACTGCTTGCTTTTGGCCTCTATTCCCCAGCCTCCCGCCGTTCTATTACGGCATCAGAACGAAACTTTCCAGAGGTCTGAGACGCTGGGAAGGCGCACAAGTTTTCACCATATCAGCATTCACACAAAAGTTCCCCAGGCTGCTCATGACAATACCCGAGCCTGGCAGCCAGAAAGGGCTAAGAAAATGTGCCAGCCTTTCTCTCTTCCTTGCAGAGGTGGAGGGCTATGGGTGGGGAATCCTACACACACCGTCAGTGACTGATTCTGCTGAACTGCTTTGTAAATGGACCTTTGTGCAGCTTTGTTACATGGGAAGGCTGACTAGGCGGAAGGACACATGTGGAAACAAAGAATGTCAAACAAAAGCTACCTATGTTTTAAAAATCTTTTAAGTACCACTGGAGAAAGGCCAGAGGGAGCCCCATCTTTGCCCCTCCCTGGCCTCTCAGCACTGGCTCTGCGCCCCCCCCAAGCCCAGGAAAAGCTGGGTGAAATCCCAGCCCGGCCCACACTCTTGCTGCGGAAGGAGGGACTGAGGGACGACAGCTCCTGGGCCCAGCCCCACTGCTCCTTCGCCCCCCACCGACGCTGGAGGACAGGAGCACCAGACCAATGAGCCTCAGGCTCGCCTGTGGCTGTACCTCTCGGGGACATTTTAATTAGTCCCCAGGGCCTTCCTCATCCTTTCTGTGGTCACCAATCTTTCTTTATCCTCTTGTAAGAGAAAACCTGCTATGTTCCTGTGTACTCTACAGGACCACAGACCTACAGCCGAAGACACCCAGAGAAGGGATGGGCTTCCCCTGAGGTCAGGTCCTTCAGGGTCCACAGAGGCCGTCCTCCCTGGGGAGTCCTGAGACGCTTTCTGTGGCCTCCACCGTTACCTGTCAGAATCAGTGCAGGGCACAGCCAGCACACGGTACTGTTCCTTGGTCATCACAGCCGCACACCATGCCATCAGCATGCCCATGGCCGAGTGCACCAGGGAGTGCATCACCTGCTGGGGGTGGACGATCTTCCCAATCAGGGCCAGGCGGGAGCAGGGGATGGATGGTGCCACTGCGGAGAGAGCACAGCAGGACAGCCTTGGTGGCAGCTCGGAAAGGGAAAGGGTCTGAGGAGAAAACTGGGACTTACAGATGAAAGCAAAATCCAAGCAAAGCTGCAGGAAGAGCAGAGAGGGAGACACCCCACAAGCGGGGGGAGGGAGGGGTCCCCTGGAGGCCAGCTCCCAGCTCAACATAAACTGGACAAATAGGCTAAACGTGCCCACTGTTATCTAAAGGCAGAGCTGCAGACACAATGCCTACGTCTCTTACGTAGAGCAGAAAACCTGCCTGGGATACGTGAATTTAAGCAATGCCTCTGAACCAAGGTCAGCTTAGGGTTGGATGACCTGTGGGCCCGGTCAGAGGGAAGAAGGGAGAAGTAATTAATCAGCTGCCAATAAGCCTGGGGAGAGGGTGCTGTCTGCCACTGACTCACCCCAGGCTTGGAGACCAAGCAGTCAGGGCCCCTGGGCCCAGTATAAGTGATAAAGAAGGCTAAATCACCCAGGCAGGAGGAAAATGTGGAGGGACCTCAGTAGGGGAGAACTAGCGGGGGCAAAGGCATCCAGGCCACCCAAGACAGGAGGGGAAGGGGGAGAGAAGCCCAACACTGACCCTTTTATAAAGACTTGGGGGGGTGATAGGGAAAGCACTCCAGGATCTGAAGCAGGGAACAGAAGTGGACAGAAACTCCAAGCCTAAGAGGTCTTTGAGCATTAAGGTCAGAGGGGGAAGAGAAAAACCCTTTCCCATGGCAATGCCCTGGGCCCCAGGGAAGGCCTGACAAGGAGCCCAACACCCTGGCTCAGGAAGGGCCTTGGGGGAACATCCAGGCTGGGGGAACCCCCTCTTCTGAGACCCCCATTCTGATCAAACAGAGAGTACTACTGACTGAAGGAACGTCTCCACCCTGAGACTCAAAATCGTAGCACCTGGACCACACGGCATCTGTGGGCATGTATCCACAGGGGACCGCCACACACATGCTCACACAGGCACGCACACGCGCGCTCACACACAGAAAAAATGGACCGAGTGTAATAAACAGAATCTCAAGGCCAGCCACACTCGCCACACTCACCTGTGTAAAACTCGATGTTGAAAATGCTGATGACGACCACCACCAGTGACAGCAGCAGGAGGTAAAAGACCACGTAGGAGCCATACAGATCGTGGAAAGCGTCTACAACAGGAGAGAGAGGAATTCGTGACGTCTCATCCATGAGCATTACGAGCCCAGACCAGAAGGGACCTTGGGGACAAAAGGTCAACTTCTGACCTTGGACACAACCAGCCCCGCATGCTTGTGGGGCAGCGTGGTGGCGGGCACTTCGGGTACCATGCCACCCAACTGAAAAGCCCTGAAGTTCCTCCAGTGGTGGTTCGTGCTGCAGCCGAAAGCCACCTTTCCACACTCGTGGTACCCAATCGATCCCTGGGCAGACTGGAGGTGGGGGAGGGCCACATCAGCAGCCTGCATGGGCAGAAGACCTGACGGGCACATGTAGGTGACAGCCAACCGCCACCCCTCATCCTAGCCGAGATGGCGAGGAAGCCAGGCAAAGCAGGAGGCAGAGATGAGGAAGGAGGACGTTCCAGGAATGGCGGATGGCCTGTGAAAATGTCCGGAGTCAGGAGACGGAGCGTCACGCATGAGGAACAGCGGCAAAAAGGCTCACAGGCGGCCCAGTGGGGAGACCGCGTGGCCTGGAGTCAAAGATCCAAGCTCACATTGAGCCTCAAACACTTACCAGCTGTGTGACCCTGGGCAAGTCACTTACCCTGTCTGCCTCAGTTTCCCCATATAGGATCTACCTCCCAGTGCTGTAAGGATTAAATGAGATACTTATTGCAAAGAGTTTAGCGCAGCTCCTGACACACAGTGAGGGCTATTTACTGGTAGCTATTATTGTTATTGTTATTAATATCACAGATCTTGGCAAATGCGGAGGGGTGTAAGGGGAGGGTGCAGAGGTGAATGGGCTGTATAGCCAAGAAGAGGACTTTCTATTTGATCCAGGAGGTGACGGGGAGGGAGTCAATGGTGCTGAAAGATGATGGACTGGATGGGGAGAGCCTGGTGGCACAGGGTGGAGCTGCTGAGAGCCCCCCCCGCCCCGGAAGCGGCAGCGTCAAAGGAGAGCGCCCCGAGTACAGACACTGGGAATGACCACCACGATGCACGAGGCCTCACGGCCCTCTACTCCTCACCGCTGCTCTCAGTCCCTAGAACTAAAGTCTGATGCACAAGAAACTCTCTAAACCAAGTAAACCAGCCTCGACTGATTTCCCTGCAAAAAACGAATGACCTCACAGTGCAGAGGTTCCTCTAAAATCACTTCAGCACTCAACTGTCCTTCCAAAACACAGGACAAAGTTATTCAAATCTAACAGGAGTAAAACCGCAGACAAGAGCTGTGAAAGCAGGGAAGGGTGTGAGAAAAGGCACAGTGAAAAAGGCAAGCCAAAAGAGCCAACTGGTTTGTTGTGGGGGCCATGCAGCCCTCTCCTCGTCTGTGATGCCAACCAGCCTGTGCCGTGCTCAAGACAACACATCACAGAAACCCCCCAGCACGGCCCAAGCTGCCTGGGGAAGCCGGCGAGCGGCTGCAGCCGACCCCTCCTCCCCTGCCCCGGCCCCGGGGGCCGGGTCCCAGGCTCCACACAGGCCAAATGAGCTTCCTGGTGCTTCTGGCTGCACGACCAGCCCCAGGGGCCACAGGACACAGAAGGGACTGGACGAGAAGCCCCGATGTTCTTTACATGAGAGGCAGCACACCCCACCTCCCAGAGCAGAGCATGGACACTTTCCTTTTTTAAGGATGAGAAAAAGAAAAGATTTTCAAGACTGTCTGTGGTTCCTCCTTAGCCTATGAAAACAATATTGTGCCTAAGCAGGGCTGCTTTCCCCTCCAGGGGAGCCCCCCACCTCCAGAGCCGTGCCCCTACCCCCACCAGCACAAGCGCCCCACCTTCTGCCATCAGCACGTACACGGAAGGGGCTGCCACAACAATGTGCGGGAGGCCAGGGCCCCAGGCAACCCACAGGGAAGCCCACCCTGTGGGGCTCCCAGGGCTCCTCGGCCCCCACCGCACCTGTCCAGCAAGCCCCTGACCGGCAATACTGGTTTCTGTCGGGGTATCTCCTGTGCCTAGCAGTACCAGGCACATCACAGTGCCCTGAACTGAATGGACCAAGAGGAAAGAGGCCACTGGCCAAAAGCGACCCCACTGACCCTTCTCTACGGCCCAAGAAATAACCTGGTCACAGGCACTCAACAGCCCTCCTGGACCCCTTGCAGGGATTGCTCCAACGTCCTCATTTAGATCTCAGGGAGATGGGCTGACTGAAGTCCCCTGCCCCTCTGCTCCCAGCCCAAGCCTCACACATGTCCTCTTTCCTAGGGGCTGGCTCCTGCACTCTGGGTCAAGTCCCCGTCAAGGCCTCCTTTTCCCAACAAGAGCAGGACCGGGCCTGAGTGAACAACGCGACCTTTGTCTTGGAGGGTGTGCAAAGCCCTGAGTCTCCATCTGTGTCTCCTTTACGCGCTGTGTCCTGCTCACCGGCCAGGCCTCTTTTCTGCTTGGTTCCCATCATTCTCTCTGCTGTCAGGTGTTTGTGGAGGGGCCAGAGGCGTCCCAGAGCCGCAGAGACCTGAAGCCTCATCGGCTGTGCAGCCCTTTCCTTGTCTGCAATGTGAGAATGTGAGAGGAGGGGAGCCCCTAGGCCATCTGTCCCACCTCCACACCATGGAGTCCTCCCTCCAGTGTCCTCAGCAAGGGGTCGCCTCCCAGGGCAACCGGCAGGAGAGAGAGGACAGCGTGCCAAGCACCCTGCTCTGCCCTGAGGAAGCACGTCTGGACTGGACGCACTTGGGGAAAGAGTTTTACGTTCTCTGCATATGAAAAGAGGAAAAGTGGAGCACTCTAGATATCCCTATTTTAAAAAAAAACAGGAAAGCCGTTATAAACTGTTCTTTACTGATTTTTCCTTTATTCCAGAGTCCTTGGGGAAAAAAAAGTCACAATAAAATCACAGTCATTGAGTGGGAGCCAAGCCTGAAAGCCTCTCACCACATACCCCCAAACACAGCCTCCCACTTGCCTGGGGAAGCTCCAGGGACCAGAACCTTCTGGAGCAGCAGCACCAGCCGGGGCCCAGAGGCTCGCAGACTACGCGTCCCTGACCTCTGATGGTGGCTCCCCTGCTGTGGGACGATGTGACCTCATCTGGAAAACCGGGGCAGAACCCCTGCACCCCCAAACTCCAGGCTGCCCAGGGCTCTCTAGGCCAGGCCACATCCTGCCTACTGCCTGCTGAGGATGGGAGGCAGAGGAGAATCACCCAACACCACCTCGATCCTCCTCAGCCCCCTGCCAGCCGTGGGTCACCGAGCCGCTGCGTCCCCCCTGCAAACCCACCCACCTGAGATCCACTGGACAGGATGGAAGAGGTTGAGGTTGCTGAAGACAATGAAGGCCGTGGTGCAGATGGGCAAAAGCAGGACAGACCAGACCATGCTGGTGGCTATTCTCCAGCCAAGAACCTGGGGCAGAAAACACAAGGTCTGAGTCGGGACGTGAGCACGAGGGGTGCGAGGGGCCTGGATCCTCTCCCTTCAGGCGGCGCAGCCCCAGGCTTTACTGCGTTGACAGCCAAGTCCCCCATCAGGGCAGCTCCCCATCAGTCAAACGGCCACAACTAATAATAGGACCCATAACTACGGGACCGTGTCAAGGTGGTTCACAAGCAGGCCCAGGTGCCAGGAGTCAGGGCCGCGAGCGTTAAACAAATACCTGGCAAAAATAGAACGTGCAGCATGTGACAGGAGACAGCGGCCTGCTCTCTGACCTCCTCCTTTAGAACTAAGATCACTGCCAGGTCAATAAAAGCGTCCTTTTTAAATGGCCACATCCGTCCCTTCGCCAACTGGTCAAATGCCACCTGTGCCCATGAGCTCAGCGATGGGCACACATGGCATCTACGAGGGCAGACAGAAGCACGGAGCACAGCATCAGGACCATTTCCTTTTTGAAGGGTTCTTGTAGAAACCTCCCAGGAAAACCCAGAGAAGTTGCGGCCCTGGAGCAGACCCAACCAACCCAAGGAAAGCCGGCAGGGGAGCTCTGCGGCAGGCAAGGGGCCACAGGGCCAGGGGTCCGGGGCTGCTAGGAGCAGGTCTGTCCTTTCTGAGGGACACTCTGCCACCTGACAAGCCCTGCTGTCCACACAACTGCCACCCCAACCCCGAAGGACTAATCATCCCAGAATGAGGGCAGGACTGTGCCAACCCCACGGGCACCCACGAGGGGAGCAGAGAAGAGCATTCCCCAGGGCTGGGCATACAGGGGCCCCCCAGTACTGAGCGACCCGGGGTGGAGGGACTGCCCAAACCCGCTGAAGAGACCACAGCCTTCCCTCTCTCAATGCTGCTCCAGAATTTTCCCAAATCCTCCCTCCTAAACAACTGGCCACGAGAGGAGAAGGGCAAACAGATGCACAATTCACGAACACGGCGGCTGCTCTTCCCTGTCACAGAAGGCACATCAGCCTAAGGGGGCCCTCGGGAGCTCCAGGGGACCCTGGGCATGACTAGGAGCTGGGCTCTGGGCTTGCCAGGGGACACATGGGAGGGAACAGAGCTGGGCCCTGGGCTACAGCGGAGATATCCAGCATGGCCTGGAGTCTCTGCTTCCAGAGAGCCTCATCCGAGCCCCTCTCAGAGGGACCACCAGCATTGCCAGGCAGTGGCATGGAGGTGGTATACACGAGCCTGGTTGCACACATGTACACACGGGGGATGGTGTGAATGTGTTTCCACAGGGAGGTTTCTACACAGGAGGGCAGGAGAGAAGATGGAGACAGAGGGGTAGGGGCTAGGCAACCCCTGGGATGCTGTACGAGGTGCCTGAGGGCCCTGGAGTTCCCATCCCAAACTTGGGTGTCGCTGAACCTACCTGGGGCCAAATGCCACATTTGGGGAGGTACCTGGACTCCCCAAGTCCCCCCTCAGGACAGGGCCTGGGAAGGCCAGCAAAAGCGGCTGAAGATGGAGCAAAGGACGGGGCTGGACATGGAAAAGAGGTCCTGCTGGCAGCAGCATGGAGGCTGAGGAAGGCCGGGCGGGGGCAGAAGGGGAAGAGGGAGATGTCCGGCGGGTAACACTGACCATTCCTCGTTACTGCCTCGACACACAAGGAGAGGGAAAGGGCAGATGACAGAGCATCCTGATACTGAGAGTGAGGGAGCCAGGCTGGATGCCTGCGGGCAAAGGGACAGCTCAGCCTGGGACAGGTTGCCTTTGGGGTGATGGTAGACTGAAACCTAGACTGTGAGCTCCTAGAGGGCAGGGCCTGTCTCTGGCCTCTTTTTGAATCCCCAGAGCTTAGCAAAGTGCCTGGCACATAGTAGGCACTTAATAAATGTGAATCAAATGAATAAGCTGGGGGGGGCGGCCTAAGGGTCTGGGGCTCAAAGAGAAGTCTGGAAGTAGAGACCTGGGAGTCACCAGGGCACAAAGGCCACCCAGAGGCTGCAGGAGTCAGGGAGAGGGTCAAGAAGGCAGGGCGGGGAGGCCTGGGTTTGAATCCTGGCCGTGCCTTCCCCCGGACCTCAGCTGGACCAGACAGCCTCCAAAGTGCTGGGGAGTTCTAAGGAAGGGAGTGTGGACAAAAATGAGAGCAGGGCCAGGGTCTGAACCCCAGCTCTCCAGAGGCTACCTGTATAAACTGCGCAAGTCAGCCTTTCTGAGCCTCAGTTTCTTCCTCTGTTAAATGGGGGCAGGAGGGGGCCCCATGGGTGGGGTGGTCTGGATGACAGCCAAGGTCCTTGGGCCAAAGTGAGGAAAAGAGGCAGAGAACTGGAAGAGAGCAAGGACAGGATGTACAGAAGGAGGGACGAGAGGGGCAGGAGGGACAGAAGGATGACCAGAGGGACAGAAGGATGGACCAGAGGGACAGGACAGACAGAAGGATGGACCAGAGGAACAGGAAGGACAGGATGGACCAGAGGGGCAGGAGGGCCAAGAGCCAAGGGCCCTCGAGCCGGCCCCAGAGAGAGATCAGTGCTGGAGGCAGGGGTGGGGGAAGGGGGAGCTGACGGACTCTAAAGTTTGCAAAAGCGCCCCTCCCCCAGCCCCCGGCCCGGCCAGCCCAAGCGGGGAAGCTGAGGCCCGGGGGAGGGGGAGGCGCGCGGCCAGCCCCCCCGCCTCACCTTGACTCCCACCCCGCGCCCCACGTGCCCGTGCCCCGCGCGCCCCCGCGACTCACCCGCCAGAGCAGGTCTCGCTCCACACTGGCCGCGGAGCGGGCGCTCCCGGGGCCCGGAGGCGGGGGCGGCGGGGACGGCGGGGGCGCTGGGGCGCCGGCGGCCGCCGAGGCCGAGGCCGTGGCCATGGTGCCGGCAGGAGCGGCGGCAGCAGCAGCAGCAGCAGCCGCAGCCAACCGCCAGCGCGCCCGCCGCGGCCGTTCAAAGGAGGCCGGGCCGCGCGAGGACCCCGACGTGGATGGGGCTGCCCGTGGCGCCGCCTGACTGGAGAAGCGGCGGGGGCGGGGGGCGAAGCCTGCCTCCTGCCGCCCGAAAGCGGCGTGCCGGGAGCTATAGTCTGCGCCGCCGCGCGATGCATGACGGGACTTGGAGTCCCCGGCCGGTAGAGAAGCAAGAGGGAGAGCGGTAGTGGGAGCGCTGTGGGCTCGCATAGGCTCTCAATGCACGCAGCACTCGGAGCTTTCTCGAGGGGACGCGATGCACTAGCTGGCATGCTGGGAAGTGGGGTGAGCGAGGAGGGGAGAGGAAGAGAAGCGAGTCGGCACGCCTCCATCCAGCCCGCCGGCGCAATGCACGCCGGGACTCGGAGTTTCCCGAGTTCCAAGCTCAAAAGACTAGGGTTTCAAGCCCCTGCAAACCTCCTCCCACCTCTTTTCATTCATCTCTCTCCTCCTCTCCCTCTCCTCCCCACTTCTTTCCTCTCAATATTCTTTTCTCTCTTCTCTTCTCTCCCCTTCTCTCCTCTCCCTCTCCTCTCCTCTCTTTTCTCTCCTCTTTTCTCTCTCCCCCTTCTCTTTTTTCTCTCTCTCCCTCTCTTCTCTTTTCTCTCCTCTTTTCTCTCCCTCTGTCTTTTCTCTCCTCTCTCTCCTCCTCTCCTCTTCCTCTCTTCTCTCCTCCCTCTTTTCTCTCTCTCCCTCCCTCTCTCCCCCTTCTCTCTTTTCTCTCCTCTCCCTCTCCTCTCCTCTCTTTTCTCACTGTCTTTTCTCTCCTCTCTCTCCCTCTCTTCTCTCCCTGTCTTTTCTCTCCTCTGTCTTTTCTCTCCTCTCTCTCCTCCTTCTCTCCTCTTCCTCTCTTTTCTTCTCCCTCTTTTCTCTTTCTCCCTCCCTCTCTCCCCCTTCTCTTTTCTCTCCTCTCCCTCTTTTTTCTTTCCTCTCTGTCTTTTCTGTTCTCTCCCCTTTTTTTCTCTCCTTTCTCTCCCTCTCTTTTGTCTCCTCTCTTTCTCTCCCTGTCTTTCTTCTCTGTCTTCTCTCTCTCCTTCTCTCTTTTCTCTCCTCTGTCTTTCTCTCTCATTCTTTCTCCTCTCCCTATACCATACACCAAAAAACACTTGATTAAAGACACAGCACAATCTACTGCAAAGACCTGCTGAATTTTGAGTCTGAGGTCCTGGATTCAAATCTCTGCTCATTCTCAGTTCCAGTGGGACCTCAGACAAGTGAACTACATTCTCCGGGCCTCAGTTTCCACATCTGTAAGATGCTTAGAACATAGCCAGTTACCCAGCACAAATTAAGCACCTGTTGTGTGCCAGGCACTGCACCCAGGACTGGGACTTTACCAGGAGGCACACACCTCCCACTCTGGAGCCTGCCATGCCTTCCAGACATTCCAACCTGTCATAACACATCATCTGTGTCACCCCCAGCTATGCCCTATGTTCTACACAGGCAGGCTCACCTCTGCTTCTCCCCACTTTTTGCCTAGCACAGGGCTTTCTTGACCATCCTAGATTTCCAGGAAATGTGAGTAGAATGCAGGCAGCTTCATGGAAGACTGAAGTGGAAAGAGGGCCAGGCGTGGAGTCAGAGCTGGGACGCTGGACAATACGCCTAACCTCTCTGATCAGTTTCTTCATCTCTAAAACCAGGGACTGCCACAGATGGACTCTGATTGCTTCCAACTTTAAATCTATGGTCCTATGATCCAGCGAGGGGGAAGGCTGACATCTTCCAGAACACCCCAATACCCAGCCTGCTTGGGGTGCTCAGGAAGTACTGGGGAAACGTCTGAGGGGAGGGGAGAGAACACCCGTCCACTGAGCAGACAGGAAGGCAAAGGCGTACTGTCACAAATTCAAATCCCACAAGCTAAATCAGATCTTCCAGAGCCCAGCACACGGTAGGTGCTTACTATGCGTCTGCTGATTTGAAATTGCTTTTCTGATCTCATCCAGCCTCCTGCTGCCCCTGCTTTCTGAACCCCTGATGACAGTGATGCCCTGGGAGGAGGGGGAGGGAGCCTTCACACAACACACCACATCCCCAGGGGATTCTTGTCTCCCCAGCTAGACTGGCATCCTTGAAGTCAGGGACTGTCTACAGCTCCCCTGCAGACCCACCTGGCCACCCTGGCAAAGCAGCAAAGTCATTGGCTCCCCACACTCCCCAGTGATGAAGAATACCGATGTACCCCTGGGCATCTAGCCTCGAGTGCCAAAGAAGTGTGGAACCAAAGGTTTGTAGAGGGGGATGCCATGACCAGGAATAAGGAGAGCCTTATCCTCCTGTCCTCTGCCTCGGTCTCACCGCATCTGAAGTACCCCGTTCAGCTCTGGGTACAAGTTTAGGAAGATTGGAGAGAGTCCAGAAGAGAGTGACCAGGATTAATCAGTCCATAAGCATTTATTGAGTGCCTATGGTATGCAATACTCTGGAGATGCAAAGACAGAAGCCAGACAGCCTTTGCCCTTAGAGGGCTTACATTCCACTGCAGAGGAAACAGACAAATACAGAATATGGATAAAATCCAAAATGGGGACACTAACCCCAGAGGGAATCAGGAGAGGCCCTTGTGGAGGTCAGAGCCCTTGAGCCCGAGAGGTGATGGTGAGGAAGGGAGCTTTCTAGGTATGAGGCAAAGGCGGGATGATGGCTTATGGGATGTCAGGTATGGAGACAGAGAAACAATGTGTAATTAGATTATAAGGATGGATGGAGGCCAGATCGCAAGGGTTTAAACACCAGAGAGAGGAGTTGGTTTAACCGAAGGGCCAAAGGGAGTCTCTGAAGCTTGTTAGCCAGGAAAGGGCCTTATGGCCTTGCTGAAGAAGCACAGGATGCTTCACCTGGACAGAAGCCCATGAGGGATCCCATCCTCCTGCGGATGCAGGACTTTGGGATGGACAAGGACTAGTCACAGTTGAACAAAGAGGGCAGAAGAACGGGGTGTAATTTGCAGAGGTCCGTGGCAGCTTGATATCAGGAAAAACTTCTCACCTGGAGGCAGCCAGGTGGTACAGAGGGTAAAAGCACTGACCTTGCAGTCAGCAAGACCAGGGTTCAGATCCTGCCTCAGACACTCACTAGCTGTGTGACCCTGGGCAGCCCTAGACTTGACTTCAGCCTCTGTTTCCTCATCTGTAAAATGGGGATAAACACCTACTTCAAGGGCTGTATGGAGACTGAATGATACAACACACGGGCAACTTTAAAGCATGATGTAAGAAAGGGCTTTGCCAGCTGAGAACAGATGGCCCCAGGGCCCCACTTGCAGTTGCCAAGCAAAATCCTGATGACCACTTGTCAGGAATGCTATCCAAGAGATTCCTGTTCATTCCTGGGCTTGGACTCAAAGGCCCTTGGGCTCCCTTCAAACTCAGATCCTGTGAGTTGAGAAGCTGACCTGCCTCACCTGACCCCTCCACTTCTACCTCTGACGCCCCCCACCTCACCCTTCCCATAGATTCTCTCATCCTTTCAATGCCACTGCCGCCTCCAGGAAGCCCATCCTGATGTCCCCAGTTACTACCAACCTGTCAGATCCTATCCTCTCATTCCTCTCTATAATGCGAGATCAAGTGATAACATCATTATAACCAACCGACAAGCATTTATTAAGTACCTAATAGATGCCAGCACTGCACGAGGCTCCAAACACACAGAAACACAGAAATATGACCAGGAATGCTGAGAGTGGGAGGGGACTCCCCAGGGGAGCGAGGCTGCCCACACTCTCCCAGTCCTCTCAGATGCTCCCCTCCACCCTGACTCTCCTGTGCCAGGCTTTCTAGCCCTGATGCTGCAGCTTCCTTAAGCCCCTTTCGTTCAGAGCCCAGGGGAGGGACATGTCCAGGGGCACCCAGGGAGTGGGCAGCAGGTCCCAGTTCCCTGACCTCCAAGCTCAGCACTCCTTCCCCTCCACACGCTGACTCATCTCCTACAAGCATGTAAAGGACACTGTCCCAGCCTCCAGTGTGTCACGTGGTGGGGAAGACACCCATACCCATGACTGGGAAACGAGGCAGACTGTGAATGATGTGTGAAGCAGAAGCAGAAGGGGCCAGGGCCAGGCAGAGTGGAGGCACAGGACAAAAATGTTTGAGAAACATTGCCTTAGACATCGGCAGGAAAGAGAGGAAACCCCAGTGTGGTGATGGAGCCAGCAGGGCAGCGATGTCCTGGCCTTGGGCCTCAGACATGCTGACCTCATTTCAGCCATCCTCCTGCTCCCGTCCCGTGGTGAGCATGTAAGCAAAAGATAAGAGTGGAGAGCTGGGGCGTTCTGCGAGGTATTTATTGCACCACTGTTTGAGTCAATGACCTGGAATCTAGTCACCCACAAGAGCCGGCCCTTCAGTGAGCTCTCAGAATCCCCCACGGGGAAGAGGGAAGCGAGACCAGCCTCCTCCCCAGCCCGGAGATGCTGGGCAGGAAGCGTGGCATTAGGCATTCAGCACTGCTGAATTCTCACCTGCCAGCAAGAATGATAAATAATTCAAGTGCTGTGGACACAGCTCCAACCAGCGATCAAGGTCATAGGACCACGGGAGACAGCTGTCAGGACAGATGCCAAGGCCCAGCCATGACGCCAAGGATGTCGAAGATGAGAAGGAAGAGAAAGCCCATCCTGGGAAGGGGATGGGGCAGAGGCGGGGACCACACAGCATCTAAGTTATTCCAGGGCTGGCTAGCCTCCAGAGGCCAGGCATCTGCAGAGGGGTCCGTCCCGTCTCTTGGGCTTCCGTTATTCCTCAAAACAGGAAAAGAGACAGCAGACCTGAAAGTACAAAAGACAGAATGGGGGAGGAAAGCTCACAAGTTGAACTCCCCTCCTCACCCACCACCGCTATACCCCCTCCATGATCCTGGAAGCCCATCTACATCAGGCTCCCAAGGAGCATCTCTCGCTGCCATGGATGCCCAATCCTGCCTGTACCACCTGCTACCTGGCTGGCCCTGGGCAAGTCAGTCACTACGCTCCACGGGCCTGAGTTTCCCCATCTGTAAAGTGAGGGGGCTTCCCACTTGCTTTAGACCCTGGATGCTGTGGCCCACCCTCCTCCTCCCCAGCAAGAGAGGGAGCCCCCCCTCCTGGGGTCTTTCCAATTCTGAATTTGTACGGATCACTTCTGTTTTTTATATCCCTGTTATTTCCAGACACCCCATCCCCTGCCCATGACCTTCTCCTGCCCAGCAAACCAGCCCTGGCACCGATACAGCCGCCGTGGACAAGGAAGGAGGTGAGTTTTCTCTCCTACTCTTTGAGGACGAGTGTGATCACAGTAATTACGAGGCCTTTCACGGTGGTTTCCTTTCGAATGGTTTACTTGGTCCCCGGTTCTGCTTGCTTCGCTCTGCATCAGTTCACAGAACACTCCCCTGACCCCTGGAATGACTCAGGTCCACCTCCCTTAGGGCACAGCCATGTTCCCAGCACGTGCCCAGGGCAGTCCAAGATGGGCACCTGCATCAGTCCCAGGTCTTTGCTGTCACAAAAAGGGCCACTGCAGACATCCGGGCCTCTGCCTTTCTGAGGCCTCTCCCTGCACGTTCTCAAAGAATACTTTCCCAGATCCACCTTTTGTTTTCATACGGTCCGATTTCCCCCTATACCCTCCCCTCATCCTCAGCCCAAAAGACATCCTGTGGAACAGAGAATTTCTTTAAAAAGTCAAAAACAAGAGGAAAAAGAGAAAAACAAATTCACGAAGACCGATGACAACACTGAAGAAGCCTGATCTAAGCATGTGCCACGTTCCCCAGCTGTGGCCTCTGACCTCTGTGGAGGAGTTGGGGGTGGGGGAAGTGGGTGGCTTATTCCTGTCTATAATTTTGCTGACCACCCATGTTGATGGTTTTGGGGGCTGCGGCTTCCGCTGACATCGTGACAGTCCCTTGGTATCAGCTGGGCAGGACAATGCATAGGGCACTGGGCTTGAAGTCTGCAAGACCCGAGTTCGAACCCTCCCTCAGACATTTCCTGGCTGTGGGACCCTGAGCAGGTCATTTCACCTCCTCTCAGACTCAGTTTTCTCATCAGTAAAATGGGAATAATAATAGCACCCATCTCCCAGGGCTGTCATGAGGACCAAAGGGGGTGATATGTAAGGAAGAGCTTTACAAACCTGAAGTGCTCTATGAAAGCCGGCTGTGAATTATTACCAGTGTCAGTTCCTATCAGTTTTCCCAGGATTCTCTGCATTCATCTCCCACATCTTTTCTGGTTTTTGTTTTTTTAGGTAATTGGGGTTCAGTGACTTGCCCAGGGTCACACAGCTAGTAAGTGTCAAGTGTTTGGTCTGAGGCCGGATTTGAACTCAGGTCCTCCCGACTTCAGGGCCGGTGCTCTGTCCGGTGTGCCACCTAGCTGCCCCCTCCCACATCTTTTCTTACAGCACAATAACATTCCACCACATCTGTGCCCCACAGTGGGATCCATCATTCCCCAGCTGATGGGCATCCTCCTTTGTCTCCAGGTCTTGGCTAACCCTGAAAACCTGCTGCCCTGAGCAGTTTTTACACTGGCAAAGAGCTGGAAACCGAGGGGAGAGCCCAGCCGGGGGGGATGGGGGAGAATGGCTGCACAGATTACAGCAGGGAAGGAAAAGGAAATGACAAAGGGCACGGTTTCAGAGAAACCTGGGAAGACTCGTCTGAACAGATGCAGAGGGAAGTGAGCAGAACCAGGAGGGCACCAAAGGCCATGACAAGACTGCGTGGAGATAAACAACTGGGGAAGAAGCCTAGGGGCTGATGCATGGGAGGTCAGCCAAGTCAAGGAAAAGACAGAAAATCAACTAATCCAAAGTGAATGGGGTGAAACTACAAAAAAAGATCCTGGCTCCAAAGAAGAAAGAGAAGACGCCCCACCTAACCCCAGCATGAGTCCCCAGGGGGGCGCACGACACATACTTTCAGACATTTTTAATGTATCAGCCAGTTATGCTAATTTTTCCCCTCTAATTTTTCCATTTTTTTTTCCTTTAAAAAATGTTATTTTTGCTATGTGAGACAGCCCATTGGGAGGAAAAGGGAGGAAAATTACGCTGATGTTAAAAAAAAAAAGGAAATATAAAACTTATTTTAAAAATTTTGTCAAACCCTGATCAACACAAGGACCAACCAAGATTCCAAAGGCTCAGGATGAAGAGGCAGCCCAGCGCTCACCAGGAGGAGGGGCCAAGGCAGGGCTGTGTTGCTCGTATCTGTCACAGGGGCTGGGCCGACCTTTCTTTTCCTATGGGGGCTGGGGAGGTGAGAGGGAGAGGATGTCTCTCTGCTTTAGCACCCGGATTCAGAGTCAGAGGTCCTAAATCCAAGCCTCGGCTTTACCACCTGGGTGGTCCTGGGCCAGCCTCTTCACCAGCCTGGGCCTGAGCCCCTTGATCTCTAAGAGGAGGGGGCTGCACCAGATGGCCTTCCCACCTCATGCCAGCTCAGGCTGGCTGCTTCAGGAAAAAGCACAGAATCCAGGGCAGGGAAGGGGTTAACAGCTGGGGCAGCACTGCTGATTTACATGGTGAAGGTTATCTTGGCGAGCAGAGAGGTTAGAAACTATTATTTCTCCAGGAGAGCTTGGCCCAAGTTTACAGTAAAACGCTTGACCGGGCCATAAATCTCTGGCAGCCCAGGATCCAGACGCCCCTGGCTCGTCACTGAGGAGACTGATGCCTCTGCCAGAGCGGGGCCAGAGGGGACATTCATCACTCTCTCATTGGGAGATCCTGACACTCCAGCTTACAGCCTGGAGGGGCAGGTGGGGCAGGGAACCCGACTCACTGCCCTGTGCCCAGGACTGTGCTGAGATAAGAAAGTCAGAGGCAAAAAAGGAAGCAATCCCTATGAGGGTGATGCTGCTTAGGCCAGGAAGACAGGGTGCCTCTGGTAGATAACAACTGTGACCCAGAGAGATGCCAATGCCAAAGGGACATCTGGTTTTAAAAATAAAAACAAAATTTTTCAGCTACAGTCTCCATACTCCACTTTACCCCCTAATTAGTGAACTGCCCAATTTATTCCCTTCTGAAAAGATAAAAGGGCCATCAGCCCCTCTGACAGACTGGGTTCCTTGTGGCCCACAAGCCGTTTGGGTTTTTTGAACACACTCAACAGGAGGAAGATGAAGACCCTGGCATGACTTACGGTCCTCGTCACCCAGCCCAGGTGGGTCCTCTTCACCCGGCCTTGACGGATGCAGCTGTTTGCTTCTGAGTAGTAGTGGGGGTGACCACAGGAGGATAATCCAGCTCAGGGGCATCAAAGAAGTATGCCTGCAGAAAAGGATACCCATGATGGAGAGCACAGGAGAGGAATCTACAGAGGTCACAGAGCTTCAGGGTTAGAAGAGACCGAAGAGGCGGCCTAAGTCAGATCCCACCAAGACAACCCAGCCAGTGTTGTGGTTTGTACTTCCTGCTTATAAGGGAGGATTCTATGGGCGGAGGGGTTGGGGAGAATCAGGTATTGACTAGAAAGTGTCAACCATGTTTAAAAAAAGGTCATCAATAAAACTTGCTTTTTAAAAAAACTGAATGGTCTAAAACCCAGAATCATAAGACTTAAAGCTGGAAGAAACCTTCAAGATTGCCAAGTCCAGGGTCCTTAATTTAGGACACATGAATTTTTTTTAAATTCTGATAATTGAATTTCAGTATAACTGGCCTCCTGTAAAATCCTATATCTTTTATTTTATGTATTTAAAAGCATGATTCTGAGGAGGGGTCCAGAGGCTTCCCCTGACCACCAGAGAAGTCCAGGACTCAGAAAAGGTGAAGACCCCCGGCCCTCAGACAGCCAACCGTCCTGTTTTCCTTAATCACGCTGCCTGCCCCCCACCCCCCATGCCCAGTACCTGCTTTATTATCATAAGGATCAATGGATCAAGACACCCGGTCCAGCCCCTCTTTTGGCAGATGAGGGGACAGAGGCCCAGGGGGGCCAAGCCCTGGGCCCAAGGTCACAGAGGGAAATGTCAGGGTTGGCATTCTGACTCCAAATCCAGAATTCTTTTCCCCAATCCCAGGCTGCCCCCCACAGTTTCCAGGGAGATGTGGAAGGCTCTTAGACCATCTGGTCCAAACTGGCCCTTCAATTTAAAGGTAAGGATCCTGAAGACTGAAGAAAAGGTCTGTCCACAGACACACACAAATCAGCATAAGAGGTCATTTTGAACCCAGATCCCTCACTCCGAGGACTCTTTCCACAGTAGCACCTGGCTCCAAACCCTCCCCTGTGAGCCCGTGTCAGAAAGCTCCAAAGGGGCCAGGGGTGCCCAAGCTGAACGTGAGAGCTGCATGGGACGAGGGATGACCGATGGAGCTGTGATTTCCCTTCACTGGCTCAGTGAGAAGACCCCCTCTCCTGCAGCAGATGGCACCGTCGAGGGTAGCCCAGGGTGGCCACTGGGGGACGAGAACCCATCCACCACACTATTCTACCTGATCCTCGACCTCTGACCTTTGACTCTGGTAAACCTCAGGTTACCAGCATCTCAGGAGCAGCTTTTAAAGAGGGAGAGCCTCTGGGCCTGCCCTGGAGGGGCCAGCATCTTGACAAGGACCTCTCGTGGGTGAGCAAGTGCTGGACAGAGCTGGGGGAGCAGGGCCGCCTCACACCAGTCAGCCAGCAGGGGGCACTGGGAGAACACGCCAAAGGAGGTCTGAGCCCACTAGAGCTCCTCCTCCACAGCTTTCCTTTGGGAAGCCGCCAACAGCGAGGCCTCCTTCCTGCAACGGCTGCTCCTGCATCCTCTGCAAAGATCTACAAAGGAGATCTCCCTGAAGAGGAAAGGCGCCCAGATCTGGAGGAAAAGGACCCGAGTGTGAATCCTGCCTCAGACTCTTACTAGTCCCGGGACTCAGAGTGGGGCTTCTCATCTGTAGAATGAGGCTAACGACGGCGTCTACTTCCCAGGGGCGTTGTGAAGACCAGAAGAGATCACTTCCAGTTTCTCCTGTGGGAGCTTGTTTGTACACAGTGGTTTGCATGTCGTTCCCCCCCCCCATTTGACTGTAAGCTCCTCGAGGGCAGTGCCTCTTTTTGTATCCCCCAGGGCTCAGCACCAGTGCCTGCCACATGATAGGAGCTTAATAAATGTTTAATGACTGCGTAAAGTACCGTGTAAACGCTAGTGATTTTTACCTATGTGACCTTGGGCAAGGGACTTTCCCTCTGCCTCCACGGGCCTGGCTGACTCGTCTGTAAAAGGAGGGGGATGGAGGGGTCTTTTTCACCTCCATGTCTCTCTCCCCACAAGGAAGGAGAGAGGTTCTGGTCCCAGCCACGCTATCACGGGAGCAGGATCTCCCAGGGAGGAAACCTCCTCCCATTCACGAAGACTGCCCACTCATCGGTCACTTTAGAGCAGGCTGGGACCCAAAGAGGACGCAGAGCAGCCTGGGAAGCAGACACCTGCCCAGTGTCATTGGCAGGATCTGAACTCAGGTCTTCCTGACTCCAAGGCCAGCCCTCTATTCTCCACCTCTCACAAAACCAGACCCACAAAACATGCCGAGTATCGGCCACATTCAGGTTGACGTGGGCCAGATACAGGGACAGTGTAGACCCACCCTGGCAGACCCCAGTGGGGGGGTGAACCAAGGCCAGGACTCACAGCTGCTCAGATGAGGGAATTTTAAAAAGTCACACCAGAAAATGAGGGGGCTTCCTCACTTGATCTTAAATGCAAGCAATAATAATGAAGATGATGATAATTAGAGGCAGCTGACTGGTACAGTGGACAGAGTTCCAGGCCTTGAGTCAGAAAGACCTGAGTTCAAATCCAGCCTCAGTCACTAGTAGCTGTATGACTCTGGGTGAGTCACTTAAATCCCACCTCGATCGCTAATCTTGGGCAGCAGCCTCCCATCTGGGGGGGGGTGCCAGCTCTCATGTCCCAGGATCACAAACACCAGCACACTCAACGGTCCCACCTGGGTCCGTGCGACCAGCAGTGACCACGAAGGGGCAGGACCGGCCCTTACCAGGCAGCCCACAGACAGGAGCGTGTGAAGCAGGACGATGGTCACGATGGTGGCGATGGCGATCCTCCGGCTGTCATCACGGACGGCAGGCCAGAACGTCATCACCAGGACGGAGCCCGAAAGGCCCAGGGCAACCGTGACCAGCACCCAGCGCACAGCCTTCTGAGGAATGATCCACAGGACCTGGAGGGAGAACGAGGCACCTGAGGGGGAAGCTGAGGCAGGCGGCGTGAACAAAGGGGGTGTGTGGCTGTGCCCCCGAGATCTCATCAGCTTAGGAATCACCATTCTCAAGAGAGACGAGCCAAACCCGCGCTCGGTCAGGGTGCTTACGCTGGTGCCTGCAGAACCCTTCTCTGGGGCTCCGCGAACCTGCCCGGGGAAAACCAACCCACCCTCCTCAGCTTCACTGACTGCAGTGCAGCACTGCCTTCCGCTGTTCAAAAACACGACTGAGAAAGGGCGCCAGGCTTTGGCGGCACCCAAAACGACTCATCGGGAGCCCCCAGATCGGCTGCCCTCCTGCCACCGGGAGTGGCACCCCTCTCGGCCTCCACCTTCTCATCTGTAAAATGGAATTGGCGATCCTCACAGATCTCTGTCTCTGCCTCTTCCGGGCCTGGAGTGTTCTCCCTGCTGTCTCTCAGAACGCCCGGCAGCCTCCCAGCTCAGGCTCAGCTCAGGAGCCTCCTCTGACGCGAAGCCCTATCTGACCCCCACAGCTGCTAAGGCCTCCCCTCTGCATACATAAGATATACACAGGACGACAGAGGAAACCATTAGATTGAAATGTAGCTGGGTGGCACAGGGGACAGAGCACTATGCTGGAATCAGGAAGACCCAAGTTCAAATCCAGCCTCACATACTTCCTAGCTGTGTGGGCAAGTCACTTCACCTTGTTTGCCTCAGTTTCCTCATCTGTAAAGTAAGCTGCAAAGGAAATGACCAACCACTCTAGTCTCTTCGCCAAGGAAACCCCAAAAAGGATTACGGAGAGTCAGATGTGAGTGAAGTAGCTGAATGACAACGGTAACTAAGCTTTTTTAAAGAGCCCAGGTTAAGAATCTGGCCTTGGAGTCACTAAGACCAGGGTTCAAGTCAGGTCTCAGAAACCTGCTGCTTAGCCGTTAATGGCTCAGGCAGCTCTTCAAGACGGTAACTTGGAGAGGAGGTGCAATCTGCACCAGAGGCTCGGAGGGCAGAAGGGCTTGGGGAACCTCAGGGAAGCTTTCCTCAAGGGGTAGCGGGGCGGCTACGGCATCACAACTCTAACACGTCCTGGCCGTGTGGAACAAAGAACCACAGACGCTGACCTGGAGGGGGCCTCACCCTCACCTGCCTCGGTTTCCTCATCTGTAAAATGAGGCGCGTGAGGAGGCAGTGTTTAAGGTCTCAGCCAGCTCCACAGCTCTGGCTCTAGAAGCTGACTTGTCCAGAGTCACACGAGTAGTAGGGGCAGAGGCGGGTTGACTCGGGCCCTCCCACCTCCACGCCCAGCTCTCCCTGCACTATGCAGTCCACAGGCCGGCTGCCTCCTCACCCAAGGGCCCGACTTACCGCCGTAGGGATGTAGATGAAGAGCGAGTAGCCATAGACACACACAATCTCCAGGAATGAATAGCTGACGATGCTCATCACTCTGCTGTTTCTCCACAGAAGAAAACCCCAGAGGCCGAGAGGGACCAGCCAGGCATAGGCGTAGATGGCCGTGGCTGCAATGGACACTGGGGAAGACACCACAGCTGTCTAAACGCCCCAGTGCATCTCAGCAGTGGCCAGAATGGCCTCCGCCCCAGCGCTCACTGCACCGTCCCATCCACTCACGGGAGGTGGGCACAAGTAAGTAACCGGATTAGCCCAGGGAAGATGCCAGAGGGACGCGTAGCGGGGATGTGGGTAAGCACGTCAATCACAGAGAGCAGACCGCGCTCCCCATGGAAGACAGTGTCCTCTCAGGACAAACAGAGCTGACGGCAATTGTTTTAGCAAATTTATTAAAATGCCCTGGGTACAAATTAACTTTCCTACCATGTTACTGAATGCTTTTCCCGTCTGGGAAATGGGTATTTGAGTTCTCTGATGAATTGCTGGAAATAATGACCAGTGTCCCTTTCTTGTCTAAATAATGTTGCCTTAGCAGCTGAGGTGCTGTTCGATGACTCCTCTGAATGACAGGGGTCCACCTAGAACTTGACCTTTCTCTTCATCCTGAAGCCACAGAAGGCTTGGGAAGGAAGCACTCTGCTGCATTCTCTCCTCTCCCCCCCCCACTCTTCCTCTCCCTCTTCCTCCCTTCTCTCTCTCTCTCTCTCTCCCCCTCTCTCTCCCTCTCTCTCCTCCCTCTCTCTCTTTCTCTGTCTCTCCCTTCTCCTCTCCCCCTCCTCTCTCTCTCTCTCTCTCTCTCTCCCTTCCTCCCTCTCTCCCTCTTTCTTTCTCCCTCTCTCTCTCTCTCCCTCTTTCTTTCTCCCTCTCTGTCTCCCTCCCTCTCTCTCTCTCCCTCCCTTTCTCTCTCCCTCCCTCTCTCCCTCTTTCTTTCTCCCTCTCTCTCTCTCCCTTCCTCTCTCCCTCTTTCTTTCTCCCTCTCTCTCTCCCTCCCTCTCTCTCTCTCTCCCTCCCTTCCTCTCTCCCTCTTTTTTCTCCCTCTCTCCCTCTCTCCCTCTCTTTAGGAGCACAGGTTCACAAACTGAAATGACCCAAGATGTAGCCCACCCTACTTTATATTTTGGGCAGAAGCAGAAGCAAGAGCGGTGGTCACACCAAGTCCGGTTCAGTGTCCAACCAGAGCTGGGACTAGGAGTAGGCAAAGGAGACAACTGTTTAGGCACCACCCTCAGGAGGGGGCACAGTGAAGGGCTGTTTTATAAATGCATGTATTTTTAATGTCGAAAAATCCCAGTCCCTATGGCACAGAGTCAATCAGTCAATCAACAAACATTACACACCTAAGGTATATAAGGAACTGCGCTGAGGCAGTCAAAGTTAAGACACAATCCCAACCTCCATTCAATCAATCAATCAACTAATATTTATTAATCACCTACTCGTACCAGGCACTCTATTAAACGCTGCAAATACAAAGACAAAAATGAAACATTCTGTTACCAATGACAACTTTGGTTTAAATCCCAGTCTGCTGCTTAATTAATGATCTTTTTCAAGCACGTCATAGAGAAGTGGTGGGGAGTAAGGTGTAAGAAGACTGGAAAAGTATGAGTGGGGCTAGGATGTGAAGGGCCTTGAACACCAAGCAGAGGATCTTGTATTGGATTCTGGAGGCAATAGGGAGCCCCGGGGAGTTTACGGAGCAGGGGAGGTGATGTGGTCAGACCTGCACCTTGAGAAGATCACTCTGAATGCCTGGAAGACAAGCACTGCTCCCTATTTGTCTTTGCACCCTCAGCACCTAGCACAGGACCTGACAGTAGTCACTTCATACATAAATGCCGTTCTCGACTCTATGCTCAATAAATGATTTTTGGTTGACCCACTGAGAAATCCTGCTATCCTGGACAAAGGCCTAAAGCCTCCACGGACAAGCCCATGGGCACCCTGACTGCCAAGCCATGCCCAGCACATGCCAGGCTGTGTCCCCACGCTACTGACATTGCCAGCTTTTCTCGTGAGACGTTGCCTCGGCTGCCCCAAATGTGGCTCCACCAACAGCACCCATGCCTCTCTACCCCAGGTAGGCGGATGTCGGCCGACAACACCAACAGCCAGAGTGAGTCCTGACCTTTCCGGAATTCTGGTACATAATGGAAAGTCTTGTCCCCCAAGTGGATAAGGAAGTTGGAGAGATTCCCACTGATGGCGATGGCGAAGACCAGGGTGGCACATATCCAGAAGGGCCCTGTGAAGGAGACGGAGCACAGGGGCAGAGGGGATAAGAGGAGACGCGCCTTCACACTTAGTCACACACACACACACACACACACATACACACGCACAAAGTCAGCACCAGACTTTGGTTGCAAAGATCCTCTTCCCCTCTCCCTGGACTGGCCCAAGACAGAAGAATTTCAGACAAAATCAACACTTGCTTAATGCGATTATCTTTTCAAGGCCAGGTCCTCTATCAGCCATTAGCTGGATTAAAGACTTGTGGGATGAGGGACAGATCTCCAGTAGTCAGTGCCCCACAGAATTCCCACTATAGAACACAGGATGACAGGGCTCTGCTTGGAGGCCTCCAGACACAGGGTGGCTCGATCCAGTTTTAGACAATACCCTAATGGCTTTTCCTTCCATCGGACCTCTATTTACCTCTACAGCATTTCCCCATGCATGCCGACCCAATCAGCATTTATTAAATCTGACAGAGGGTCACAGACACCGGGCCATAAGGGATTCTAGAGGCCACCCAGTCCCCCCTCCTCATTTCACAGAGGAGGAAATGGAGGCCCAATAAAGTGACCTGCCCAGGATCACACAGCTACTACAGTATCCAAGTCAGGATCTGACCTCAGGCCTTCCTGACTCTAAGTCCAGGCCCCAGGTATCTTATATGGACAAGGCCCTGGGGACCTAAAGTCAGAATGGTAAACAGAACCAGGCCCAGGGCCATGAGAAGTGGTAAGGGGTCCCCAGGAAGAGGCTTCTGAGCTGGGCCTTGAAGGAACCTGTGGATTCAGGGCCTCTGGGAGGGAGACCTGCCCCTCGCAGGGAGGGAAGAGAGATCAGCAAATTCGAGGGATGACAGGGCCCTTCCCCTCCAGGCTCCAGGTTCTGGCCTCTGGGGCCAAGCAAGGCAAGGCCAATCCCTCCCACACACAAAAGCCCTTTAAGTATCGAAAGGCATCTCCCAGGCTCAGGCTGTCCCAAGGCTAAACCGGGCTCTGCTTGGCCCCAGAGGCCAGAACCAGGAGCAGCTGGGGAAGAGCATCTGAGCCGCTCTCCTCCAGGGGTCCTCCATCAGCCCCCTCTGGGTCCCCCTCCTCACCATAGGTGACACCACCCACACAACAGACGTAAGCCTGGACTACGCAGCACCCACCATAGAGATCCGGATTGCTTCGGATGTACAGCCTGACAAAGTTTCTCCCAGGGACAGGCAAAACCGAGCCTTTTATCCTGTCGAAGACCTAGAAACAAGACAGTGGAGAAGTGGAGATCAGCGAGGTGACCTAGCACAGGGCCTGACACACAGTAGGCATTTTAAAACTGCCAGCTGGCTGACTGATTCAGGGATGGTGTGAAAAAAGCATTGGCCTGGAATCCAAAGGCCTGGTGTCAAGCCGTGTGAGCTTGGGGAGGTCACTTAACTCCCCGGGGGCTGTGACCTCAATGTCCGTGGACGAGGCACCTGGCAGCCATAAGGGGATTGCAGAAGGGAGAAGAATATCATGTTACAGAAATCTCACGTCTGTTAGGGAATGAGAGGGAGTATTCGTGGCCATGCCACATAATCATGGAAGATGATGACGCTGGCAGCCCAACTCTGGGGTTTCTTTTTGGGAGAATGGAATCTCCTCGGGCCACAAGGCCTGTCTCTCCAGGGATGTCTGCATCCCCAAGAACCTAATAAAAAGGAGAGTACAGAAGGGCCCAGCACCCTGACATACCAGCCAACGGAAGAGGAAATCTAGATGAGATCAATATCTACAAAAGTACAAATCACCCAAAGTAACCAAACGAGAAACTGACAAGCTGCGCGTCCCAAGGTCAGAAAGAGAAACTGACCACGCCGTAAATGAAGCGACACAAGCCACCACCACGTGATGGCGCTCCATACCAGGGGCAATTACTAGCAAATCCATTCGCTAGGATTCTGTCTATACTGCCTTAAGAAGAATCATTCCTTTCTTTTAAGACACATATCATGCTTTTATTAAAGTCACTAGTGTCAGGGCCGCTAGGTGGCACAGTGGATAGAGCACCGGCCCTGCAGTCAGGAGGACCTGAGTTCAAATCTGAACTCAGACACTTGACACTTACTAGCTGTGTGACCCTGGGCAAGTCATTTAACCCCCACTGCCTTGCCAAAAAAAAAAGTCATCAGTGTCGATATGAAAACAATGTATTCTGATTTCTAAAAGTATATTTGAATTTCATTGCATGGGCCCAGACTGAATCAAAACTTTCATAATCGTGGCAGAACCACAGAGTGCTGAGCCTGCAGTCTGGTCACTTCTGGGAAAAAGTATGCTAGCTTAGTGGTGCAGGTAGGGGTATGTGGGTAAATATTTAACAATCAGCTGTCCAGAATTAAAAAAATTTGTCTGACACATTTTTAAAGTTTAATGGGGGGGCGGAGCCAAGATGGCAGAGTGAAAGCAGTGACTTGCTTGAGCTCTCCCCCAAACCCCTCCAAATACTCATAAAAAATGGCTCTAAACAAATTCTGAAGCAGCAGAACCCACAAAAAGACAGAGTGAAACAAATTTCCAGCCCAAGACAACCTGGATGATCGATCAGAAAGGTGTATCACGCCGGGCTGGGAGCACAGCACAGCGCAGGGTTGGCACGCAGGCCGCAGCACACCTGGAGCAGGCCTCAGAGGACTGAATCGCGGGCAGCTGTGAAGGTTTCCAGACTCCTCAATCCAGCAATGCCAAAGACAACTTAGAAGGTGAATGGGAAAAGTCTGTTTCTGTCGGTGCTCAGAGAGGAAGGCAGGGTTTCAGCTCCATTCCCCAAGAGCGCGGCCCTGGGAGGGACAGCTGCTTCCCGAGCTTCCGGCCCACAGACTGAGGGGGAATCCAGTGGCTGATCAGAGAGGGACTGCAGGGATCTCTTTGCCAGTGCTGAGGCAGGAATCTCTTGCTTTGCCCGTGTGTGGATCTGGGTCACAGTTCTGGGTGGCAGTGCTGGGGTGAGGAGGAGCACTGGCGTGGTGGAGCTTGTAGTGGCTGTGGAGAGGAACCCTTCCTCACAGTTACGGGACAGAAAGGAATACTGTGGTCACAGGCCAGGAAAGGAGTAAACACTCACCCTTATCATACCACCTTGGAAGAACTGAAAATTTACAGGTCCTACAAGTATCTCTGAAAGCTACACAAACCCCTGAAGCTTGGGACAGTACACTCTCCACATTGGAAGCAGACTCTTACCTTAACAAAGAGTTTAAAACTCAAGTAATTGGCTGGGATCATGAGCAAGCAGTGCAAAAAGAGTCAGACTATATTATCTTACTTTGGTGAAAAAGAAGATCAAAATATACAACCAGAAGAAGACAACAAAATCAAAGCTCCTACATCCAAAGCCTCCAAGAAAAATATGAATCAGTCCCAGGCCTTGGAAGAGCTCAAAAGGGATTTTGAGAAGCAAGTAAGGGAAGTAGAGGAAAAACTGGGAAGAGAAATGAGAGTGATGCAAGAAAATCATGAAAAACAAGTCAACAGCTTGCTAAAGGAGACCCAAAAAATACTGAAGAAAATAACACCTTAAAAACAGCCTAACCCAAATGGCAAAAGAGGTCCAAAAAGCCAATGAGGAGAAAAATGCCCTAAAAAGAAAAATTGGCCAAATGGAAAAGGAAGTCCAAAAGATTACTGAAGAAAATACTTCCTTAAAAATTAGAATAGAGCAATTGGAAGCTGGTGACTTTATGAGAAATCAAGACACTGTAAAACAAATCCAAAAGAATGAAAAATTAGAAAACAATGTGAAATATCTCATTGGAAAAACAACTGACCTGGAAAATAGATCCAGGAGAGAGAATTTAAAAATTATTGGACTATCTGAAAGCCATGATCAAAAAAAGAGCCTAGACATCATCTTTCAAGAAATTATCAAGGAAAACTGCCCTGATATATAGAACCAGAGGGCAAAATAGAAATTGAAAGAATCCACAGATCTCCTCCTGAAAGAGATCCCCAAAGGAAAACTCCTAGGAATATTGTAGCCAAATTCCAGAGTTCCCAGGTCAAGGAGAAAATATTACAAGCTGCCAGAAGGAAACAATTCAAGTACTGTGGAAACACAATCAGGATAACACAAGATTTAGCAGCTTCTACATTAAAGGACGCAGGGCATGGAATATAATATTCCAGAGGGCAAAGGAGATAGGATTACAACCAAGAATCACCTACCCAGCAAAACTGAGTATAATCCTTCAGGGGAAAAAATGGTCATTCAGTGAAATAGAGGACTTTCAAGCATTCCTGATGAAAAGACCAGAGCTAAACAGAAAATTTGACTTTCAAATACAGGACTCCAGTGGAACATGAAGAGGTAAACAGGAAAGAGAAATCATAAGAGACTTATTAAGATTGAACTGTTTACATTCCTGCATGGAAAGATGATATTTGTAACTCATGAGAATTTTGTCAGTATTAGGGTAGTTGAAGGAAAAAAATTGTATGTATGTACAGATAGATAGATAGAGGGCACAGGGTGAGTTGAAGATTAAGGGGTCATATCTGGAGAATAAAATTAAGGGATGAGAGAGGATGATACTCAGAGAAGAAAGGGAGAGGTAGAATGGGGTAAATTATCTCACAAAAAAAAAACAGAAAAGAAAAGTCTCTCACAGTGGAGGGGAAACAGGGGAAGGTGAGAGGGAATGAGGGAATCTTATTCTCATAGGATTTGGCTTAAGGAGAGAATAACATACACATTCAATTGGGTATGGAAATCTGTCTTACCCTACAGGAAAATAGGGGGAGAAGGGGACAAGAGAGCAGGGGCTGATAGAGAGGAGGGCAGACTGGGAAAGGGGGTAATCAGAAGCAAATACTTCTGAGGAGGGACAGGGTCAAAAGAAAGAATAGAATAAATGGGAGGGCAGGATAGGATTAAGGGAAATAGAGTTAGTTTTTCACAACACAACTACTATGGAAGTGTTTCGCATAACTACACATGTATAACCTAAAAAGTAAATAAATAGATAGATAGATAGATAAATAAATAAATGAAAATTTAAAAAGTTTAATCGGTATTGTTAACATTTTCTCAATCACTTTCTTCAGTTGAAACAATCAACAAAACAATAAATGAAACCTTTGTGATTTCTGAAACATAAATGCTCACACTGGAAACTTAACAGTTAGCTCTCTGGAGCTGAAGGGACTCCAGCATACCCCCTGACTTAAGGACTTGGCACTCTGGGATGACGATGAATCACTCTGGTCCCTGTTATGGCAGCAGGGAGGGATGGCTGCTTCACAGAGGACTGGCCACTAAGTCACAAAGAGTCATCCAAAAAGTTGACATTCAAGGGCGTGATCTCACCCTTGAGTCTGTGCTCTGTCGTCCTGCTGGCTGAGGGAGTCAGGACTCAGAGCCTCTCTCTGGACTCTCCCAAGCATGTGGGAGGGCACCCTCTCCCTGCCCCACAGAAATGGCAAACCAGTCTCCCACTGTGGTGGCCACTGTGTGGGACTGCACTGGGTCTCATTTCTTGGAACGAGTTCATTGGCTTGGACCATCGTGGGTCAAAATCAATCCTTTGTTCTGGGCCACAAAACAGGGTTGCAATTACACAGTCAATTCTATCACCCTTTTCCAGAAAGCCCCAGAGAGCAGCAGAGGTAAGAAGGGACCTGCGGCATGAGCTAGGGGGGTCACAGACAGCACACATTTCAATGGGCCCAAGAAGCAAGTGTCTGCGGTCTCGGCCCCAGCCCCCGGGAGGCAGGGGCGTAACCTCTCAGCCCCAAGAAGGACAGCTGCAGAGAGAAGAGCTACGAGGCCCAGGGTGGCAGGGCCCGGGTCCCAGCCTTCTGGAGGAGTCCCACCACGGCCCCCAGAGAGGGCTGCACCTGCCAGTCTCAGGAGAGAAGAGGAATGGGCAGCACCTGATCCCGGAACAGGGAAACCATCAAGGATTGAGCTAGGACAGCAGCAGACCCCGTGCTCTGCTCTCCACCATGACCAGGAGCAACTTCCCTAGGAACCCCAAGCGCCTCACCTTCCCAGGGGTAGCCAAGTCCTCAGGGTAATGTTCTCAGGTCAGAGTCCTGTGGGTATCTCACCTCACACTGGAGGGCTCACTTCTCTAGTGACTCCCACTTCCATATCCCTTCCATGGGAGAGAGATTTTCAAAGGCTGGAGAAATGCCCAGGGCCCCAAGCAGAAGGTGGGGCTCACCAGGCAGGGAGTCTGGGAGGAGAATCCTGGCAGTTGTCCGGAGGCTAGCATCACCACTGTTTATATTTATGCGTTTGGGGCAATTTTTTGGAGAGAGGGAAAAACAGCTGTCCTATGCCCAGTATGTCCTGTTATCTTGAGGGCTTGTGTGGGAGGGGAGGGGGGGCAATGAACCTCAAGGACGAGAAGTAACAAAGCACCTCACAGATACTGCCTCATCTTCATCTGATCCTCCCGAGAACCCTGAGAGGCAGCTACACTTACTATGCCCACTTTATAGATGGCGACCTGGGGCTGAGAGGTTGAGCACAACATCACCCATCACACAGCCTCACAGCGAGGCAGAATTTGAACTCAGGGCTTCCTCACATCGAGGCAGGAGCTTGTCCAAATTTAGAGTGAGTGAGGTTGGGTCTAAATCCCAGGCTGCCATTTACTACTGGAAAGGAGAAGTCTTTGGTTCCCATGACCCCTTTCCTCCCCTGGGGCACGGTCTCTCTGATCTGGGGAGATCCAGGCGTGAACCACAGCACGGCCGTGATCTGACGTCTCCCAGGGACAGCAATGAGCGGGGCAAAGGGAGCCAGGAGACCAGATGTCCCCCACACTAAATCCAGGCCCCTCAGCGTCCAGGCCATGGGGGACCCAGAGAAAACCCTGAGAGGGCGTCAGGGACAAATGTTATTTTCCCCAAGTTCCAGCAGAAGTGGACCAGTGAAGCAGCTGAGCGTGAGTGGGTACCCTGGGGCGGAGCCGAGTGCAGTCACGTCTAAATTAGGGCTGCTTCTCCTGGGGTCCACACCCCCCCAGGGACTCCAGGAAGCTGGATGGGGAAAGGACAGCTTTATTTTCACTAACCCCTAATGGAAACTGAGCATTTTCCTTTAATTATTCAAAACCATCCTTCTGAGAAAGGCTCCATGGGCTCCCCCAGATCGACTGCCAGAGGGGGCCAGGGCACAAAACTCCTGAAAAATCCTGGTCTAAAGGGGAGCACCGATCATCAGTCTGGCCAGGGCCCTGCCTCTCTTAGGATACCCAACTGTGCCCAAGGTCCACGGCCACTCCCCTAAGCCCCCCCCATACACACACAGACACACACAGCCATAACTAAAGGTAAGAGCAATGCACAAACCTGGTAGGTGTCCACATCAAAGAAGGTCTGGTAGTATTCAAATGTCCAGAAGGGGGAGCTTCTCTTCTGTCCAGCCAGGAGCTGCCAGGGGAGAAATAAGTGTACTCGATGAATGCCCACTTGGGGCTGGGCCCCCTTATTATGGGTCCACTGAATACACAAATATGAAGAAGAAGGGTCCTTGTTCTGGGGTCTGGACCACCTGGGCCAGATCACATGTGTGACCCCAGGCTGGCCTTCCCCCCTTCCTCCCTGCAGCTCTTGGCCCAGCTTTTGTAAAGATGCCCCTCCCAAGCCTCCATTCCCCCAGACTCCTTGGACCGGCAGTCACACAGGAAAGTAACGCATTCAGAGTGAGGCAGGTCCTCAATGGTCCTCAGGCCTACCCCCCTCACTTTAAAGATGAGAGACTGAGGGGAAGTGATCTGGCCAAGGTCCCACAGGAACATCTTTCGTTCTGCCCTTCAAATACTTGAGTCTGCTTCGTCCCCCTAAATCTTCTTTTCTCCAAGCTGAATGTGTGTCTCTAGATGCTTAATTTACACTTAGGGCTAGTGCCTTGTTCCTTTTTCCTAGGGAATGTGAATTTTAAAGGAGAGGCCTGGGATACTTCAGCCAAAAGAATGACTCCCTAAGAGGAGAATTTCAGGTGCTGCCGCAGGAAACAAACGTGAGAAGGTCCAGATAGGGCTGGATTCGACAGCCCCAACTAAGTATAATTCAGTGTTTTAAAACCCAATGGAGGGGCAGCTAGGTGGCGCAGTGGATAGAGCACCGGCCTGGATTCAGGAGGACTTGAGTTCAAATCCAGCCTCAGACATATAGCACTTACTAGCTGTGTGACCCTGGGCAAGTCACTTAACCCCATTGCCTAGCCAAAAATAACCCAACTGAAATGCCAATTGCCCGGGACACACACAGAGCTCTCAGGCCCCACCGTGGCCATCACTGCTACAAGGCAGGGGGGTGGGGGGAGGGATGGCCCTTCTCACCTCGGTCTTATCCGAGTCACTGTGGCTCAGCAGCTCTTCATCCTCCTCCCTCCCCGGGCCTCTTGGGAGGCCCCTCGGGGCGGGGGGCTTCTGACTGGGCTCCTCGATGGTCACAGCCGTGGCATCCGGCGGGGCCGGCAGCAAGTTGGCCGCGTCGCCAAATTCTGCAGAGGAGAACCCAACAGAGAGGGGCATGTCAACTCCGCACTTGGAATCCACAAAAGAGGCTGGGGAGGAGGCGACCTTGCCCAGGCCTGCCTCAGAGTAAGGGGCAAGGACCTCAACTTTGAAAAACTGTGAACAAATCTGATAACAGATTAGAACAGCTGAATTTCCTTCTCCCTCAGCCTCTTCTCCCCTGCCAGACTGTAAGCTCTAGGAAGGCAGGGACCACGTCATGGTCGTTCTGATGTCATCCCCAAACCTAGCCCACCTCCCAGGAGGCAGCTGCATACAGCAGGTGCTCACTAAGAGTATAGTCACTGCTTGTGGGCAGGCTCCGGGTCAGGGTCCTGCAGGCGTGGCTGGAAGGTCCTTACCTTCGAATTTTAAGTCATCGGCAGCTGCCATTCATCCGGCAGGTTCCTGCCCTGTGATCAAAAGGAACAGCTGCAGGGAGGCCTAAATAAAGAAAGGAAGACTTGTTTAAACGACCAAAAGAATCGAAGGACTGGCAAGTTAGAACAGCTGACATCTGGGGAATCCTCTGAAGTTTATAAAATGCCTTCACCAAAATTGCCTTGTGAGGGGGCACTGTTTATCCCCATTTCCCTGCAGAGGAAACTGAGGCACAGAGAGGTCAATCACCTGACCAATCACCCAGCGTGAGGCCAGCTCTGTGCCACGCCGTCCCTAGGCAAGGCACTTGTGCTCACAGGCCCACACCCAGCTCAGTCTCAATTTGGTGCCTGCAAGGCATGCCTAGGTCCCCTGAACCTTGGCCTAGGTCCCACTCCCACCCCAGGCCTCTCTTGGTCCCCTGCCCCAAGCCACACAGCTGTCTCTAGCAGTTATCGAGAAAAAAGAGGCAGACTGCAAAGCGTTGTCAACCCATCAAAGTCCCGTCACATGTGAGGAAACAGGGCCAGAGGAGGCCCAGCCGAAGGTCATCCAATTAGCAGCCAAACCTCCTGGTCTATCATTCAATGTTCTGCCTATTTCTAACCAGAGTCTGAGACCCCCAAGTACTGTCTTTAAAATGAGCACTGGGGGCAGCTAGGTGGCACAGTGGATAGAGCACCGGCCCTGAAGTCAGGAGGACCTGAGTTCAAATCCGGCCTCAGACCAAACACTTGACACTTACTAGCTGTGTGACCCTGGGCAAGTCACTTAACCCCAGTTGCCTAAGAAAATAAAATAAAATAAAATAAAATAAGATAAAATGGGTATCCCAAGGGATTAGATCTCCCATATGCACTGGCCCCTCCTTTCAATACCTACTAAAAATTGTGAGAAGAGGGAAGGAGGCTGAATGAACGAATGTGGTTCAGTCATTTCCAAATCTCTGTGACCCCATTTTGGGGTTTCCTTGGCAGAGATACAGGAGTAGTTTGCCATTTCCTTCGCCAGCTCATTTTCCAGATGAGGAAACTGAGGCAAAGAGGGTTAAGTGACTTGCCTAGGGTCACAAAGCTAGTAAGTGTCTAAGGCCACATTTGAACTCACGAGTCTTCGTGATTCTGGGTCTGGTACTTCGTGCACTATGGCACCACCTAGCTGCCCCCTCAGGATACAAATACAAAAGCAATGACAGTCTCATATTCTAATGGGAAAGAAGAGTAGACTCACCCACCCTGGCCAGCACAATGGCTAAGACTGGATCACAGGTCCAGAAATAAACTGGGGGAGGGGGAGGACACCATAAGGGCAGCAAGAATGAGGCGCGAGGCTGTCTAGGAGATGGCTGGAGAGTAGAGTGAGGGCTGAGGGTGCCACCCACCCCGAATGAACAAGGAAAGAATAACGATAGCTCCCATGACCATCACACTCACTTCAGCAAATGGCATTTCAATGTAACTGGTTTTCTTTGTAATCCTACATGTTTTATTTTATGCATTTAAAAAATATGATGCAGAGAAGGGCTTCACAGGCTTTACCAGACTTCCAAAGGGGGCCACAACACAAGAGAGGTAACAGACTCCTCTTCTGAATGGGCAAAGGGCCACAGTGGCCTGGAATGAGGAGGTCATGGTGGTGGGTGGGGGAGGGGGTGGCGGAGTGCAGGGCAACAACCTTCTAGACTTGAATTTGGAGACCTGGTTGAGTTTCCACATCTGCCATGAATCCCCTGAATGACCTTGGATAGGTCACTTTACTTATCTAGGCCTGTGCTTCCTCCTCTGTAAAATGAAGGGACTGGACTAGATGAAAGAAAGAAAGAAGGAGTCCCCTCCCCGCCAGCTCTGACATCCTGTGCTATGGGGGGGGACCTTGCATCTTTCACAGTCTCTGCTGCTCTGACATCCTAGGCTCTAAGGCCCCTTCCAGCTCCATAGCCCACGTCCTCACAAAACCAGATTCAGAGTTGGAAGGAACCCCAGCAGCCATCTAGCCCGGTCCATACCTTAAAAAGTCCCCCCTATGTAACGCTCCACCCTCTGCCTGAAGACCTCCAATGGGGGGGGCTCAGTACCACAAGGGGCAGAGCTGTCACCAGAGGAGCCCTCGCCACCCCCTAGATGGAAGAGGAACAGACCAGGTGGTTTCTCCTAATCCCTAAACCTAAGGACTTCCCCGGCCCAACCTACAAAACCCACATTATGTCTGGTCTCTAGCTCTCCCTGGGCAGCTGATGATACCTGGGCATCCCCAAGGGCAGAGCTCTGATTGTCTGCATTTCCCCTTCACCAATCCACCTCCTATATCTGTGAAGCACTTAGCCCAGTGCCTGGCACGCAGCAGGTGCTTAATAAATGCTTCTTTCCTCGCTTCCTCTTGGCCACACAAAGCTGTCCTTCCAATTCAGATGTAGCCAACTGAACAGGGAGGCCCAGGCACCAGTGGTGAGGATGCACCAGGAGCTGGGGGGCAGGGAAGGGGCTGTGGTTGGGGGCCACAGAGCTTTCCCAACCTCTCCCGTGAATTCCACTCTTGCCCCCAAAAAGCCTCCACTGTGGAGGGCAGGGCCTGCGGGGCCTTCTCTGCTGAGGCAACTGAACTGAATTCCCGAAGAGGGGCTTGACACCTTGTCAGGAAAGCTGTGGTTTAAGGGGCTTTGGTTTGGGGCTTTTAGCCGAGAGGGATCAAGGAGGGAAAAGCAGAGGAAGTCATGGGGTCATTTCCTCTTCTGTCTTAAGTCAAATTTCCTAATATGTGAAGAACATGGCAGGAGGTGGACTGGAGTGGCGGTTCTTGTCTTTTTTTAAGCCAGTCAACAAGCATTTATTAAGCACTTACTGTATACCGGGCAACTGTGTCCTAGACTCCTCTAGCAGGCTTTAAATATGCAAAATAAAATGCATTCCAAAGCACTCCCGTAATATTGACAGGTATCAAAATATTTTTTAAAAAACAACTTCTCAGCCCCCAGGTTAAGAAGCCATGGAGTGTCTGAGGGTCTCTGAGACCCCTTCCCCTTCTGAACCTGGAGACGGACAAGCTGCAGCTGGCACAATTGGACACTGGGAAGATCACAGAATCTCAGAGATGGAAGGGACCGCCCAGGGTGCTGCCCACACTGGAACAAGGATTGACGCCCCACACTTCCCTAGGGGCCACCTGGCCTTCATCAAAGACCCTGGAGGAGAAGCCCCCCAACTCCCCAGGCAGCCCATTCTGTGGCTGCCCCCTTGGCATAATCATATCCATGAGGCTTACACTAGATTGGGGAAGCCTCATGGTGTCCCAGAGGCCCAGATGAAACCTAACTGCGAATCTTAATTCAATTCAAGAAACGTCATTCTGGACCATAACAGGGGATACACCAAAAATCAAACAGTCCTTGTCCTCAGAGACATGGTCTCCAACCAGGGCCTCATCCAGGGGCCATCCTGGACCAAAGCCACCTCCCCCGCCATCTGTCGGCTCCTACCCGGCCTCCCCCAAGCCTCATACCTTCTCCTGCTGGGAGGAGAGCCTCCTCCAGGAGGCTGGTCCTCAAGGAGGCCCAGGAATAGTCGGACCACCTGCCTACCTCGCCAGGGCTCTCTCCATGCTGGAGTCTCTCCTGGGTTCTCTCGTTCCTCTATGGAGAGCAAACTCTCCTCCCCAGTGAGTCTGAACCCCCTCCCACCACCACCCAAACCCTGCTCTGTCCTGTACGGAGCCACCACTAGTCCAGTCTCCCCCAGTGCTACGCAGCTCTCCTCACCCCATGCTCTGTGCTCTCTGCGATGCCCGTCCCATTATCAACAAGCCAGGTTTCATCTAAACCCTTCCCTTGGTCCATCCTCCACGTTCTGATGCTCCCTGGTAACACAGCCTCACTCCCAGACCACCCTCTGCAGGACTGGCTGCTCCCTCCCTCATCCTCACCCATCAGGCCTGGTGGGCAGTCAGAATGGTCCTTGCTCCCCATTGTCCCTCAGCCAGCATCACTCAGGAACCTCTCCTCCTCCTCGGGCCCGTAGCCAAGCTGGTCACCAGGGCACTGCCCTTCTGCCATCTATGAGTTTGGTGACTGACCAACAGCCTCTCTCCCCCCAGCTCCTGCCCTCACCCTAGGGCCCACATACTGGTGCTCCCTCAAAGACCCTAACCTCCCAGGATCACCGCTTCCTCATTTCCCAGGACCACCCCCTCTGCCCCAGAGACAGCCACCACCCACGAGACCCCCGTCCCCCATTCACAAACTCTGCAATTCTTCATCTGCTCACAATCAGGTGCCATTCCACCTCTTCCTCTGCCTTCCAACACCCAGTCCTGTTCTTCATCACCAGCGTGACCTCCCACCAATCTCCCCCCCCTTCCATCTCAGGCCATGACCCCTGACCAGCTACCCTCCACCTCGACCCCCCCCAGTTCAGCTCTACCTTCAAACATCTGTCCTCTTACTACCGATCACACCTTGCTGAACCCCAACTTTCGGCCACTCCCACCACCTGCGGCTAGGGAAGACCAGGAAACCTGCCAACTGAGTCCCGTACCAATCTACCTCCCACAACCAAGCCTTCTTGCCATGGCTAGGCAATCCTCCCTAAAGGACTTACTCTGGGCCTCTCCACTGACACTAATCCAAATATGTCACCTCTCCCCAAACCTTCCACAGCATCCTCTCCCCTGGAGATGAGAACGTTAACCATCCTCCCCCTGACCCCAAAGGGATTTTCCTAAGCTCTCCCCTCCCCCTCCCTCAATAACATTTACTGGCTCCCTATGACTTCCAGGATCATACTAAACTCCTGCTGGGCACTTCACTCAGATCTCCCATGATGAAGCTACCCTCCCTCCATGCCAGTGCCTTCCCTCTGAAACTGCTCCCAGCCCAAGCAAAAGCAGCTGCCCCCTCCTGAGACGTGAGCTCCCGGAGGGTGGGGCCCTAAGCTCCTATTAGATTATCATTTATTGTTATTGTTATTAAGCACTAATAACAGGGCTTGTGGACAGGCTGCCACAAAGTATATACAAAGTATCTTCTATGCAGAGAAAACACTAATGGTGGGGGGAAGGCTTCTGGAGGAGGGGCCATGGGGGCAGACCCTCCTTGAGAGTTGGGGGGAGAGGGGTATTCTAGGCATGGGGGGGACACAATCCAGGCATACTGGGGGAGGGGGAGGTACCAGGTGCAAAGGGGGCAGGGTTAAGATGGGAAGTCGCTCCCCTAGACCCTGAGCCTCAGTACACTCATCTGTGAAATGGGGATCACCGTGCTCTGCAAACCTGAGGGCCAGCGATTCCATTGATCATCGTTAGTCCTCAAGGAGCTGGTGTGGGAGGGGGCTCCCCTATGCTCCATAACATCTCAGATCCAGACCAGGAAGGTGACTCAGAGACCCTCTAGTTCAATCCTCTCTTCCTACAGATGGGGAAGCTGAGGCACGGAGAAGCGAAATGACCTGCAGGCAGAGCTGGGATTTGAACCCAGGTCCAATGGAGCTGGACTGGATAGTCAGAAGTCCCCCACCCCACCCCTTCCATCCCTCTGGTAAGAACCTGAACTGATCCTGCCAGTGAGAGACGGGAAGTGGAATGGTCACGGCATTCAAGGCCCTGCGTAGCTAAAGGAGGGAAATTGGGGGATTTGGGTCGGGGGCTGCGGGGAGACTCTTGTTCGGAAAGAGGATGGGGGAGGGGTGGGGGCTTGGTCGCTCTTCCTCCCCCCGCGGGGCCCAAACTCTTACCAGGCCAGGCTAGGACTCCGGAGAGAAGGACGGGACGGGGTGGGGGGCGGGGGGCGCGGAGCGGGGGGAGCCTCGGCCTCAGTTCGCTCTGGCTCCGCCTCCACCTCCGGCTCACGCTGCGTGGCGTGGGGCGGGGCAGGGATAAGCCGAGTTTCCTTCTTCCTCCCTCGGTCCTCCACAGCGCACACTGCGCAGGTCTGGGAAAGTAAAGCCACCCCATCCCTCTTGGCCCCGCCCCTCCCGAGGCCGGCCTCTTAAAGAGACTGGAGGCTCGGCCAAGGAGGATCCTACGGACTGGACCGAGGGAGGCGCCCCGCCCCTTGGGAGATATGGGCTCTTAAGGAAACTGTAGCGCACGAACTAGACGTCCTCCTCCCGCCCCGCCCCTCGGGGGAGCCAGAGCCCCACCCCCTCAAGCCATGGATCCCGGAGGACCGAGCTGGAAAAATGGTTCTCCCTGCCCCTCCCCTCTTAAAGAGACAGGCACCCCCACCCCAAGGAGAGGGGAGGAACGAAGCTGGGAACGCCTTCCGCCCCCGCCCCTCCCGAGACCCTGCCTGGAGTAGAAGGCGAAGGGGAGGGGAGGGGAGAGGAGGGTTCCCCGAGCAGGGAGGGGCGTCCCCTGAATGCGGCCTCCTCCACGTGGGCTCCTCCACGTGGGCTAGGAGGAGCCTCAGGGAGCGCCCCCCAATCCTACTGTATCATTTTGACCAAAGAAGAAACTGAGGCCCGGGTCCACGACTTCCTTGGATCGCAGAGTCAGGCAGGATGCGAACCCAGGCCCCCTGACTCCGAATCCAGAGTTATCCAGAACAGCGCTCCCCTTGATGATTCCTACACCCCTTGAAGGAGAAAATTATCATTAGGAAATTATTATTATTTGGTGATTGTTTTTTGGCTGAGAAATATCTGCTCTCTGTTCTCCTTTCACTGATGCTGCTCCATTGAAATGGGGTGTGTGCCCTTCCAAGGAACACATTGGAAAGCACTGAGGGATCCGCTTTCTAGATAGCAGAAAGAAGGGAGAAGGGGCAATGGCCTTGGAGTCAGGAGGAGCTGAGTTCAAATTCGCCACAGGCACTTGACACTTACTAGCTGTGTGACCCCGGGGAAGTCACTTAACCCCTAGTTGCCTCACAAAACAAAAAAAGAAAAAATGGAGAATGCTAAATGTTTAGAAACAATCACAGATGTTAATACTACCCAAAAAAAAGATAGAGAAAAGATCAGCAGGTGTCAACTCCCATGCCTGTTTACCCATCTGTGCAAATCTGTATGAGAATTATCGTTACATGGGTAGGTCCTAGAGGCATCTCAAGTAGCCCCCCAGACAAAGCTATCCCAGGTTCAAGACAGTCTGGGTTTGCATCTACATAGCACACAAGCCCCCAGTGATGGGTTTCCCTTTACTAGTCAGACAGAAGATGGTGAGTTCAAAGCAAAGACTTTGAAATAGTGCAGCAAGAAGAGTATCAATAGAGTATTTTCCCTGTAAGCCTAGGGTTTATTATCCCACAAATGCACGTGTCAAGAGAGACCGGCAACTGAGTCTAGCCCTATAAGTATGTGCAGAGTGCTTGGCTTCATGCCAGTTTAGGGGAGAAAAGGCTAAGCCCCAGTTAAACACACAGAGTCCAGAGGAAAGTGAAGACATGTAGGGAAGCAGGGTGACCAGGATGTAACCCTGGACAGGCTGTTTATACCTCTGTAGGGCCACTGAACCTCTCTGCTCCACTGCTGTTGTTCCTGCTGGTTCTAAAGGACTGCCATTCACAAATACTCCACTGGTCACTGCAGATCACTGCCAGGGACTGCTCCACACATACTGCAGACACAATCTACCTGGAGAGGAGAGCAGTGGTATTCTCACCTCCCTAGAAATGGACATTATGCCTCTTTTAATTCAGCCCAAAATCACACTGGCTTTTTTTTTTTTTGCTAGAGACAGCTCGGGGCCACACACCCTGTGGGGCATTGCTGGGTCCCACATCCCTCTAAGGACAGCCCTGGGCCACATACCCCCTAGGGATAGCCTTTAGTGCCTAGGGATGGCCATATGTGTCTTTGTTTAGCACAGTGCCTGGCAAATAGTAGACGCTTAATAAATGTTTGTTTACTAGAAAAACTTACATGAACTGACACAAAGTGAAATGAGCAGAACCAGGAGAACATTGTACAGTAACAGCAACATTGTATGATGATCAACTGTGGCTGACTTAGCCATTCTCAGCAATACAGTGATCCAAGACAATTCTGAAGGATTGAGGATGAAAAATGCTATCCATCCCCAGAGACATAACTGATGGAGACTAAATGCAGATTGAAGCATGCTTTTTTTTTAACTTTATTTTTCTTACACTTTTTTTTTGGTCTGTGTTTTCTTTCACAACATGACTAATTTGGAAATATGTTTTGCATGACCTATGTCAAACCTTTTGTCTTCTCAGTGAGGAGGGAGGGGAGAGACAGAAAGAGTTAGAGCTCAAAATTTTAAAAAATAAATGTTAAAAATGTTTTTATGTGTAATTGGGGAAAAAATGAAATACTAAATAAATCATTTCACCAAGATGCTTGTTTATTGATTGACTGATGCCCTGAAACAATCCAGGACCCCGGCTTCCCTCACTTGAAACAGCGGACATAGTACATTTGACCCCTCCCAGCCCAGGCACATGGCCAGCCTCCTGCCCTCACGGCTCTTCACCCCCGTTGGGATGGCCGAGCCTGCTGGGAATGATCCCACACACTGTCCTTTTGATCTTTGTCTTCCTGTCTCTCCCCGCTCTGTCTGCAGCCTCCGTCCTGCCTGGCTGGTTGGGGCTCCCTTGCCACCATGGCTGGGCTGCTGCTCTGGGCCAGGCGTCTCTGGGCCTTGCTGCAGGTGGCCTGCCATGTGGTAGTGGGGAAGCTGCTGAAGACCCTCTTCCCAGACATGATGAAGAGGCACATCCTGAGCCTGGGCCAGAGAAGCAGCATTAGTCAGAACACTCAGTTTGCGTATGAGAACTGGGGCCCAACGTTCTTCAGCCTGCAGTATTTCTTCTTCGTCCTGAAGGTGCGGTGGCAGCGGCTGGAGGACCAGGCACTACCGAGGGGCCTGGCCCCCAACTCTCCTGTGGTCACCCTCAAGGGGGAGAGTCACCACATATGGGACTTCATGCATGGTCAGTGAATTGGGGAACAGGAAATATGGCCCTGGGCAGCAGTGAGTAAGTGGCCAGATCCCGGCTGTCACAGGCTGCTAGGTGATAGGGGCAGGTCATGTTGTCATTCTGGGCCTGCTTCCCCAATTTCGAATTAGGGCGACTGCCTACTTCAGTGAGCTGTCTGAACAGTCCTGTGAGTGAATGTCTGTGAAAACCTCCTGTGGGCTGTAAAACAGTTGGCAAATTGCTTCTCTTTTTTGTCTCTGAAATCTACCACAAAGAACCTGCTGCATAGTAGGCACTTAATAAAGACACACTTAGTTAAATTGAATTGTGGGTGTCGGTTGGCTTGGGAGGAATTCTAGCGTCTCCTTGGAAGTGGACCTTAAGTCATCTCACCCAAGCCTACTCCCCACCCCTACCCCTACTTTAGAGGTGAGGAAATGGAGACTCCCATGGCAAAGGGACCGCGCCACCATCACCTGGTTCATAAGTGGCAGAGCCCAGACTCAAATCCAGCTTTCTGGACTTCAAGTCTGGGCCCCTTTCCCTTCCAGCAGGCAGCCAGGGTGGACTTGAGGTACAACTGAAGTCTGAAAAGCCATGGGACTCCTCAGAACTAAACCTACCCAGGACATGTTGGGTCAAATCCCTGGTGAAAATGTTCCATTGCTTCTTTGAGTAAAGACACGTCCCTTAATTCTGTGATTTGGTCATCAGGACCTATTGGGGACATCCATGTCTGTATCAGCGAGCACTAGCCGGGTAACACAGTGGTTAGAATCCCCTAGGGCTGGCCAGGCCAGAGCCCACTCTGTCCCCCTTTGCCCTTCACTTCTCCTTGGGGCCAGGACACACAGTTTCAATTTTGTTTATGTGTCCCCAGAACCTAGCGCCACGTGTCCACTTGCTGAATTAAACTGAACTGATTAACTTCACGTGGCATATGTTTGTTCAGTCGATTTTCAGTGGTGCCTGATTCTCCATGACCCCATTTGGGGTTTTCTTGGCAAGGATACTGGAGAGGTTTGCCATTTTCTTCGCCAGCTCATTTTCCAGATGATGAAACTGAGGCAAACAGGGTTAAGTGACTTGCCCAGGGTCACACAGCTACTAAGTGTCTGAGGCCAGATTTGAATTCAGGAGCGTGAGTCTTCCTGATTCCAGGCCCAGAACTTTATCCCCTTCCCCACTAAGCTGCCCTGAGAGCTGCCGAATCTCCTGCCAGTTTTTGCCAGACGTGCACAGTATAAGATAGAGAATATTTCAGCTGCAGCTATGCCACGAACTGGCAATCCACCTCGCCCCCCTGAGCCTCAGTTTCCCCATCTGTAGAACAAGGAGATTGGAAAAGATAATGAAGGTTACTTTCCACTCTACCATTCAGTGTTGTACGTTCTAGCATTCTCTATTCTATGGTTCCTCCCAGACCCAGCATCCCCTCATAGCTCTGCCATTCTCCCTCCCAAGGACCCATCAAATTTTGATATTTTCTGTTCTAAGGTCCCTCTCAACTTTGCCATTCTGTGTTCTAAGGCCCCTCCCAGCTCTGTAATTCCCTGTTCTAGGTCTTTCCTGGCTCTGGCATTCCCTATTCTAAGCTCCCTCACAACTCGGACATTTTGAGTTCCATAGGGCCTTCCAGCCTCTGGCTTTCTCTGTTCTAATTCCCTCAAAGGTTTTACATCCCTATTCTAAGCCCCCTTACAGCTCTGACATTTCCTGTTCTAGGTCCCTCTCAGCTCTGGCATTCCCTGCTCTAGGTCCCTCCCAGCTCTGACATTCCCTGTTCTAAGGGCCCTCCCAGCTCTGACATTCTCTGTTCTAGGTCCCTCTCAGCTCTGACATTCCATTTTCTAAGGCCCCTCCCAGCTCTGGCATTCCCTAGTCTAAGGCCCCTCCCAACCAAAGCAGTGAACACTATTTGTCTCACCCCAAGGAGCTGTCTCATTATCTAGAGTCTATGTTAATGGGCACCAGGGTTTTCATGGTTGTTTTTCTGTTGCAGGCAGCAGGCCTTTGGTGTTGAATTTTGGAAGCTGCACCTGACCCTCATTTATCCTCAAATTTGACCAGTTCCAGAAACTCATTGAAGATTTCAGCTCGATAGCAGATTTTCTCATTATTTACATTGAAGAAGCTCATGCCACAGGTACAAAGCCATGGTCCTGAGTGGGTGGCTGGCTGGGTGTCCTCATGATGGTAACAAAGCCTAGATGCCCCCCAAAAGGAACAGATGGTTTCCGAGACCCTCTGAAGTCCCTTCCAAGTCCAAGATTCTGTCATTGGCAGGTGGCGGTGCAGTGGTTAGAACGCTGCGCCAGGAATCAGGAAGACCGGGCCTCAACTCTAGCATCAGACACTTACTAGTTGTGTGACCCTGGGCAAGTCGCTTAATCTCTGCCTCAATTCCCTCAGCTGTAAATGGGCATAATAATAGCATCTATTTCCCAGAGTTTTGTAAGGATCCGATGAGATAATATTTGTAAAGGGTTGACCACAGTGCCTGGTCTACAATAGGAGCTCGATAAATGCTTATTGGCTTTCCCCTGATTCTCCTCCCTCTTTTTGTCAGGCTTCTATACATCTTGCTCTCAGAGTTATATGGACCCCCAGAGATCATCTTTTTAAGAAAGGTTTAACTGATAAAATTTTAATTTAAAAATGTAAAAACATGTCACTATCATCATCTAATGCTCCCTATATAATAACTCCTTTGTTATGAAGAAAAGTAGTTAAGTAGAACAAGTCAACATGTTCAGCATGTCTGATAGCATATGCAGTACTCTGCACCTGTGGCCCACCGCCTCTTGACATAATGCTCATCTGAATTCCAATGTCTTTTCAGCGTTCTTTTCCTGTATGTAGTTGTGTTCATTGTGTGCATTGTTCTCTTGGCTGTGGCTTCTTTGTTCCATGCCAGTCTGCACGAGTCTTCGCAAGTTTCTTTGAATCCTCATTTTTTCTCACAGCTTAATAATATCCCATTGCATTCATATACCCAGGGTGACACAGCTAGTGAGTAGCATGTGTCTGAGGCCAGATTTGAACTCAGGTCCTCTTGACCCCAGGGCCCAGCGCTCTATCCACTGTGCCACCTAGCTGCCCCTTGTCATTGACCTTCTTGTTGAGCCCGGTAGAGGGACCTCTGGATCAAGGAAGATGAACAACTACCATTTTCCTCACATAATTCTCTTGGTTGGGGCAAGTCATAGCTTTGTCAGCAGTGTCTTCCCAGAACTCCTCCAACATTACCCATTTCCTTCCTTCACCACCCAGAATCCATCTTGTCCAGTGGGTAACCCTTTATAACAGAGGCACTAGGCAGGCAGCTGGGGCCCCGCAACATTCCAGAGTGTTGCTCAAATCAGATTAAAATGTAACTGGAAAATGTTGAACAAAACAAATAAAAATGCCATGTAACCTCTATAATGCTAATTTGCAGTTGTCCAAGTCAAAATGTGGCAAGCGGGAATCATTTCTTTTTGAGTTTGCTCTACAAAATACCCAGCAAGTGGCCATCCGGCTATTTTTGAAGACCTCCAACAACGAGAGACCTCCCTGCCCCCCAAAATAGCCTGCTCCGCTTGGAATCATTCTGAATATTGGGAAGCTTTAGCTTGAACCAAACTGAAATCCGCTCTCTGTGACTTTCCCTCATTACTCCTACTTCAATTGTCTGGGGCCAAGCACAGCACAGCTAATCTTTCTCTTAGACAATAGTGTTTCAGATATATAGAGGCTGCTATCAGGCCCTACCCCCGAGCCAAGGCCTTTCTTCTCCAAGTTGCATTGTTGTTCAGTCCTGTCTGACTCTCCGTGACCCCATTTGGGGTTTTCTTGGCAGAGATACTAGAGTGGCTTGCCATTTCCTTCTCTGGCTCACTTTACAGATGAGGAAACTGAGGCAAACAGGGTGAAGTGACTTGCCCAGGGTCATACTGTCATGGTAAGTGAGGCCAAATTTGTCTTCCTAACTCCAGGGCCAGGACTCTATCCACTGCACCACCTACCTGCCTCAAATAAATGCTAGCTATTACATTTAGCATTTCATTTGTGATAGGTCTGCATCATTCATGGGTGCTCACATCTATAGATGTTTCCCTAAACTCTTAGAAATCTGCTCTCACAATGTCTAGGGGAGCTGTCAGAGGGCATCTAACACTGCAGTGAAATGGTAGCACCTGGGGGCAGCTAGGTGGCAGTAGTGTATAGAGCACCTAGCCCTGAAGTCAGGAGGACCTGAGTTCAAATGCAGTCTCAGACCAAACACTTGATACTTACTAACTAACCCTGGCCAAGTCACTTAACCCCAATTGCCAAAAAAAAAAAATGTTAGCACCTAGTGACTGGTTCCTCCTCATTGATCAGAACAAGTACAAAAGAGCGGTTCCTTCTGCTGCCTGAATAATGAAATGATCATTCATTCAGTGGAGCCAAGAATGTTCTGGTTCATCTTCTCTTGGGAGAGAGAGTGCTATTTGTGCCTCTTTCTCATGGAGGCTACCTCTGTGCCAGGTGTGAGACTTATTTCCCAAACATCTCATCTATTTCCTCTTCCTGCCAAGGTGGTCTGTAGTATACTCCCACTAAGATACCACTCCTCGATGACCCTGAGAGTGGAGAAGCCTTCCTCCAGGACTCTCCCTTTCTCCAACTTGCACTGTACATAACTCTTACCTGGCGGCACAGACCAAGCACCCTCCCTACGAGACCCTAAAAAAAAGTCCGTGGCCCTCGACATGCTGGGACCAAGATCTTCAGTCCACTTTCATTTCCACTGCTGGCCTTCCTGACCAATGGACATTGCACATTGTCAGGGAAAGCTGTGTGTTTGCCATAACCATTCAATGAACTGAGGGTGGCTGAGCTAGGTTCGCTGACTTAGAGGGCTTCTTGTCATAAACACTAGCTTTCAAGGGGGAGACAAGATGGCTAATAAGCAGGAAGTGGTACTATGAGCTCCCCCCAGCCTTCTCCACAAGGGTCCTCCAAGCAGAGCTGGACAACACACCACATGCCCAGCTTTCGTTTTCCTTACACTGAGCAATGTGAGTGAAATGATCATATCTGTCTAGTTTTTTCTTTCCAAAGTCGAGGTCTTCCATGTTTGATGGGAAGTCTTGCACTATTTCAGTATGTTTTTGTGGACACATTTCATGGTTTCTGTTTCTGGTTTAAGGATTTTTTTTTTCTGTTTGAAACCATTTTACAGTTTCAAAAGTTAAGTGTAGTACTTGAAGTCCTAATCAGAAAACATGACTTTGGTGTTGAGGTTTGAAGCCTTTATTCAAACTGTTTTAAAAGAAGTAGTTTATTACTCATGTTTCTGTTAGCCCACCCCATCGCTTTTTACCAACCCTACATTCTCCTTCCCTTTCTTCTTTTGGTTATCCCTAATGCTTACTCATTGTTTGCCACCATATAAACTCTGGCACCAGGAGCAAAATTACAAATAGAAGCATAGAAACCTAGAACAGCAAAGAGCCGTTCTGCCTCAGTAAATTGCTGCTTTGAAAACCATGGTTAAATCATTAATTAAGATATCAAACAGAAGTGCACAGGTGATCGCTCACCTACTGTACTGTGGACTTTAACATTCTTGTCCCCCTTTTTTTCAGCAAAAGCAAAGACTCATCTGCCATTACTGTTAGTGCTGATTTGTGGATGGTAATCTTTGATCACTGACCCCATTTCAATAAAACTGGCTTTACCATTTGGGTTGGAGTTAGGTATAGAAGACAGTGGATTACCATTTTTCCTGCAGTAATGTGTTAAGCATTATACGCTCATAGAAGCTAATTAGTTAATTGTTTCTGGTGGCACATAGTCATTGAATTTCCATTTTGAACGTGTTTTGACTAAACGCACAATAAACTACTTATGTCTGCAAAAAGAAAAAAGAAAAGAAAATGCACCATACTAAAACCGGATGGGGAGTCACCATGAGTCCTTTTTCCAGTCCAGGCTAGCACAGGGATGCAAAGAGGTCTGCAGACATTGGGGTTGGGATTTGGCCAGGAAACCCCCTACTCAAGGAGCATTTCAACACAGAAGGAGTCCATGGGCCAGGACAAGTAAAGGTCCCAGATCCATACTGGAGCACCTCAAGAGAGACAGGTGACAACTGGCCCCTTTGTTGCCCACGACCCAATTCTGAGTTCAAGATCCAAGGAAGATTAAGAGAGGGACCTGTACTACCCTTTAATCCCACGCCCTCCCCATTACAGGGACCTGCCCTGGGCTGTGTACTGAAAGAGGATGGCTTCAGAAACAAGCAGCAGTGACGTGGCTCGGGTCCCGGAAGTAGAGCAGGGTCTCACTTGTAGCCCCTAGCCCAGTCTTAAGCCTATAGAGGAATAAGGCAGGAATGTCAGACCAAAGGGAGCCTGCAATCCAGCTGGCTGGTAATGGCTAAGCCCAGGGATAATCTATTATTGTTCAGACCCAAATCCAGGTCAGGAACTTTCTGGAGGGCAGCGATCAGATTTTGCCCTGGATCACTTTGGGAGTGAAGCCTGCAGGTCGCCAGCCTGAGCTGCCCCTGAGATCCTGGAATAATACAACATTTAGTGCCCCAGAAAGCAGAAACAGCACCAGCACCAACCTTTCCTCCAAACATATTCAGAGCCTGACCACGGAGACATCAAGTCCAAAGTCAGGAAGCACGCCAGGAGAATGGGCAAATAAAAAAGGAATTTCACCATAAAAAGCTGTTATGATGACAGGGATGGCAGAGGGGAAAAAATGGAAAAGAAATGAGAGATATGGAAGAAAGAATTGGGAAAGAAATTCACACTGCGGCATAAGAGACGCAAAACCTTGCCCAAGCAACCAACTCCCAGAAAATTAGAATCGGCCAAATAGAAACCAAAGACTCCATAGGCAACAAGAAATATTAAAGCAAAGTCAAAAGAAAAGGCAAGGTATCTCATAGAAAAAAAAACTGACCTGGAAAACAGACTGAAGGAAAAAAATGTAAGAATCTTTGTACTATCTGAAAGCCAAGCCTAAAACAAGAATCTTGATATCACATTTTAAGAAATCTTAAAAGAAAACTGCCTAGATCTCTTAGAACCAGAGAACAAAGTAAAAATAGGAAGAACCTACCAGTCACTTCCTGAAAGACAAGCCAAAAACATCATAGCCAAAATCTAGAGCCTGCAGCCCAAAGAAAAAATATTGCAAACTGCCAGAAAGAAAAAATTCAGCTACTGAGAAGCCACAGTCAGGATCACACATGATTTAACAGCCACCACCATAGAGAAGCAGAGAGCTTAGAATTTAATATTCCAGAAAGCAAAGGATATACAGGTTTAAAGGTCAAGAATAGCTTATGCAGCAAAACTAAGTAAATCTCTACAGGAGGAAAAAATGGAATTTTAATGAAATAGAAAACTTCCAAGCATTCCTAATGAAAGACCAGAGCTGCATAGAAACTTTGAAGCACAAACATAGTAGTTAACAGAAATATAAAAGAGTGAACATGAATAAACAACCATAACAGACCTGACAAGGATAAACTGCTTACATCCTAATATGGGGAATGATACATCCCCCTGAGCTCTATCATCATTAGGGTTCTTAGAGGGAGTATAATCAGACAAGGCCTGGCGGAGTGGTTCTGTTAGGTCATGAGAATCTTAAGAAAACTATGGAAATAGGGGCCGCTAGGTGGCACAGTGGATAGAATATTGGCCTGGAGTTCAAATTTGGTCTCAGATACCAGTTGTGACACCTTGGACAAGTCACCTTATCCTGTTTGCCTAAATTGCCTCATCTGTAAAATGAGCTAGAGAAGAAAACGGCAAACCACTTCAGTATCTTTTCCAAGAAAACCCCAAATGGGGTCACAGAGAGTTGGACATGACTGAAAATGACTGAACAATGAAATGGACATGACCTATGCAGAAATTTGTTTTGCTTAACTATACATGTTTATAACCGAGGTTTTGTTTTCTTTCATTCTCAATGGGGGGGGGAGTGAGGGGGAGGGAGAGAGGGAGGGAGACAAGGTGGATTTTCACTGATTGAAAAAATGAAATCTAATTTAAATAAATAAATAAATATTAGCTCACTTAGCCACCTTTGACTGGAAATTAGCGCATTCCTACCCAGCCCTGAACAGAAGCTACTTTCAGGTTATCTATATTGGCTTCAAATTTGAAACAGCTGGTTTGAATGGAAAGTTCCCTGGATTTGGAATTGAAGGACCCAAGTTTCAGCCTCACTCTGCTATTTACTGCTAGTCAACTTACTAGTCAAATCCCCTCCCATGTGTGAGCTGCAGCTGGACTAGACGGAGGATTCTTCCCGTTTTTTGTGTCAGGGACCCCCCCTCCCCCAGCAGTTAAGCTGCTGAAACCGATGGCCCCTTCTTAGAACCACGTTTTTAAAGGCATAAAATAAAATCCATGAGATTTCCAAATGACTCAATTACATTGAAATACAGTTAGAAAATCTATTTTTTAAAATCCACAGACCCTAGGTTAAGACCTCTGATAAAAGATCTCTTAATTTCCTTGCAGCTTTACGTCTGAGTTCACTGGAATACAGCTTCATTTATATAAACCTTATTCCCTAACTCTTCTCAAGATTCCTGATTCCACTTTGCTCTCTGTCTACAGGGCCTCTTATCCCCACCTACATATGACTCTGTCTGTCTGTCTGTCTATCTGTCTCCCCCCCCAATATATGTTTATATTTATCTATTTTAACATTTCAAATATATGAAGATACATTCGTTCCAAAACATGATAGGGAACCCACTATCTCCTGAGGCAAGAAGCCCATTCCATATTTGATGAGATTAAATGTTAAGTTTTTCCTCATGTTGAGCCATAATCTTCCAATTTCTGCTCTTTGGTGCCACCATGAATAACATAACCCTTCAGATACTTGAAGACAGCCTTCACATTCCCCTGAGTCTTCTCTTCCCAGCTAAACAATCCCAGTTCCTTCAGCTGACTTCTAGTACTTGGCATATAGTAGGTGCCTAATAAATGCTTACTGATTGATGAGGCATTAATTCAAAGTCCTTTGCCATCCTGGTCACCCTCCTCTGGTGGCTTGCCATCTGACCAACATCCTTCCTAAACAATGGCACCAGGAACTGAGGCCAGGCCTCCAAGTGTGACCTAACCAGAGCAGACAACCGCCATCCTGGGTGCTCTGCCCAAGCAGCCCAACATCCCTTTTGACTGACCGGGACGATTCAGTCTTTCTTCAGGCCCAGATTCAAACCCAGACTCCTCAGCCTGCCAAGAGGAGGGGCTGGGATCAGATTTCTTAGAATGGTTTATGTATGTAGGTTCATAGACTCCTCAACATCTATCCAGGGACCCCAGGTTAAAAACACCAAGCTGGAGAGCTCTGAAGGCCCCTTCCTCATCAAAATCAATGACTGGTCTTCTGACTTCCCAAGGCCCTGCTGCTCACAGCCTCGCATCCCGATTCTGGGAGAACAGGGCAGCCCCGTTATCTATTTCTCACCAAGTGGCTGAGCCCAGTGACTCTCACACTCCCAATGCTGCAAATCACTGTTTCTTCTTCCCAGAGTGAGGGATCAGCGGCTCCTCGGGGTGAGCCTTCCCTTGCAGCTGGCCTTCAGCCGCCCGCTGTGCTAGAGATGTCCCAGGGAACTCAGGATGGGGACCTGTATCTTACAGGGCTGGGCCCGGTTTCTCTTTTGGATCGTAGTGAGCACATCCTGAACCTGTTTGTGGAGCCTGAGTGCCTCATTAACCACCTCAAAAGCTTACATCAAAGAATGTTATCATTTATCCATCCATCACACCCAAAGTCATCTCTGTTCTTCCCTTTCCCATTGCCTGGTACCTACAACTGCTCGTGCCTTCCCAGTCCAGCCTCAGAAGCTGACTAGAGGTGTGACCCTGAGCAAGTAACTTAGTTCTCTGTGACTCAGTTTCCTCATCTATAATGTGGGCATAATAATTGCATTTACTATATAAGGTTGTTTCAAGGCTCAGTGGCTGGCACTTAATAAATGCTTATTTCTCTCCTTTCTTCCTCTGAAACTATCTCCAATTTACCCTGTATGTATATTGTTTGTATCTAGCTGTTTGCATGTCGTATTCTTCGTTAGAATATGAGCTCCCTGAGGGCAGGGACTGGGCTTTTGCCTTTCTTTGTATCCCCAGTACTTAGCACAATGCCTGGCACACAGCAGGTGCTTACTTGTTGACTTGACTTGTCTTTCTCCATTAGATGGCTGGGCTTTTGCAAACAATATAGACATTAAACAGCATCGCACCCTCCAGAATCGAATGGAGGCTGCCCAGCTATTAATGGACAGGAAGCCACTGTGCCCCATTGTTTTAGACACCATGGACAACCTGACCAGCAAAAAATATGCTGCACTCCCAGAGCGCTTCTATGTTCTCCTGGAAGGGAAGATCCTCTTCAAGGTATGAGTGGGTGATTTCAGGGGGCCTTTTGAAAAAGGTTTGGGGGTCTTAGGGAACCACAAGCTCAGGGTGAGTAAACCACATGGCATGGCTATCTAGAACATTAATATAATCTTGGGAAGCATTAAGATAAATATAGACTAATGGGTTCCCTAGCTATGTGACCCTGGGCAAGTCATTTAACCTTGTTTGCCTCAGTTTCCTCATCTATAAAATGAGCAGGAGAAGGAAATGGCAAACCACTCCCGTAAACTTGCCAAGTAAACCCCAAATGGGGTCATGAAGAGTTGGACACAATTGAAACAACAGAACAACAATAATAATAAACATTTCTGTGGGGTCTTGCAAACTGGTTTATGTACATTATATCATTCAGTTTCATCGTGAGTCTCTGAGGTAGGGCCACAGTTACAATTATCTTTGTTTTACACACGTAGGGGATGAGATTCAAGGAAGCTAAATGCTTTGCTACAATTAGTAAGTACCCCACGAAGAACTGCAGTCCAGGGCTTCTCCTTCAGCATTCTACCCTTCCACCACGTTGCCTCTCTCTGACGTGTGTAGCACAGACGAGGAGGCTTGGCCTAAGATCAATGCTCTCTTGAGCCCCTCTAGCTCTAAAGCCCATGAGCCCACAGTCCTGGGCAGCTAGGAGATACCTTAACAAGCCAACAACCCGTTCGCTATCAGCATGGTAGATTGACTTCTCCTGGCAGAGTGGAAAGAATCCTGGGAGTTGGGAGACCTGGGTTTGAATCCTGGCCTTGACATCAACTTCTTGTGTGACCTCAGGCCAGTTGTTTCTACCCCCTTGGTCTTCATTTGCTCACCTGTAAAAGGAAGGGGTTGGCCAGTGAAATTCTAAAGGTCCCTTCAGTTCCAAGTATCAAATCTGTAGTAAGGATCGAAGATTGATCCTGCAGTGAAAGCCCATCAGAGATGTTTTTTTTTTCTCTTTCAGGGTGACCCAGGCCCTTGGAATTACCACCCAGAAGAAGTCCGGGCTGTCCTGGAAAAGTTCAGCAGATAAACCACAAGGAAGTCCTACATTTCCAGTGGCAGAAGCGATTAAGGCTTCTCCACTCCCCCACGCGCCAGATCACGCCTACTGGGCTGGAAGGCGCTTGGATCATTGGCTCCCACGGTCCTCATCTCAGACGCTGGGTCAGTTCAGCTTGCTCGGTTACTCCCAAGTTCATTTAAGAAAAATCTGCTTTTCTGATGGTTTTGCAAGCCTTCTAATCATCACGTGCGGCGGATTCCATCCGGCTTTGGAAGGATCCGGTAGGCAAGCCCCTGTGTGTTTCGGTCCTGCTTCTGTGAATATTTATTTATGAGAGTCATAGCCTAAAGCTCAGGCCAGCTGGGACTTGATGTGAGAAAATGTTTATAAGAGGCAGCGAGCGCACATGGAAGTGATTAAAAAGACCTAATGATACTTCAACGGAGGTAGCCTTTTCATTTTCTTTTCTGCGCATGGTGAATGAGTGAATGAATGATTGATTGAAAAAGCGTTTATTAAGCATTTAATATGTTCCAGGCGCTGTACTAAGCACGGAGGATACACATGCAAGAGTGAGCTAGTCCCTGCCCTCAGAGAATTTAACAATCTAACAGGGGCACTTAGCACATACCGGGGATAGTGGCCGGAGAAAGGCGCTTTGGCACGGGAAGTCAGTCACAGCAATAGTGGGTGGAACGATCGTGCAATTTATTGGCACAGCCTTTTCAGAAATAATGGGGAGGGATGGGGTGATGCGTATAAAGGCAGCAGCGACAGGCTGGGGGAGAGGCCGGTGTTCTGGGGCTGGCTGGAGACACTGGGTGCTCAGCCTTTGGGACAGCCAGGAAAGGAGTTCTAAAGGTGAGTGGCTTCATTCCTCAGGTATGATCTCAGTCCCCCAACTGGTCCCCACTGGTCTTTAGTTTCTGATCTCACCAATCCTGCCTTCACATAAGTCTCAAAAGTTTCTTAATACTTTGATCTCACCGCATTACTGCCCTGCTCAAACACCTCAAATGACTCCCCATTGCCCACAAGAGAAAATAAGAACTATTTAATTAAATACAGTGTCCCCAGATCCCAGCCTCAACCTCCATTTCTGACCTCCCTTCATTCTGTTCTTCTTCATGTGTTCTATGTCCAGCCAAACTAGACAGCTAGTTAGCACTTCTCTCAGCTCAGCCGGTACCCTCCTGGCCAAGAGTAGTAAGGACAATTGTTACAGAAACATTTCCCTCTAAGCTGATGGTTCACTCTCCCATTGTACAACTAGCTGTGCAACTCCAGGCAAATCACATATCCCGTTTGCCTCAGTTTCCTCAACTGTAAAATGGGTATAATCACAGCACCTGCCTCATAGGATTATTGTAAGGATCAAACAAGATAATAATTGTAAAGCACTTGGTATAGTGCCTGGCACACAGCAGGTACCACATGAATGCTTATTCCTTCCTGCTTCTTCCCCTTGGGTGGGTCATTTCCAACACTTCCAGAACAGATTGGAATCAATACTCCCGTGGACACTTCCCCTTCACCTGACAAATAAGGGAGCTGCACCAGAGGGTCTCAAAGGCTTCTCCTAGCTCTAGCATTTTCTATCTTCAGGGTGGGGGGTGAGGTTTCTTTGAGAGCCAGTGTTCTAAGGTGACTTCCAAGTCTAATATTCTCTGCTCCAAGACCCCTTCCAGCTCTGCCTCCATTTATCATCATCTAAGATCAAATGAGATACTTTAAAGTGCTTTGCAAACCTTAAACCACTATAGAAATCATCATCATCATTGTTGCCATCATTACGTTTTAAGGCTCTTTCCCTACCTCAAATTCTCTGGTCTATGATTCTGCCTAGGGAGATGGACACACACATTATAAAATAAACAACACTTTAAGGCAGCCTGGGTTAATGCCAGAAAGACAGCTCAGATGATAAGCCACACTCAAAAATGTGCCTGTTCAAAGATGTGCCTTAACTGAGTGCATGACCCAAAGGTCACAGGCATGTCCTGCTGTATTTTATCTACAGTGAACTCTGGGTATTCACATCCAAAGAAAGAACTGTGGAGGTGGAATGCAGATCGAAGCATACTATTTGCTCTTTTTTTCTTCTGTTTTGTTCTGTTTTCTCTTTCTTGTGATTCCTCCTATTGGTTCTAATTCTTCCTTACAACATCACTAATGTGAAAATATATTTAATAGGAATATATATGTATAGTCCGTATTAGATTGCACGCCATCTTGGGGAGGTGGGGAGGGAGGGAGAGAAAAATTTAAAACTCAGAAGCTTATGGAAGTGATTGTCGATAAAATAAATTAATTTAAAAAAATAAAGTGAACTCTGAGGCGTGCCCTTTACTTCAAAAGGGATGGATGTTTAGGACAAGGGCACAGTCCAGCAGCACAGACTGTTCACAGCCAGTCTTGAGGATCAGTTGAAGGAGGTGGGGACATTTAGCCAGCAGAGATGTCAACAAACTGTATCATAACTGTCATATCTCAAAGGCTGTCCTACAATGAGGAGAAGACACAAATAACAACAACCCCTATGGAGGCTGATCTCTACTCACACCGTAACCACTCTGCCCCCATCTCGGTCACTACCTGCCTGTGTGACTTTGGGCAGGTCACTTACACTATTCTCTGCCTCAGTTTCCTCATGAGGGAGTTGGAGAAGATGGCATCTAAGGCCCCTTACAGCTTAAAATCTATGACCCTATCACTTCCCACCTGGACTATTACAATGGCCTCCAATTAGTCCCCGCACTCCGTCCATCCTCTGGATGGCTGCCAATTTGAAATCCTTGAAGTATAATCTGACCATGTCACTCAATTTTTTAAAATTCTGAATTTAACAAACACCAAATAAAATGCGTTTTCCATGTACAGAGTAAACAGAAAAAGAGGATTGTACATGAAACTGTGGATCTCTCTTGCTTTTCTTTAAATGTGTAATAAACTAAGCATGTAACTTTCCAAAACTGCCCAGTTGTCCTCTTGTTCTCTTCTGTATCCATTAAAAAAGTCTAACGACCTTTTTTCTTTCCTTTCCTTCCCTCTTCCCCTTTTCTTCTTTCTTCCTTTTTTCTTTCTCCCTTCCTTCTCTCTTCCGTTCTACACTATTTCTGCCTCCCTTATTGAAAACAGAAGAACAAAAAACACTGAGTGACCTTTTCAACGTGACTTCTTTATGTGCCCTGTGTTCCAACCAAAGTGACCTATTTGCTGGGCCTTGTACATGACAATCCATCTCCTACCCCTGGGCCTTTATCTAGGCTGTCTCCCCTTCCTCACCTCTGCCTTAGAATGCCTAGCTCTCTTCACAGCTCAGCTCAAACAGCCCCCTCCACATGAGGTCTTCCCTCACCCCAGCTGCTGTTCCTGTTGGGCCTACCTCGACTGCACTAAGACTTTTGGGACACCCTGTTACCAATGAGGCAATGAGTTCATTCTTATACAGAGTCTGCTCTCTAGCCAGCCACGTCAGTAGACTACGATGGCAGAGAGCTGTTCACCCCTGTCATCTTCTTGCCACCCTCCCTGCCCCTTGCTCTAGGAACTGCTCTCCTAGCCTCTGAGAAGGTGTTAGAGAACTGCAGTTTGGCACCACTCACTATTTCTATGACTTCTAGAACGAAATCCTCCCCATCAGCCCATCTCCGTCAGAATATAAGCTCCTTGTGAACTGGTCCAGCCACTTTGGAGAGCAATTTGGAACAACACCCAAAAGGCTATAAAACTGCGCATACCCTTTGACCCAGCAATACCACTACTAGGTCCATACCCCAAAGAGATTTTTTTTAAAAAAGGGAAAGGATCCACATGTACATATTTAAATATTTACAGCAGCTCTTTTTGTGGTGGCAAAGAATGGGAAACCAAGGGGATGTCCATCAACTGGGAAATGGCTAGACATCCAATGTGATGTAATACTATTGTATTATAAGAAATGATAAAGGGGACAGTTTCAGAGAAACCTGGGAAGACTTATGTGAACTGATACAAAGTAGAACCAGGAGAACAGTGCAATATTGCAACACTCATCAACTGTGAAAGACCTGGTAACTGATCAATACAATGACCCACAACCACTCCAAAGGACTCATGTAAAATGCTGTCCGCCTCCAGACAGAGAACCGATGGGTTCAGCAGTGCAGATGGAAGCATTTTTCCTTTTTTTTTTTTTAACATGGCTAATGAGGAAATGTTTTACATGACGGTGTGTGTATAATGGGTATCATATTTCTTGCCTTCTCCATGGGTGCGGGAGGGGCTGGAGGGAGAGAAGTTAGAACTCAAAAATAAAAATAAAACAAAAAAGAAAGTGAGCTCTTTGAGGGCATGTGCTGTCTCCCTTTTGCATTTATCACCCCAACACTCATCACAGTGCATGGCACACAGGAAGTTCAAGAAATGCTTTCCATTCTTTCATTAGTTACACATATACATGTTGTTTTCACCAATGGACCATAATGTGCCAGTGAAAAGGGGCCACTTACTGTTCTGTCTTTGAATGTTTAGTGCTTAGCACAGTGTTGGGCTAAGCCTGGGTGCTTGGTAAATTCTTGTTGAATCATTATTGATGAAGTTGCCAAGAGGCTGAGCTAAGGAAAAACTTCCCACATTAAGAACTATTGAAAAGTAGAAGACAATGCGTCCCCTGTCCCTGGAGGTATTCAGAAGGTGGCTGATGAATGACCATTTGGAGGCCATGTTACAGAAGGAATTCCAGACCAGGCTGGGCTTGGGCTTCCAGGGGTGACCTCTGAAGTACCTCTGGACCTTGTGTGATGCCCCACTCCCACTCCAAGCCCTGTACATAGTGTGGGCTGATAAAGGCAAACCAGGCCGATGACAGGAGAGGAAACGAAAGCGCCAGAGACACAAAAGTGAACCCAAACCCATTTAATATGCTAAGAGGACAACTGTGGATTTACACAAATATCAGTACAAAATCACACACAAGCTGCTTTCAGGAATTTTTAGGTGAGGGATGAGACATTGAGTCCTTCTATAGAAACTCTGTGCACAGACACAAAGTGATCGAAGGCTGATTTGATAACGAACCGCAAGTGAGTGGCATTGCCGTCCCGGAACTGTGGGAGACAAAGAATCGCGGGGAAGTGTCACAGTGTTGACTAAAGATAGCAGCTGGGGATGGACATAACGCTGCCAGCCACCCTCAATTTAAC